TGGGCAATACCTTCTGCCGGCAGCTTCTATAAAGGACATGGGAAAGGGAAGCCTCTTTCTTTGCCTGCTTGTTCTCAGTCTCGCTAGCAAGCCTACCCATTCACTGGCATTAAAGCTTACTTCTAGGGAATTCCAGTGTACACTGAAGACGAGCCGAAACATCCAGCATTGTGCACTGAACAACTAATGGATTCTTGGACCTTCTGTTGATAGACAGCCATCTTTGGACTAGCTGGACAACTTGTAAGTCATTCTAATGCCCACCCCGTGTGTCCGTGTGTGTGTGTGTCCGTGTGTGTCCGTGTGTGTGTGTGTGTGTGTGTGTGTGTGTGTATGTGTGTATTCTATAAGTTTTGTTCCTCTAGAGGACCCTGACTAATACAGGGGCAATCAGGAAAAACCTTCCTGAGGTGTTTACATTTGATTTGGAACTTAAAATGTGGGCAGATTTTGGATAAGGAGAGCGTTAGAAGACGAAGGAAGTATGAACATTGAGGCTTTGTGCTTGGTTATAAAAAAGGAGGTGCCTCGTGGGGAGGAAAAGCAGGAGTCAAATAATACAGAGACTTTAGGCCAAGCTGAGAATTTTTAAAAAAAATATTAATTCTTTGAGGTTCTTCAAGAATCACATTATCCTCTCCCAGAGTCATCTCTACCCATATTCCTGCTCCTAGCTTCATGGTTTTGTTGTTGTTGCTGTTTTTGGAAACCCACAGAGTCCAATTTGTGTTGCCAGTATGGTTTTTCATAGCACTGTTTCCCTAGTAGAGAGATTTTTAGAACATTTATACATGGTATGAATCAGAAATATAGATGTAATGTTAAAATATCTCCTGGATATTCACTGGAACATAAGCAACAGTCCAGGGGCCACACCCTTAAAGATAATAGAAACCATCAGCTATCAATAAGAAGGGGCTTTTAAACCTTAGCCTAAAAGTAAGGATGCACTTCCAGGATGCTATAAACATACATGTCTTATGATCCTACTCTTATTAGTTTTTTTTTTTTTTGAGACAGGCATCACTAGGTAGACCAGGCTGACCTCAAACTCACAGAGATCCACATGTCTCTGGCTCTCATGTTCTGGGTTTAAAGGCGTGCATAATTGCACACAGCTGTCTCAGAGCTTTATCGTGCTTGCTCCTGCAGAGAACCTGGGTTTGAGTCCCAGCATCCATGTGGTTTCTCACAATCATTTAACTTGTAATTCCAGTTCCAAGGAATCTGATACCTTTATCTCCATAGGCACTGGGCATGAATGTGGTGCACATACACACATGAAGGCAAAGCACCCATACACATAAAGTAAATATAAAAAAGTTTTAAAAATTTAAAATTAGAAAAACCAATTAAATACAAAGTATTTATGACTTTATTCTGAGATTCCAAGGGATTGAATTTAGGGCCCCAAGTATGCAAGACAGTCAACCATCGAGCTACATCCCCAGACTTTGACAGGATTTAAACAAACAATTTTTTTTCCTCAGAGAAGATAAACGAATGGCCAACAGGTACATAAAAAGATGCTTACCACCATTAATCTTTGGGGAAATGCAAATCAAACCACAAGGAGATGTCACTTTGCACCTTCTAGGATGCTATAGTAATAAAAGATGAATAATATCACTGTCAGAAAGGACACAGAGGAATCAGAAGCCTCACACTGTGCTGGCAGGAATTCAAAGGCTCTGTGCACTTTGGAAAACAATTTGGTAGTTTCTCAAAATGTTAAACTCAGGGTTCTGATAAGAGTTTACAATTCATCTCCTTGGCATTTTCATCTGAAACACACCACAATATAAAGACTGACACACAAATGTTCCTGGGAGCATTATTCACAGTAACAAAGAAGTGGAAACACCTACCTACCAGCTGGCAAATAGGATGATGAAATGTGGCAAATCCACACTAGGCGACACTTGGCAAGAACAAGAACTTGCATGCTGACAAACCACAGCCAACAGTCAACATTTGGCAAACTGAAAAAAAAAAATCAGAGTATATGTTTTATTCTCTACACATGAAATGTCCAAAATAAGCAAGAGTCTTACAGAAACACAAAATAATGACTGTCTAATGCTAGGATGGAAGGAGAAATGATGAGTGATTGTTCACAGCTTCCAGCTTTTAGTTTTGGCGTAAGAAAAAAAAAGTTTTGAAATGGACAGTTCTATAAAATACATTAAAATCATTGCGCTCCCCATACTAGGAGGCAACTCTTAAAAAAAGAAAGCATTTAACTAGGAGCTTGCTACAGGGTCAGAGGGTTAGTCTATAAGCATCTTGGCACAGAGCATGGCAGCACACTGGCAGGCACTGTATTGGAGGAATAGCGGAGAGCTATACCCTGATCAGCAGGAAGAGAGAAACGTGGGGCCTGGCATAGGTTCTTTGAATCCCAAAGCCTCCTCCCAGGGACACATCTCTTCCTTCAGGGCCTCACCTTCTAATCCTTCCCCAAATAGTCCACCAACTAGGGACTTAGACATTCAAGTATATGAGCTTTTGGGAGCCATTCTCATCCCAACCACCACAACAGCAATAGAAAGAAAACTAGAACACAGACCTAGCTAAAACCTGCCCCTACTTACCATGACACACAGCTGTAATTACAGCACTCAGGAGGTTGAGGCAGGAGGATGACAGTTTCAGGCCAGCCTGAAGTGAAGTGAGACTTCACTTTTAAGCATAAAATGACTAAAAATATTGAAACAGCGAACCAAGTGTTTTTAACTTGATTTTTCTTTAGCAATTTCACACATGTATAAAATGCATCCCAATTAATGTAATCCACTACTCCTATTAACCAACCTCCTTATGCACACACTTTCAAACATGTCCCCCCCCCCATTTTTCAAGACTCCCTGAGTTTAGGTAGGATCATCTATGTGGCAATGAATTTTCAACTATCCATGTAGCCTGGTGGGTACTCAGTGGGTACTGAATTGACGAAAATGAGCGTTTCTTTCCTAGAATACATTAGAAGCCAATACTTCAGCACGTAGAGTTAGAGTGTGAATCCCTCCTCTATGACAATTAAAACGCCCAGTGCTGTGTAGGTTCTTTGCAAACAGTTACAACTGCTGTGGAATCAAATCAAGGCTGCACTGACTCTACTATACCAAGAAAATTTGTGTGTGTACATGTATACATACAGGCATGCATACACACATACATATATACTTTTTTTTTTTTTTTGAGAAGGGATCTCTCTTTGTAGCCTTGTCTGTCCTCAGGCAAACATCTGTCAGCCTCTGTCTCCTGAGTAATGGGATTAAAGGTGTCCATCCCAAGTGTACACTTTTTAAACCAATGAACTTTATGATACATAAAGATGATACATGTCATCTCAGTAAAGTTGAAATTCAATTTGGTTGGGGTACTAGTTTCCCTAAGTACGCGAGCAAGTTTTCTTAGAGCAGAGGTCCCAGAGTTTAATAGAGAAAAGCAACCCTCCCAGGGACGGCGAGGCCACACCCCTACCTTGTTTCCTAGCAACCCGCTTCCTACTGAACGCTCCATTAAGCCTCCTCCGTCACTTCCGTTCTTAACAGGACGTGATGTCAACCCGGCTGCTTTCCCGGGAGTTCAGCGTTCGCCTTAGGTGAAGTAGTCTTCCTGGACGGGTGCTGGCACCGTTCCCGTCCAGGGCTAGTGCAAAGGCCCGGGGATTCGGGGACTCGAACCCTCGCGGGCCCAGGGCGGCAGGGGAGGAGCCGGCGGTGCCGCAGCTGGGTGTCCGGAGTCCCGAGCGTGCTTGCTCTCCCAGTTGCTTACCCCCAACTCTAGGTCTTGGACATTTCTGCGCTCCTCCCCCAACTACCCAGGTCCTGCGTTTGAAGGAAGACCCTCACAGAAAACATTCTTCTCGCCGACTACCGTTCACGCCCAAGCCCCTCAGAGCTCTGCCAAGACCTCCCTGGGATTTGTCAGCGACTTTTGAGTTGCCAGAGGCCTGGGGTAAATGTTTCCCTGAGTGCTAAACTGGGGGTAGAGAAACAGTTCCTGGGAAAATACGGGATTAGGCAATTTGCATTTTGGCTTCATTTTTCTTTCTTTCTTTTTTAAATGTCTCTGGCAGGGTTTCTTGTCTCAAATGAGGAATTTGTCTTGGTTTAGGTGGCGGGAGGCCACACTGAGACGAGGCTAGGGGAGCCCAGGTGCTGCTAATTTCGTGGATGTCAGTCTGACTCTCTCAGGGATTAAAGGGCCCATTTGTATCAGGTGATTCTCACTTACATGCCTTTAATGTGTTTCTTACCTGCAAGTTAACTGTAGTTTTCTTAGACAAGGACTAAGTCATACAGTACATTTGGGACTTTCATAGCACCAAACACAGCACTGAACACAGTAAAGGTGCAGTCATACTTTGAATGTCAGTGAATACGTTTTAACATCATCTTTAACTTAGTGTTGAAGGGATCATCCTGGTGATCCACCTCCCAGCCAGCACTTGGGAGGTGGAGGCAAGAGGAACTAAACTTCAAAGTCACTGTCAGCTACGTAGGGGGTTCCATGGCTAGCTTGTGCTATGCAAGAAAAAACAAAACATAAAAGCCTCAGAGGCATCTATTTAAATGTAGTTTAGGCTGGGCAGTGGCAGTGAATGCCTTTAACTCTAGCACTTGGGAGGCAGAGACAGACTAACCTCTTTTGAGTTTGAGACCAACCTGAGCTGCCTAATAGCCAGGGCTACACAGTGAAACCTTGTCTCAAAAAACCAAACCAACCAAACAAACACAAACCCACAACAAAACAGTTCAGCTCCTAGAAAGGATGTCACAAAGTAGCACCACCTTGTAAAGATAAAAACAGTAAAATCTACTTGGATACATTTTCCTGGATTTGAGACTGTGCTGCAATGCTCTGTCATACACTCAGTAGAAAATGGTGTGCCTCTCTTTTAGGAAAAGGCCAAATAATGGCAAGTTCATTGCTTCATTGTTTCTTCCCATTTAATATTCTGTCTCTCTTCCCATCCATTTTAAATAGGTATTGCATCTTAGCTTGCTGATCCAGAGGTGCTGGTCATTATGGGAAATCAACTTGCTGGCATTGCTCCTTCCCAGATTCTCTCTGTAGAGAGTTATTTCTCAGATATCCATGACTTTGAATATGATAAGAGCCTGGGAAGTACTCGGTTTTTTAAGGTTGCTCGAGCAAAGCACCGGGAAGGCCTGGTGGTTGTTAAGGTCTTTGCGATTCAAGATCCCACATTACCATTAACTAGTTATAAACAAGAGCTGGAGGAACTGAAAATCAGGCTTCATTCTGCACAGAACTGCCTACCTTTCCAGAAAGCAGCAGAAAAAGCGTCTGAGAAAGCAGCCATGCTGTTTAGGCAGTATGTGAGGGACAACCTCTATGACCGCATAAGCACCCGTCCATTCTTGAACAATATTGAGAAGCGCTGGATCGCCTTCCAGATCCTGACGGCTGTGGACCAGGCGCACAAATCTGGAGTCCGGCATGGAGACATCAAGACAGAGAATGTGATGGTCACCAGTTGGAACTGGGTTCTTCTAACTGATTTTGCCAGCTTTAAACCCACTTACCTTCCAGAGGACAATCCAGCAGATTTCAACTATTTCTTTGATACATCACGTCGGAGGACTTGCTATATTGCTCCTGAACGTTTTGTTGACGGTGGTATGTTTGCCACCGAGCTAGAATATATGAGAGACCCCTCAACTCCACTTGTAGACCTAAATAGCAACCAGAGAACACGGGGAGAGTTGAAGAGAGCCATGGACATCTTTTCAGCAGGTATCTGAGAATGTCAGATTAGCTGATTTGCAAATGTAACTGTCAAACTTTGAAATGTAGCTTTTGTAAGTTGCCAGATTTCAAAACATTCCTTAGTATGCCTTCGTAGCCTGTTTTCAGATAGACACATGATTTCCTCATTGGATATGCTTAAGTGATGAGAAAATGCAAAGTGCTTTTCATTCATTAAACATCCAAAATTTATGATTTACAATGCCGGTGATATGGAAGGGTGCTACATATCTTTTTTAAGGTCGAGAAGAAGTACATCTCACCCTGTGTTTTCTCTTGTCGTGATAAGCATAAGATGCTCTTACAGAAACATAGTTAAGTAAGTGGTAGTGTAGGTAGTAGGTGGTGTCAGAAGGGCCTTGGATGGAGTGATGGCATTCAAACGGAGGCCTCCCGAGTGGCTGGGAGTTATCTTTGGTAGTTTGTTTCAGGCAGTGTGTGATGCTCCTACAAGGCATCTATTTAATATTGATATTTATAGCTGTGCATTTACTCAAAGTACTAGTTGAGTCCCTCAGAGATTTTTTTGTTTGTTTTTTGTTTTATTTGTCTGTGTATGTTCATATGTGTGGATTTCTCTGAGTGCATAAGGGGCACACTTCATGAACCCCCATTCCACAGATGCACTTATGAGTGTTGACTGTAGACGATGGGGTCCCCACCTCACTGGTGGCAGAATAGCTTTTTCTTGCCATCCTTGTTTGCAGAAACCATTCTGTCTAAGAAGGGTCTCGGTAAGTTTTTTTTTTTTTTAATCCCTAAGAATTTTCCTTTTGATTTTCCTCTCAACACTGGGATGGAACACAGGTCCTCACTTCACATAGTCAAGCACAGCATCACTGAGCTACAACTGCAGCCCTTTTCATTTTATTTTAGACAGAATCTGCTCAGCTGACCAGGCTCGCCTTTAATTTTGCATCAGGGATTATCGGTGTGGCCTTCCATGTATCTGGGATTATTGATGTATCTGGGATCACATGTGTGGCCTTCCATGTATCTGGGATTATGTGTGGCCTTCCATGTATCTGGGATTACAGGAATGCACCTCCACTCTTACCTTTCCCAAGTTCCCTTGATCCATTGATTGATTAGGAGTTGTCTCGCCTACTTTTCTATTGCTGAGAGATAAAACACCCCAACCAAGTCAGTTTTAAAAAGACAGTGTTTAATTTGGCTTTCGGTTTCAGAGAGTTCTGTGTGGGGTTTCTTTTCTTGTGAAGCTTCCTGGATTCAGTCAACGATGTTTCCCTAATGATTTAATTCCGATTACTTCCTCAAGGCCTCACCTCTGACACCATTGCCATCTGACACCATTGCCAGATTAAGTTTTTCTCCATAATACATCACAGTGGGCATTCGATTTCAACACAGGGTGCCTTGGAGTACACTGAAGCTGTTCTGAGCTATGGTGTTGAGGGTCATTTTGTGGTTTAGCTGAGGTCTTGTCTTGATAGTGTATATTCTGTAGGTTCCTGAGAATTTGTATCTGCTGTCATGGATAGGCTATCTTTTGATGTTTGTTAGATCTACTTGCTTTACATTGTTGCTCAGATCTTCTATTTCCTGCTTACATATGATGGATTAAGTATTTTAAAATTACATTTATTTATTTTGATGGACAGTGCAAAAGAACCTGTAAGGGAGTGTGCAAACAAGCACAAAGCTTGGTGTCTGGAGGTCAGAGGACAGCTTGTGGAAATTGGTTCTCTGCTTTCACCGTGTAGGATTTACAGATTGAATGTAGGTCATCAGACTTGGTGGCAAGAGATTTTATCCACTGAGCTATCTTACAGTGATTTTTTTTTTCTTAAAAAATAGCTGCTGTTGGAAGTCCTTTATTGTGAAATTGGCATTGTATAAATAGGAATTAACGATTTACTGAATGTTTATTATGTATCAGAATTATGTGACAAATTTTTCAGTGGACAAATTGGGGAAAACATCATATGGAGTTTGCATTCTAGTGGGCACAGAGGTAATAAACAGGCAACCTAAAATGCTCTACCAGTGGGTACTGTGGGGTGGGGAAAAATATTAGTGAAAGAAAAAAGAATATGGAGGTATTGTAAAGTCTTCTGCAATCTCTCTTTCTCTCTCTCTCTTTCTCTTCTCCCTGAGACAGGGTTTCCCTTTGTAGCCCTTGCCGTCTTGGATCTCACTCTGTAGACCATGTTGTCCTTGAATTTACAGAGAGCCACCTGCCTCTGCCTTCCAAGTTCTGGGACCAAGGGCATGTGCCACCACACCTAGTGGCTTATGAAATCTTACACAGATAACTAAGAAAGGATTTACTGCTGGCTGACAATGACTGAAGGAGGTGCAGGTCTCACTGCGGTCCACTAGTTCCTAGGGCAGGTGTCCTTGGTAGAGGGCCCAGCAAGTACAATGCTGCAAGGTAGTTTTCTAAGGGTCAATAAGACTTGGTGAGTGCATGCCATATGAGTCAATAAAAATTGTGTGTACAAAAAAAAAAAAAAAAAAAAAAAAAAAAAAATTGCTTTGTACTTTTGAGAATGTAGGCACATAAACATTATTTATTGAAGATTATATTAGTGCAAAATGGTTGAATTATTTCCCCTTCTAGTTTACTCCCACTTTTTTTTTAAGCACTTGGTATATATTTGTAGTATTTAGCACTACAAATGAAGTTTGTTCATTGGTTATGTTGTGTCTTCCTTTCTAGGAGGGGAGCTTGGTGAACGGGATTTTACCACCCTGTGCCAGTGGGGCCTATTATAGGCAGCCCCTCCTACTTGTTGAGTGATGGACATACAGCTAGATACCGCTTAGCAGTTCTCGAGAACTCAGTGCTGTACTTTTGTACTGAAGGGTTTCTTGTGACTTTTAAACACCTTATTTGTGTGTATGTTTTTTTAAAGAGAAAATGTGAATGGTTGTCACCATGCTTATACCCGGGTGATCAAGCAATTAGACATGGCCTGTATATTGCATTAAACATTAAATTCAGTTGGTTTTGCATTTTGAGAATTCTGATTTTTCTGAATCCTGGTCTGCATTACAAGATCTCTTCCTCTCATCCTAATGGAATTATGTCTGATTTTCCAGGTTGTGTGATAGCTGAGCTTTTCACGGAAGGGGTACCACTGTTTGATCTCTCTCAACTGTTGGCATATAGAAATGGACATTTTTTTCCTGAACAAGTGCTAAATAAAATTGAAGATCGCAGTATCAGAGAATTGGTAACTATATTGAAAAAATTTTTTTAATTAAAAATTAATTAAAAAACAGTTTTAATGGGAGTATGTCCTAGCTGGCCTGGAACTCACTGTGTTAGCTCACCCAGGGCAGGCCTCTTGCCTTAGCCTCCAGAGTGCTGGGATGACAGACTAGAGCCACCACACCCAGTCCCTCCTCCACAACAAATCTGGAAGGAAACCTAGTGGTGGTAAACATACTTTTGATACCTTACTAGAAAGAAACACACTGTTTTTCCCCTTTAGGCAAAAAGCACATTTGACATTTAAAAAAAAAAAAAAAAAGGACAGAAAAATGAACCCATTTTCTGTTTTCCATGATAATCTTGACTCTGCTCTGGGCAGATCTGGAGGTGGGCAGGGCTGTGTGAGATCAAGCTTGCTGGCGGGAAATGAAAAAGACAAGATGCCTATAGTGCATAGAGAGAGCATCAGCCCCAGCAGAGCACAGTAGCTGGCCTCTTCCCTGGAGGCAGATGTGGGCCACCCTGGAAGGGGGGGTTACATACACAATCACTTGGTTATGCTAGCACAGGGCTGAGGAATTGTGTGCTAGGCCACGTAGCCGGATATCTGGATCACTGTTTGAGGGCATCTTTTTAAAGTAAGTGACACTGTGATGATGATGACTCTGGGTCCTGTAAAAGACTACAGTGTATTAGACTACTCCACAGAAGTCTTAATGGGGCCTATACCACCCGATCTGGTGGTATAGGCCGGCAATCCCAGCTGCTCAGGAGGCCGAGGAAAGGGAACCTTACCTTCCAGGCCTGCCTGAGGGTACAGACTGTATTCAAGGTCAGTTTAGTGAATTAGGCAAATCTCTGTCTCAAAATAAACAGAGTTTAGGAGGTGCTGGCTGTTGGCAGTTTAGGGGTCAGCAAAGGCATGCAATGTGTTTGCCGGAGAAAGGCTGAAGCAGGGGGAAGGAGTGTGAGACCCTGGCTCGCCTGGACTGTGTGATGAGACTTTCTCAGAAAAAAAAGGCAAAACTGGAAACAAGATGCTCTGGAGAAGCCAGTGCAGGCCGCTCATGGTCAGAAGCACACTTGGTGCTCCCCCCCCCACACTTGGTGCTCCCCCTGGGGCTGACACTTGGTCCCCCCCCCCCCCCGCTGACACATGGTGCTCCCCCTGGGGCTGACACATGGTGCTCCCCCTGGGGCTGACACTTGCCAGGTCATTTAACTGAGCAGCTTCATGACATTTTCTTGGTTTGAAAGTCGATTTGTTTACTAATCTTTAACTGTTAATGCAAATGTAAAAGTAAATTTTAGAACATTTTCCCACATAGTACACTTGATTCCCCTAAAACAAATACTAGTTTTTAAGTTAGAATCCAAAAAGAAAGCTAAAATTGCAGGTACATTTTAATGGTATTTAATGTATTTGACTAGTGGGAACATTGAATTTGTGTTCTTATATCAGATATATTATTTCTAGTGTTCACATTTTTAAGCATTTTATTTCTTTTTAAGATCGTGTGTGTGGGTGTGTGCGCATGCACGTGTATACACATGAGCAGGCATGTACACGCAGAGTGCATGCAGGATATTAAATCCCCAGAATCTGGAGTTTTAAATGGTTTGAGCCCTTGATGTGGGTGCTGGGAGCTGAGCAAAAGCTCTTAGGTGCTGAGCCATCTTCCCACCCTAGCATTTTCTATCTTTGAAGTGCTGGGACCTAACACAGGACCTCACACATCGATGTTGGTACTCTATCCTTGAGCTACATTACCAGCCCTTTGATTTCTCCACTGGAATAAACTACACTTAAACCATGTGCTAATCTTTTGGATTTGTGGCAGTATAGTTTAAATCAGAACTCTTAATTGCGGCTCTGAAATGATCTCAGAAGTCCTATACTTTCTTCCAGATTCATGTGTGATTTTCCGTGTGCAACTGTGCCTATTTGTTTTTCTCTGAAGGTTTGTTGCTTTTTTAATAACAAATATCAAACTGGATGTGACCTCCTATATGCCAGCTATCTGTGCACATTAGCATGTAATGTCCTGTTCCTTCTGGGATGATGAGAGACACGATTAGTTTGTGGTTCTAAAAAGAAAGGGTAGCTGTTTGAATGGTGGTGCATGCCTTTGATCCCAGTCCTCAGGAGAGGCAAAGGTAGTGAATCTTCCTGGCTTCCACAGTGAGTTCCAGGCCAGTCAAGGCTACATGTTCATATACTGTTTAAAGAAAAAGAATGGTTGGACAAAGAATAATTAAAATTACCTCAGAAATCCTTTAAATCACATTGCGTTGCTCTTCTAACTTGTGTGTGTGTGTGTGTGTGTGTGTGTTTGTGTGTTTGTGTTTTCACATGTGCGTGTGTATGTGTGTGTCTGTGCTCGTGTGCTTGTGTAGTCCAAGCTGGCTTTGAACTTGTTACCACAGCTCAGAAACTCATCATGTAACCCAGAATACTGGCCTTGCCCAAAACTCCAGAGTGCTGGGGTTACAGGCGTGAGCTATCCCATCTGGCTTTTATTACATGTTCTAAAATGCACCCTTTCCTATTCCTCCTTTCACGTAGGTAACTCAGATGATCCACCGTGAGCCTGAAAAGCGTTTGGAGGCAGAGGATTACCTGAAGCAGCAGCGTGGGAATGCCTTCCCTGAGATATTTTATACTTTCCTTCAGCCTTACATGGCTCAGTTTGCCAAGGAAACCTTCCTCTCTGCAGATGAGCGGATTTTGGTTATACGGAAAGATTTGGGTAACATAATTCACAATCTCTGTGGACATGATTTGCCCGAGAAAGCAGAAGGGGAACCCAAGGAAAGTGGGCTGGTTGTCCTGGTGTCTGTCATAACATCCTGCCTGCAGACCCTGAGGTCCTGTGACTCCAAACTGGCTGCCTTGGAGCTCATTCTGCACTTGGCCCCAAGGCTGAGTGTAGAGATCCTTCTGGATCGCATTACACCCTACTTGCTGCACTTCAGCAATGACTCGGTTCCCAGAGTGCGGGCTGAAGCCCTGAGGACACTCACCAAAGTTCTTGCCCTTGTCAAAGAGGTCCCTCGGAATGATGTCAATATCTATCCAGAGTACATTCTCCCAGGCATAGCCCACCTGGCCCAAGACGATGCTACTATCGTCAGACTGGCCTATGCTGGTAAGAGTTCATTGTCCTCATTACAGCCTTGCACACGCTTTTCAAGTACTTGATCTCTTTGAAAATTCCTTGTGTATCTTTGGCTCTTGAATTATGAATTCCATATATCCATAATAATATTTATAGCTAATCTGTTCCTGGGGCTCAACTTTTGTATATATTTCTGCATGTAAAATGATTAGAAGTCTGCAGTGTGGACTCTCACAGTTTGACCAGGAAGACTCTTGTTCACAAATCCCTGCTTCTGATCTAGAGTTGTAGCCTTTTCAAAGTTTCCTCGAGCAAACACTCTTATTTCATGGTAGGACATCCTGTTGCTACTGAGAAAGACTGTGCTGTTGAAGAGAGGTTCAGAGTTAAGTCCCATCCCCCTTACCTCAGTGCTCAGGATGTGTGACATCTGCATGGGATGGGTATGTCACACCCACCTACTTGTTCTGCTTAGAATTCTCCCTCACAAAGCCCAATAGTAAAGATTCATGTTTTTAGCTCCTCAAGCTAATTCTGAATGCTTGCTTCACCATGAGAAATCTCACTGAGACAGTTACATGATCCATAATTTATATCCAGATCTCTAATGGAAAATGGAACTTCCATTGGAAATCTTTGTACATAATATATACCACACATGCGGCGATGGTATTGCCACATTTAAAAGCTATGTGCTTATTAGTTTGTTTATTATTTGCCTGTCATTGTTAATAGAGTCTGTGAAAACTGGTTTTTGAATACGAGCTTTATCTCTAGGCACAACCCCAAGGGATTGGCAGTTGTTGGGTGCTTTCTTTTTCAATGCATGCATTGTTCCTGGTATTTCCCATTTGTGTCTTTTTTTGTGTGTGTGTGTATTGTGGAGACATAATGTGAGGCCTAGAAGTCCAGGATCTCTTCAAGACACATCTGAACATCTGAGTTTATTATTTGTGACAGCCTATTTCTGATTCATTTGGAAATCAGGTAAATCAACTAACATACAAGAAACACAGGTTTTTAAAAAGCAATATATATCATTGTCTCAATTTTATGACCCTGCTTTTGGCAGGGTGTATCTTACCTGTTCTTATTTGTCATGTAGGTAAAGTTCTGATGTGCAGGTGCCATGTTAACATATTAGCATCCACTTACTCATAGGCCTAGCATAAAAGCGATAGGTGCTATGTATTCTAAACCCTGCTTGATGGCATCGCATTGACTGCTCAAGGTTCTGAGATTTTTCGTTAGCCCTGCAGCATCTTTGAGTAAGGTGTTTAACCTTCATTTTAAAGGATAAGAAAGACTGAGTGACAGGACTGTGAGCCACCTGTTTCTCGCTAATGTTTAGCTCCTGGAGCTGCTGGCCTAGAACTTGGTCAAGTGTCTGTGATAACTCGGGGTCAGTGATAGCACCTTCCAGTGAGAAATAAATCAGCCTGAGTAGAACAGAAATGCTTTTGAATTTGGTGGTTAAATGTAGTTAAATTATACGCAATGGTAAGTATAGAAGTTTAAACTCCACCTTGTTTTCCTTTGCAGTATTCTTTTTCATTTCAAAAGATGCTGACATAGACATATTTTGTATAAAATGAACTTAAAGGTGAGACTTACATGGGGAGTTAAACTACCAAGACTTTAAAAGGCCCAGGAGAGTCTTTACTAATAAAGGTGTAGGGCCAGCTCCCCTCCTCCCCATCCCCCCCGCCCATGGCTGTGAGTTCTGTATCTGTGGACTCAGCAAACTGAAGATTGAAGATTGAAAATATTTGAGAGAAATCTTTTAAAATGTATAGGCTTTTTTGGTTATTCTCTATAGTACAGCATCTATTTACATAGTGTTGTATTAGGTGCTGTAAGTAATTGAACTGTAATCTAGAGATGATTTAAAGTAAGTGGGAAAATGTGTTTAAAGTATGTATGTGTGATGGCGTTTTCTGCAGGGGATATGAGCTTCTGCAGAGGAGGCCTAGAGTTTCCCCTGGCCCTGGGTACTGAGGACAGTGCACAGGTACTCAGGACGTGGACATTTTTATTTAGAGTTTGGCTAATTATGCAGCTGTGACCTAGAAATCTCCATCTCTTGTTTGTTGGTGTTGGGGATCAAACCCAAGGCCTTTGTGCTTGCTACTTGGTACACAAGTATTCTGCTGAGCTTCACCTTAGCCCCTAGTTTCTCCTGTTAGGGTGTTATGGAATAACATCATGCTTACTGTGAGATAATACCATGCTTATGTAGTTCTTTCTCTCTCTTCCCCCCCCCCCCCCCGTGTGTGTGTGTGTGCGTGTGTGTGTGCGCGCGCGCGCATGTGTGCATGTAAAGGCAGGGATGTATGTTGGGTGTCTTTTTATCTCTCTCCCTAGCTGACGGGCTAGCAAGCCCTAGGGATCTTCCTGTCCCTCATCTTCCCGGAACTTCGATGATAGGTCAGGGATGATAGGCCTGTGCTGCCACATCCACCTCTTCACGTGGGTGCTGGGGATCCAAGCGCTGGTTGTCATGCTTGCATGGAAAGCACCACTGACTGAGCCATACACGAAGCCCAAGTTTTTGTTTTATTTTGAGCAGTGTTGAACCTGGCCATGGTGGGATGAAGAGAATTGCTGTGTTGAATAGACTCAGTGGTGGCAATGTGGGTTTGGTTTCATAGACATTATAAAGTAAGGAAATGTGTAAGGCTGTGGTTTGATCTCCAGCACTTATTTCAGCGTAAGGTAGTAGTCACTGTTGTTGAGTGTCATTCATTGCTGAGAAAGAAGAGTGCAGTCTTTCTTTTCTACTCAGAGTCACAGGTGAAGCCCAGACGCAGAAGGCGAGGATACGGAAGTGGGATGGAGCGTAGTGAAGAGCAGATGTAAATGACAGTAAATGTGATAGTAGAAGTGAGACCAGGATACATTGATGGTGAACGGTGTCAGCGAATCTTACAAATTGACAGAGTAAAGACAGTCAATACTGACGCGTGGCCAGCAGTCTCACCTCTGCCCACTGAGAACTTCAGGGTAATACTTGCACAGCCGTCTCACAATGGCTGATTCAGTTTAGTAGTGGCTCCTCAGTTATCTGAAGAAACTGAGACTCAGGCTTTGAAACAGTAAGCTAGTATCTGGCAGGCTTGAGGGAGGAGGCCTGACCTGTCTGATCCCAATGCCCCATATGATGTTACTTTGGTGCTAATATTTCATGGTTAGTCTAATAACTATCTCTAACTTGTCAGGGTACCTTTAAAGTTTAGCTCTGTGGAAGGATTAAGCATTTTCTCCCATTAGAACTGGATACTTATTTTAGACAGTTTCTGCAAATGCAGAATTTTTTTATTTTTTGTTTAGAGATTATTATAGATTATGGGATCCATTACGGAGACTAATTAAGGGCTAACTTGCAAAATCCTGCTTTTCCTGTAGATTTTTTTTTTGAGTAATATTTAGATGTATAAGGACTTGGGGTGTGGTGATATATTATTTATGGTTTATTAAAGCTTGCCTGAGGATTCAGAAAAGCAAAGCCAGCCTCCAGTTATAGAGATCAGACAGTGGTGATACACACCTTCAGTCTCAGCATTGAGAAGCTGGAGGAGGTACACTCCTTTAATCCCAGGACTCAGGCTTAAGAGGTAGATGGATCTCTGTGAGTTCAAGGCCACCGAGAGCGAATCAGTCTAAAAGAGAATTATAGCTCACACCTTTAATCCCAGGACTCATAAGAAATATATGGGACAGGAGCAAAGTCTCAGTATCAGGCATTCACATGGAGGGGATGAGTATTCAGTCTCCAGCCAGGCTGAGGAGAGCCTGAGGTAGAGGTAAGGATTGGTGAGCAGCTGTTTTGCTTTTCTGACCTTCAGCTTGAAGTTTGAACCCCAACATCAGTCTCTAAGTCATTTATTTTTCATGTTACATTGGAGGTTCTAGGCCTAATGGTGACCTGTAGTCATCAATACTCTAGAGGCAGAAGCGGGAGGAGCTGCAGTTAGAGGTCATCTGGGATGCACAGGACCCTGTCTCAAAAAAGTTAAAGGACTTTGGGAGGAGGTGAACAGCTTGAGGATTGGAGGTGGTGATTGTAACTGTCCTGCTGGCGTCTTACAGAAAACATCGCTCTACTGGCTGAAACTGCTCTGCGCTTCCTAGAACTAGTGCAGCTAAAAACTCTCAACATGGAGAACGACCCGGATAGTGAGGAGGTAGATGAAGCCACTCAGCCAAATGGAGACTACGACACAGGTTAGTTATTTCTCCTCTTAGAATTCCCACCAAATCACTTATACCAAATCACTAATGGTAACTTGCAAAAGCTGTCGTTTGTTACTATTTATTTATTTATGTATTCTTATTTTACATGTTGATTCCAGTTCCCCTCTCTTGCCTGCCTCCCTCCCACCCTCCCATGACCCCCAACCACCCTCCTATCCCATTTTCCCCACACTCCACAGGTAGGGTGATGCCTTCCAGGAGGGGTCATCAAAATCTGTCAAGTCATTTGGAGTAGGGACTAGGCCCTCCCTCCTGCCTCTAGGCTAATTGAGTATCCCTCCATGGGGAATGTGCTCCCAAAGTTCTTTCATGCACCAGGGATACATCCTGGTTCCACTGTCAGGGGTCCCTGACTGCCCATGCCTTCTAATGACACTCATGTTCAGGGGAGTCTGAGTCGGTTACCTCATTCAGGATGGTTTCTTCAAGTTCCATCTATTTGCCTGAAAATTTCAAGATCCCATTGTTTTTTTTCATAGATTAGCATTCCATTGTATAAATGTGCCACATCTTTATCCATTTTTCAGTTGAGGGGCATCTAGGTTGCTTCCAGGTTCTTGCTATTACACATAGTGCTGCTACAAACATAATTGAACAGGTGTCTGTGTTGCATGGATGTAGATCATTTGGGTATATGCCCTTAGAATGGGATTGCTGGGTCCTGTGGTAGACTGATTCCCATTTTCCTGAGGAACCACCAAATTACTTTAAAATGTCTTCTAAAAGTTACATACTGGACCAGTCTGGTACTTTGGCCTTGCAGGAGTTGATCTTTGGGGCAGGTAATGAGAGCTCCTTCCTGGTGCTTCCTCCTACATTTCTTCTTGAGCTCATGAACGGTGAGATGTTCTGTGGGATGCAACTGTGCTCATAGCATCTCACCTGCAGACCTTTGAACAGTGGGAAAGGTTAACAAACACAGGGTTTGTGTGGAAGCTTCTGCGGTCATTTCAGAAGACAGGTCTAGGTATGATGGGCCATACCTGTGATTTCATCACTCTGGAGGCCATATCGGAGAATTGTGAGTTCAAGGCCAGTGTGGGCTGAACAGCTAGATAGCAAGACCGTGTCTCACCCAAAATGACAAAGTACAAAGTGCTTGGTCTACTTGTGTGGGGGAAAATTGATCCTTCTTTCTGTTTTTTTAGAGCTCCAAGCCTTACATGAAATGGTCCAGCAGAAAGTTGTCACTTTGTTAAGTGACCCTGAAAATATTGTGAAACAAACTTTAATGGAGAATGGAATTACACGTTTGTGCGTCTTCTTCGGACGCCAGAAAGCCAACGATGTCTTGTTGTCCCACATGATCACCTTCCTAAATGATAAAAATGATTGGCACCTACGTGGAGCTTTCTTTGACAGTATAGTTGGTATGTTTGTGTTTGTTTTTAAATTCATCTTTAAGATTATAGCTTGTCCTCTCTGATCCTTCTGTTGGTTTGGAAGATAGGTAATGCTATTACCAAGTTTGTTTCATGAAGAGTTCCGTGTTCATGTTCTTTTATAGCATAACTGATCAAGGAGCCGTTTGACCTGCATTGTAGTGACATGAATAGCATGTGGTCCTTAAGAGCAGTGACCTGAGAAAGTGCATGAAATACTGCAGAAGTGACAGAGGGAGCTCAGGTTCCCCTGAAGTGTGACCTGTTGGTGTAATGGGGCATGAACAGAACCTGGCCTATTTAAGGCAGAGGCTGCCTTACATGATGTCTGTCATTGGCTGGGCTAGGAGAGTAACTGATTGTTTGGTTTATAGTTTCCATATTTGTCAAATTTTCTCAGCAGACACATACTCATTTTCTTTTTAGAAGTTTTGTTTGTTTATTTTGTTGGGGATGGGACACATGTACCACGGCGTGCTTGTGGAGTTCAAGGGGTAACTTTTGGGAGTTGGTCTTCTCTTTCTACGAGGTGGGACTTGGGGATTGAACTCAGGTCTTCAGACCTGACATTAGGTACTGTATATAATAATACTTTCTAATTTGCTTTACATTTTAAAAATCTAAGTATTTCCTAACATTTCTAATCAATCTTTGAAACTGTACTCCAATAGATTCATATTATTTTTATTCTGTTAAATAATTTTGCCAAAATTTATTTCAACTTTTAAATATTTTGAATATTTAATTTTTTTTAATTTTTATCTTTTTGTATTATGAGATGTTCTTACTATGTAGCCCAGGTTGGCCTGGAATTCTGAGTGCTTTGCTTCAGCCTCCCAAGTGTTGATCTCAGTCACCCATTAGTTTGATTTTGAATTATTATGCAGGGAATCTACATATTTATGTGAGTAACTGCATGATTCGGTATTTGAGTATAGCCACATGCTGCCTTGTGGGCTTTGTTCTGAGATAACACTAGTCATTGTTACCGTTACTCAGACGAGTGAGTCTACAACTGTCACATAGTCCCGCTTATTGCCTACCACATTGCTAGTACACGACTTTCTTATTTCTTAGTCTCTGTAGCTAGAAGTACACAATCCTTAAATTATTTGTATTTTATGTGCATTGGTGTTTTGCCTACTTGAATGTCTGTATTAGGGTGTTAGATCCCCTGGAACTGGAGCCACAGACAGTTGTGAGCTGCCATGTGGGTCCTCTGGAAGAACATCCAGTGCACTTAACTGCTGAGCCACCTCCCCAGTCCCAGAAGTATAACATTTTTCATAGAAACTGTATTCTGCTTGGGTACACAGATTTTTGCTGTTAGCTTGCTGTTGCCATGATAAAGACCATGAGCAATAGCAACTCAAGGGTAGGGTTCATTTCATCTTGCATCTGACTGTGTCACTGGGAGAAGGCAGGGCACTAGAGGTGGGAACTGAAGGAGAGGCCAGGGTGCAGCCAATGGCGGGCTAGGCATTCCCACAGCAATCGTTAATCAAGAAAATGTGCCACACACTTGCCTACAGGCCAATCGGAAGGGGGCAGGTCACCGCTGAGGTCCCTTTTCCCAGGTGACCCTACCTTTTGTCAATTAAAAAAAAAGCTAAGGGGCATAGTTGTGTTGCACATACACTTGCATACATACATATATACATACCTCGGTTTATTTTCAGTTACTGAGTTAAAGAATGTGAATGTAGCTTTCATAGGAAGCCCTGTAGTTACTACCCAGTCAATGAAGTATTCTTTATATATAAACAATGAATATGACCATGTTTTTACATTTGGGACATCTTATGTTAATTTTTACTCCACCTGCTTTAAGTGCCACACACCCAACACACTCCCAGCCAGGAATAGGCTTTAGATATTCTTGTATGTCTTTTGCTTGCTACTCAAGCTACAAAACCTTTTTCTGATGTTTGTGTGTTTGTATTTTACATTATCTTTTATTATTTGGTTCATTTTCTTTCATGAAGTTATATTTATGCTTGTGGGTTTTTTGAAGCTTATAGAGTATTGATTCATTTTTAAGGCAAGTCTTTTTCTCTGTTTTAACTTGATTTTTTTCAATGTATTTTAAAAAAAATAGTTAAGTTTTGATTTTTATAGCAAGGTCTCATTGTGTAGTTCAGATTGGCCTTAACTCACTATCCTGCAGCCCAACACAGAATCTGGGATGATGATCATGTGTGTCACCACACATGGCTCAGGATGCTGATGATCATGTGTCTGTGCCACCACACATGGCTCAGGATGCTGATGTTGATCATGTGTGTCATCACACATGGCTCAGAATGCTGATGATCATGCATGTGTCATCACACACAGCTCAAGATGCTGATGATCATGTGTGTCATCACACATGGCTCAGGATGCTGATGATCATGCGTGTGTCAACACATACAGCTCAGGATGCTGATGATCATGTGTGTGCCACCACACATGGCTCAGGATGAAGCTGTAGCTAACTTGCAACCACACCTGATTTCCCTTGTTAGTTTTTACAGTACTGCTCACTTCTTAGTGATACTCGGTTTTTAGAAGTTTGCTTTAATATGTATTTTTGCCCTGCTTTTTATTTGTAGTACAAGGGGATTAATACCCTCTACACATTTGCATCCTCCCTTTGCTTAGTTGAATTCTTAATAATTGCACTGCCACAGTAAACCTTTACTTTGTGTCTTATGATTAAAATAAAGTGTTTTCAAATAGACTTATTCTAAAGGATCAGGATAACATTTACGTTATAATGCATGTGTTTTAATGACAGAGTCAGATCGTCACTCCAGAGGGCTCTGGTTTGATCACTTCCCTGCACTTGAGGCTATGGCAGCAGAAGTTACTTCAGTGACTAGACTCACTGTGCATTTTAACTTATTTTATGTTTAGATGTGACCTGTTATCTGCTCTGGAGTTTTAGATTTCCTTTCTTTCACTTGTCCTCAGTATTCTGCTTTCTTCCCAGTGTTATTTGTTGGAATCTGTGCCATTTCGTCCTTGTGTTATTCTTGAAACTGACTGTGGAGTGCATGTATGTACACGTGTGCGTGTGTACATGTTTGTGTGGGTCATCTCATGTGTGGCCACATGTTTGTATGTGTTCTTGTGGGTCATTTTACCTGTTTGTTTGTTTTGGTGTGTGTGTATATTTGTGTGGGTCATCTCATGTGTGGCTACATGTGTGTATGTGTTCTTGTGGGTCATTTTACATATCGTTTTGTATGTATGTGTGTGCATGTTTGTGTGGGTCATCTCGTGTGGTTGCATGTGTGTATATGTTCTTGTGGGTTATTCCACGTGTGGTTTTGTGTGGGCTTCAGGTCAGTGTCTGTTGTTTGTGGTCACTGTCCCCCTTACTGCTTTGAGACGAGGTCTCTCCGAAGCTGGAGCCCATCCAGTTGTGTAAGTGGTCAGCCAGTGAGCTCCATGGATTCCCCTACCTATTCCCGCCAGTGCTAGAGTTGTAGGCTAGAGGTCAAACCTGGGTGCCGCCTGGCTTCCACAACAGACACTTTACTAATTGAGCCACCTCTAGCCCCAGATGTCCCTGAAATAATTATGTCTGAATGGGTTGGAGGATTTTGTTAGCTGTTGTCGGTTTTCCTCCTTGAATCCTGAGGACTGCATGTGTAGTTTTGTGGATTCTCCACCTCCCGTTTATTTTGCTGGAGTTCTGTTTCCAGGAAACTTCTGAGGAAGAGCTATCTAAGAGGTAAACCTCTATAGTCCTTATTTTTGTTTTCTTACTATTGACCGTTTGGGGAGCCCTGTGTTTTCTTTATTGTGAGTTATGGGGTCCCCTAATTTCTAGATGATTGACTTTGGGGGATGTTTGTTTATTATACTGGGAGGAAGTTTGATTCTTCGTTGGTTCTATCAGTGGCTGGCTGTGCTCATTGTAACACACTGCTCAGTGGTGACATGCATTTTCAGGTGTTGAGTAACAGTAACACTGCCTTCCCTTTCAGGTGTTGCTGCCTATGTTGGCTGGCAGAGCTCCTCCATCCTCAAACCCCTGCTTCAGCAAGGCCTCAGTGATGCTGAGGAGTTTGTCATCGTGAAAGCTCTCAATGCCCTGACCTGCATGTGCCAACTAGGGCTGCTGCAGAAACCCCATGTCTATGAGTTCGCCAGTGATATTGGTAAGCGTCTGTTTTCCAGACTTAGAATGGGAAATACAAAAGAAAACACAGTATTTGTCTTTTTGGGTCTGTGTTACCTCACTCACGATTTTTTTTTTTTTTTTTTTTTTTTTTTCCTGGCTCCATCCGTTTCCATACCTGAAAACTTACATCATTTTCCTTAACAGCTGAATAATATTTCACTGTGTAAATGTACATATTCATTATCCATTCTTCAGTTGACAGATACCTAGGCTGTTTTCCAATTTCTGGCTCTTACAAATAGAATAGCAAGACCGTGGATGAACAAATGTCCCTGTAGTAGGATGTAGGGTCCTTTGGGTATGTGCCCAAGAGGAGGATGGCTGGTTCTTGAGGTAGATTGATCCCATACTTCTTGAGGAACTGCCACACTGATTTCCATAGGGGCCGTACCAGTTTGCACTCCCACCAGCAATGAATGAGTGTTCCTCTTTTCCCACATCCTCATCATTTGTTTTATTGATGTTGGCTATTTTGACTGAGGTAAGATTAAAATCTCAGAGTAGTTTTGGTTTCTATTCCCCCGATGGCTAAGGATGTTGAACTTTCTTTTAAGTGTTTCTCAGCCATTTGTGCTTGATCTTTTGAGAACTCTCTGTTTAGTTATGTTCTCCACTTCTAATTGGATTTTTTTGTTTTCTTGATGTCTGGTGTTTTAGTTCTTTAGATATTCTGTCAGATGAATAACTGGTGAAGATATTTTTCTGTCCTAATGCCTGCAGTGTACGTTGGTCCTTAAAGATAAACAGGCTTTTGGTGTTGTCATGTCTTTACATTTTGTTTTTTGTTGTTGTGGTTGTTGTTTGCTTTTTTATTCAGCTTCTTTGTCTTTTGATTGTAAAATTTAATCCATCTTTAAAAAGTATTTAATAAGAACGCATTAATGCTTTGTTATTGATTCTGAAGGTTTTGTAACCCTCGTATCATTCTTCATCTCTTGCATCTTCCTTTTTGATGATGGGTTTTTTTTTTTTTTTTTTTTTTTAGTGCTATGCTTTGAATCTTTAAAGTTGCATAAATTTAATTTTCACCTACATAGATCCCACACTTCAATTTTTTTTCTCCTGTATTTTACATTGTTTCCTTAGGCAAGTTATTAGCACTGACGTTCCAGGCTGACCTTGAGCTCATGGCCTTTTGCCTTGGCTTCTGCTCCCCCAGGACGGGCATGCCAGGCATGAGCCACCACACTGGTTTAGTGTAGCGACTGAGATGAGAACGGTGGTGGTGGTCTTGGTAGTGATCGCCGTGATTTTCTTGGAGGTGGTTTTAAGAAGTTATTCCTGTCTAGATAATTCTCAGTTCTCTGCTTGCCTCGTGCTTGACACCAGAGAATAGGAGCACATTAGAGAGAAAAGATTGAAGGCTGTGTTTTCTAAGAAATTCTTTCAGCTCAGGCTTAAGGCTTGGATGTACTTCGTTGGTTAATCACTGCTATATTAACGCTGTGTGTCAGTTAACCACAGAGTCTCAGGGCTCTAACTCAGGTGGTCAGACTAGGTGGGAGGAGCCTGTGCCTGTTGAGCTGTCTTGGGAGCCCTGAAGAGAGGGGCTTTGAATGGGTCTTTCGCTTTCATTTTCACATAAGCATCACCAGTATATGGTGACACTGTTATGTCATTGCTCTGTGGACTTCTGGCAAACAGCTCTGGGTATATCTTAGAGCCCATGCAACTATTGTGTTTTAGAAATTTGAATTTTATCCTAAATCATATTCACTGTCACTTTGATTAGTTGAAATAAGTGATTTAGGCTTAGTACCTAAAACTATTAAAAGGAAGGAAGACATTCTGTTTTCTGGGTTAATCTTACAGTTTGATGCTGAAGAATAGACGGGATGTGTTCTACCTGTCCATTCACTATGACAGGCAAAATTATGAGTTATGTGCTAGATTTGACCAAACTGCATTAAAAAGAATGTCAAATGCTTTTGCAATGCTATGGCTTTGAGTAGAAACACCCCCCCACCCCCGGTCTCTGCTGCTTGTGTGGTAGCTGCTGTCTTGAACCTATAGGGTGAAGTGGATCACCTCTGTGTTGTTGGGGATTTTTATGTCTCTGTCCTGGAGTTTTTAATTCAGCACTACAAATGAGTATACACTAAAACACATTCAACTCTGAAAAATAGAAATTTAGAAATTTTACAAAGGAGGTTAGTTTTGTGGTATGGCTGGTAAGTATGATAAGGAGGTAATATAACTTTTATTGAGTTTCTATTTCTATGTGCAAGAACTTTCTGGTAACACTGAGGCTTGATGTCTTTATCAAATTGTTGTGATGTAAGGGGTTGTATGACCTTATTAGTTTAGTTTTGTGAACCTGGTTTGGTCTGATGTTGTTTTTTTGTTCCCCTTTAGCTCCCTTCCTGTGCCACCCTAATCTGTGGATACGTTATGGCGCAGTGGGCTTTATCACAGTGGTAGCTCATCAAATAAGTACTGCCGACGTCTACTGCAAGCTGATGCCTTATCTTGACCCATATATTACCCAACCAGTGATACAGGTACACATGTTCCAGCTTGTGTCCAGTCCTTTCCAATTACATCTCTAGAGCCCTTCACATCAAAAGAGTCCTTAATATCATAGTGTATTTAAGTTTGTCTATAACATTTTCATATACCTTTCAAGCTAATAATGTTTATTTATCTATTTATTTTTAAAACAATCTCTTCTCATTTTATATACCAATCCCACTCCCTCCCCTCCTCCCATTCCCCCACCTTTCTGCCATCCTCCCCTCCCCCCATCCATGGGAAGTCAACAAAGTCTGGGACATCACTTTGAGGCAGGACCAAGGCCCTCCCCCATTATATCTAGGCTGAGCAAGGTATCCCTCCATAGGGAATGGGCTCCAAAAATTGAGCTAATAATGTTAGTAAACTGACTTCCTTTCTAGGTGAGACACTATCAGGAGGCTGTTATGTCACACACGGTGTGGAAAGCAGAGGTTCAGACTCCATTTTTTTTTTTTTTTTTTTTTTTTTTTTTTTTTTTTTTTTTTTAAGATTTATTGATTTTTTAAATATAATGTGTGTGGGAATATTACATGAATGTATGTTGTATACCACATGTGTGCCTGGTGCCCAGAGAGATCAAAAGAAGGTGTTAGATCCCATAAAACTGGAGTTATAGCCAGTTGTGAACCTCCATGTGGGTGCTGGGAATGGAACCCTGGTCTTCTGGAAGAGCAACCTGTGCTCTTCACCCTGAGCCATTACTCTAGCCCTTGACTAGTTACTCTATTTAATTTATTCCTTGTATTATCATTGATTTATATTTTTCAAAGCCAGGATTGAGAATTGAGGGGCTAATTATTCATGTCTTATAGGTCTTATCCTTCTTCATTTTAAAATGTAAACTTTTTTTAAAGTCTTAGTTGTGTGTTTATGTGTGTGTCCCAGTGTGCGTTTGTGCACATGAATGCACTGCTCTCGGGGCCAGAAAAAGGCCTTGGATCCCCTGGGCTAGAGTGCTAGGAACCCAGCTCAGGACCTCAGAAGAGCAAGAAGCATTGAGATTAGACAGTGGCACCCTTTAAGTTTCTGCCACAACAGTTAATTACATCCAAAGACCATTCTTTACATCTGGGGGAGGTGGCAAGAAGACTGAGGCAAAAGGATTGTGAGTTCGTGGCCAGCATGGTTACATAAAGAATTTAAGGTCAGTGTGAATTACATAGTAAGATCCTGTCTCATAAAGCCGGGAGCTGGGCCGTAGCTCAGCGGTGGAGCATTTGCCTACATGTTCAAGGACTTGGCTTCTGTCTCCCAACATTGACAGGAAAAAAAACAGAGTCTTTTGCTCACTGCTAGCAATATCCATAGCTATTGTATTATATATGCATTGGCCAGAAAGGTGTTTCTAGGCCACTAAGAGAAAAAAGTCTTGAACTCTGGAGAAACTATTTTGAAGAAGGGTTTGGGTCTGTTGGGGACATGTAGAAATTGAAGGGAAACCCTGTGCATTGGTTGCTTAGATCTCTGGCTTAAGCCTGTGAACCATGGGTAGCTTATAGGTCTGATCTCTGTGGATCTAGGGATGGCTTGCTCTGACTTTCTGAAACCTTTGCTTTTGGGTATTTTTTATTAGTCTTCTGTACAGTAGACACAGTTATGTACTCTAGTGCTAACTGCAGCCTTTAAAGTTGGCCAGTGTCCTATTTGTCGCCTAAAACCCCCATTGTTTTCTTAGAAAATAAATACTTTTGTTAACTTTACACAGGTCATGTGTACTGGGTTTGGAAGTAATTGCTCTAGGTTCCATAGTTTTAACTAATCATTTTTTTACATTTCTAATATAGATTGAAAGGAAGCTTGTCCTGCTCAGTGTTCTTAAAGAGCCCGTGTGTCGCTCTATATTTGATTATGCTCTGAGGTCCAAAGACATCACTAGCTTGTTCAGACATCTTCACATGCGTCAGAAGAAGCGAAATGGCTCTCTTCTTGACTGCCCTCCACCTGAGGACCCTGCCATAGCACAGCTTCTGAAGAAACTGCTCTCACAGGTGAGTCCCTTCTCCTACCTTCATGTTAACGGGTTTCACAACAGTGTTGAAACATCTATTTAGGTGTTAAAAATGTTCTTGATTAGGTTACATCATGACAAATGAAAATAAATTTGTCAACATCTTCTGTATTCTCTGTGGTATCTAAGCAAAGACAATAGAATTAGCCTAAAACACAGAGTTAGACTAAATTAGGAGCCATGGGAGACTATCAACTTTCTTTTGTGATTGCTAAGAGACTAGAAAGAGCCTTGGATTTAAGTACTATTTTTAGTTCAGTTCTGTACTTTACCAAAATATAATGAAGTTCAGCTAGAAGAAATATTTCAGAACACAGACTCGATAGGATCTGCCTCATCCCAGTCCAGATTCACACTTGTTACTGCATGCAAACAGCTACAGTAGTCTGGATGTACAGTGTCTTTTTGGTTGAATAAGCCAGCACTTTACTGTTGTTTTTAAGTCTGAATTTGGATCAGTTAACAAACCCCATAGAAACTAAAAACTTTCCAGTAAAACCCTTTTGCTCTATTTGGCATTGGAGGGCCTATTTTGAAATACTAAATTAGATTCATCTTTCTGTTTTATATGGAATGTGTGAGACCCAGAGTTAAAACTGAAATAAACATGCTTCTAAGTAGCCGGGCGTTGGTGACACACACCTTTAATCCATTCTGTTCACGTTTGTGTTCCCCGCTGTTTGCCCAAGTGCCTCCCTGACTGCCACTCGCTCAGTGCTAGCTCCCGTTGTTGGATGCACGTCAGTCAAAATCACTAGACTGTCTGACTTTGGTGCCTCTGAAAGGCAGTGTTTGGTATATCTGTCATTCTCATCACATTTGTCCGAGTGGAGAACAGAGGAACAAATTAGCCTATCTTAGGTAGTTGCTGTTGACAGCATCAGGAGGCTCACAAGCTCGAGGAGACTACACTTGCTGCCAGCAGAAGTGCAGTCAGGCCAGCATGTGAGCGCCCAGTAAAAAGCACAGAAACCACTAGGCTCCATTGTAAGACACCTGAAGAGTCTGCTGCTGCGTGTTCTTTCCGTGTTCTGTAACTGTCCTTAAAGCCAGTGCAAGCAACTTGTGTTATCTCTGTGCTGTAGGTAGAGATGCAGTGCAGTTCCCGGTGCTCTCGATGCTTTAAAGCTGACATCGTAACCTAAGCCCATTATTACTGTTCTGCTGCTGTGCTCCTACTCAGATTATAGAAACAAAGTCCAAGATGGCAAGCTTGTTTGATTTTGATAGGTGCATGAAGAAGCCTATGTGTAGCAGCTCCCTTCTCCATGTTTCCTCCTCTTCACTGGTTTTAGCCATTATTCTGTTTAGGTTACTAGCATCACTAAAAGAGGCTTGGATTCTGGGGACACTCTGGAGGTAGAGTCTGAGTTCTTGTTTGTAATGGCCAGGCTAAGAAGAATGAGAGCTATAGCCTCTCCCAGTGGGAGCTCTGAACTCCTTTGTCTTAGGGCTCAGCCCTTCTTTGCACAGTTTTGTACTTGAGGTGTTACTGGTAGAGGGGCTTCTCCAGAACAGCTGGTGCTGCTGTTGTGGGTCATATGTTCTGGGCTTGAGATAGAGGGCTTAAACATGCCTTTGGAACAGCAGTCATGTGGGGCTTGGGATCTCTCCAGCAGGGTGTATCATCAGGAGGTGACACATTCAGGGATGCTTTAGTTAGATCTCATCTATAAGAGCTCATTTACTAAGGGGCTGTAAAGGACACGGGATGATTCATTCCACCCTGATTTTAAAAAATACATTTTAAACTTTTGACTGGATTTTTCTGTTAGTACTTTTCGACTGGACTGTGCAGGGTAGATACAAGTGCAAAATTGAAGTGGCCTGAAAAGATGCATAATAACATTCAAGTTTTCCTCTGGCCCCTCAGTTGGCATCCATCTAACCTCTCTGTTAGTTGTGAATTGTATGTTGCTGATGCTGAATCCCTTTTCCTAGCATCGGACCTGGTCTGCTGACACTTGTAGTCAGTTTCATCCTTTCTAGCCTGGCTTTCATGCTTTGCAAGGACAGGTCCAGAGCATACCTCTTACAGCCCCTTTAGCCCCACCAACATGATGCTCTGTGGACATGCTCACACAACAGTCTGTGTTTCTAGAAGCTCTTCACCTTTGGCAGGTGTTCTGGGAAGTGTGTGGTCTGCTGCTTTGCTGTTGCACTTTCCCTGGCCTAGGTAGTCTCTGTATGCATGTGTAGTCTAATTTTCAGCCAAAGAATTAAGACCCCCCAGCCCTCCCCCCAGCCCTCCCCAGCCCTCCCCACCCTCCCCCAGCCCTCCCCACCCTTCCCCCCGCCCCACTCCTCCCCACCCCTCCCCCCAGCCCTCCTCTAATGTGCTCATTGTGTACAGCTGTCTTCTCCACTTTCCTCCCTTCTCCATTGACTTTTGTGAGCTTGGGTCTGTTGTCTACTGGGTTCCTTTTCCATGGCCATGGTCTAGAAGCTCCCCAGAAAGGACTCTGGACATTAAGAGAAGGACTCATGTCTGTCTTGGGGATTGTAAGCTGGGCCGCCTGTTTTCTCAGCCTGAGGTGTCATTTCCTATTTTTCAGTCCACCTCTAAGGTTGTTTAAAGTGGGAAGGTGACTCTCACCCCTGTTACTCCATCACACTGGCAGCAGAAGCCTGCCTCGTGTTAAATGCTGGATGAGTAAGTGCTGTGCCTATCAGGCCATCCACAGAAGCCTGCGCTGGGTTGAGTGCTGGATGAGTAATGCTCGTTCATCAGACTAGCAGTGCCAGCTGAGTACGGCTCTGTAACTTAGCCTTGGTTCTGACAAAGTCCTTCCTTCCTTCCTTCCTTCCTTCCTTCCTTCCTTCCTTTCTTTTTCGGGATTGTTTTGGTTATGCCTGGTCTTTACATTTCTTTATGAGTTCTCAGAAATCAGCTTGTCACTTCATAAAATGATACCAGCTTATTGGTGTGTTCATTGATGCTGCATTGAGCCTGTAGGAAGCAACTGAAGTCCAGCAGTGTTAAGTCTGCTGGCCATTAGGGTGTGGTGTATGTTCCCACTGTATGGTCATCTTATCGGCCTCAGTGATGTTGCATGGGTTATGTGGCAGTGCTTTTGTCCCTCATTCATTGTGAATATTTTGAGTGTTTGTTTAATTAGGTGTTTGTTTGTTTGTTTTTGAGTCAGGATGTTTTTATAGCCCAGGCTGGATTGAATTTAGTCTTTGGGCCTCAGCTTCCCGAGTGCGGGGATTACAAGGGCAAGCCTTCATTATTGTTCACCCAATAAATTTCTGCTTTTGAAATTAACCCAAAATCCACGATTTAATTTGGTTTTAGGGCATGACTGAAGAAGAGGAAGATAAACTTCTGGCACTGAAGGACTTCATGATGAAGTCAAATAGAGCAAAAGCTAATGCGGTAGACCAGAGCCATCTCCATGACAGCAGCCAGAAAGGTGTCATCGACTTGGCAGCCTTAGGCATCACTGGGAGACAAGTTGATCTTGTTAAAACCAAACAAGAACCAGATGAGAAGCGGGGTTAGTACATCAGTGTGCTTATTTTGTTGTTATTAATATAAGGCTGGAATTAGTTAATAAAGAATAAATGCACAGACACACACCTGTTTCCCAGATAGAGAACCTTGAGGTACAGTGTCTCAGTTACTTAGTAAGTAGATACAGGAGAATCACAGTTGAAAGCCCAGATCACAGCTCTGTCAATGAAGGCCAGTCTCCAGAGCTCTCCACCTCTAAGACCACGATGCCCCTTGAGGAAGGGCTGATTCAAGCCATTTTCTAATCCTTTCATGGCTAACTCAAGGCCAGCCTCTGTAAAGTCAGATACAAGTTTCTAGAGCATTAGTAGGCAGTGCCTGATGAATTTAAAATAAACAAAGAAATAAAGTGTAGAGGCCAAAGAATTTTTAGTCATTTGCTAACTTGATATTTGGAACTGCCATCTCCTGTGACACCGACATCAGTTGTATGAGGCTCATATGATCTTGCGCATACCATTTCTGCAGGTATGGATAACTGTTAAGTATATGCCTTTGAACACCCCCCCCCGCCCTGGTTCCTATATCATATTTTAGGGCAGCAAATTATATTGACGTAAGCTTTGGGATAATGTGTTTGCAACTTAATTACTAATGGCTTACATGGATTATATATAAAACACCTACATAGATCAGTAAGAAAAAAAATCAAGCACTCCAAAGGAAATAGGTGAAGTAGTTAAGCAAATAATTGGCAGAACAGAATGTTATACATGAAATGTAAATAATTAAATAAATGCAAATTAAAATGTCCATTTTCCACCTGGATCAATATGGACAATTCCTAGTGTTGGCAAAAAATTGTAGGTGAATAAACATTTCTATATGCTGGGGTTATAAGTTGAACATATCTATGTCTATATACGTGCCTACAGGGACATAGAGCTGAATAGAATGGAACCCAAGGGACACAGGAAGTAAGGTCCATTGTGCTCTCTTATAAACAGACAATCAAATCACATTGGTTTTACCTTCAGACTAACTATTCCAAATATATTTTCATAGCTAGAAAGCACGTAAAACAAGACTCCAATGTAAATGAAGAATGGAAAAGCATGTTTGGGTCACTGGAACCACCGAACATACCACAGGCCCTGCCTAAAACCAGTGACCACGAGGTGGTTCAGACTGGGAAGCCATCTCGCTCTGAGTCCTCTGCTGCTATTTGTGTCCCTTTGTCAACTTCTCCACAGGTACTGCCATATGGACAATAGTCATCCTTATGTCTGGGTTTGGTTGTGCTGTTTTATATGTTGAAAGGCTGTGTACTGTGGAGAGATCAAGTTTTTGTTTGTCTAAGATCAGTTTGCTTTAGTTTTATAGCCAAGGGAAACCCAGTTCCTTAAGCACAGAGAAGGCCACTCATTTGAGACACTTGCCACTAAAGCAAACTGAAATAGGGCTAAAGACTGAGCTGAGATCATAATTAGGCGACAGAGAACATTTTAAAACTTAAATCTTTTCATTCTTCCGTCAGCGTTTGTAACTTAAGACAACAACCCCAACCAGTCATGCTTTAATTAGAAGAAGCTGACTCAGACCAGTTGAAATTCACTTGTTTTTTACACCTGAGTTAATAGTGTTTTTTTTTTTTTTTTAAAGCAACAGAAGCTGGTGTAAGGTATGGATGCAACATGGGAACATTTTTATATTAAATATACCTTGCTATGACACAGAGATCTATACCATGTTTTTCAGATTTCTGAAGTAGCACACATCCCCAGTAAGAAGCCAGTGATTCAGGTTTTAAGTAGCACAGTCCTGCCGTCCACTTACCAGATCCGGATCACCACTTGCAAGACTGAACTTCAGCAGCTCATCCAGCAGAAGCGTGAGCAGTGCAATGCAGAGCGCATAGCCAAGCAGATGATGGAGAATGCCGAGTGGGAAAGCAAGCCACCTCCACCCGGTGAGGATCCCGAGTCCCTGCCTGGAATCCAAGCCTGGGGTCAAATTAAGCATCCCTGATCCAAAAAGCCAAAATCCTCAGCTTAAAAGTTTTGGAGTTTTAGCATTTCTGATGACAGGCTTTGGTTAGGGAGGCACATGACAACCTCTGACATCTGAAACACTTGTGCTCCAGAGAGTCTTGGAAAGGGCTCCTGAGCCTGCCCCAGGTAGCATGTACTTTGATAGACAGAGGTGTGAGAACAACTCAGTTGAAAAGCCTAGAGCAAAAAACAATAGGTAAGAAGCCTTAAGTCATTATGTGCCTGACTTAGGATCTTTAGCTGTGATTGCCACTCCACATTCAGGCCAGTCACTTAATTTAGCCTGTCTGTGCTTCATTTTTCCTGGCTGGTGCCAGGTCATGCCTCTCCCCACTTTCATGTTGCCTCTTTGTGAATGTCAGGCTTCTAGGGATAAACCCCTGCTTTTAATTATTGTACTGTTTACCCTCTGGTTAATATTATTACTAAAGAAAAGCTAGGACATCCAGAAAATATGGAGATTGTTGGAAAAAAACCGATAATTTATAATGCCAGCATTTTACTAATTACCAACATTAAGAATTCACCAAAATGTTCTAAAGAGATGGCTCTGCAGTTAAGAACACTGGCTACTCCTGCATAGGGCCTGGGTTTGATTCCCAACACCCACATGGTGGCTTACAACCATAACTTCAGTTCCAGGGGATCCAACTCACTATCTGGCCTCCTTCGGCACCAGGCATATATGTGGTACACGGACATGCAGCTAAAACACCCATGCATTATCTTTAAAATAACTTGGTAAAACGGTTCCTGTATTCTGAGAGGGCTGAATAGAAATGGAGAGTATGTTGGGATGGGAATGTGGTCTTAGCAGCCTGTTTTGTGCCATGTGGCATGTTGCTCTTTGGGATGGTGGGGTTGAGACAGGGTTTCTCTGTGTAGCTTTGTAGACCAGACCAGCCTCGAACTTACAGAAATCCACCTGCTTCTGCCTTCTGAGCACTGGGATTAAAGGTGTGTGCCACTGCTATATATAAATTTTAAAGACAGTTATGTGCTTGGAACTATGCTGGGCACTGAAGTCATTGATGAGACATAATTTTTGATAGTTTGTAACTTTGGGGAAATTAATTATACATAAAAATATGCATAATAAAATGCAGAAAATTATAGTTGCCATTTACAGAGTACTAGGAAGTCCTTGTAGGTTCTGAGGCTGTAACTTCTAATTCTAGTGTGTTTACACCATAGAAGAGATTGCAGACAAAGAAGAGAGTAACAATCTTGGCATTTTGCCTTTTTTGTTCCTTTTGTTTTGATACAGGTCTAAATAGTCCTGGCATGTCTGCCTGACATCTGGGTGGTCATGTGGGCTGGGGAGTGTTGGACCCACACATGTTGTTTATGTGCATACCCACCCCTTTGGGTTAAGTGGAATATCCCCATATTATAGTTGAAAAGATAAAAACTCAGGGAAGTTCACCAATAGCCTGGGTGACTCTAGTGTCCCAAGCTGGGGTTTTATAATGTTCTTCCTCAGAGAGTGGCCTGGAAGCTGTTTGTCTAGGCTAGGCTAGCCATACCCCATACTGCTAAGTCAGCAGTGTTTGTCCGAGGGGTAAGTGATTTCTGTGTCTCTCAAACCCTGAAAAAGGGCCCTGAGGCAGAGTCTTTCCAAAGCTGTTTGAGCAGTACTTAATCCGCCTTGGTCTCTTAGTAATATGTCATAGTCCAGTAGACCCCTCTGGGTAGGCTAGCTGTGGGACCTTTTAATTGATTGGTTCTTATGATTGCTCTGAAGTTAGCTGTTGGTAATTGTAGCTAGAGGGTAGTAAGTGATCATGTCTCTCAACCATGGTTTAAGATACACTGTTGTTGCTTTTTCTCATGGTTTATACACTGTTGCTTTTTCCTCACTATTTAAGATACACTGTTGCTTTTCCTCACCGTTTAAGATACACTGTTGCTTTTCCTCACGGTTTAAGATACACTGTTGCTTTTCCTCACGGTTTAAGATACACTGTTACTTTTCCCTCACTATTTAAGATACACTGTTGCTTTTCCTCGCTGTTTAAGATACACTGTTGCTTTTCCTCACGGTTTAAGATACACTGTTACTTTTCCCTCACTATTTAAGATACACTGTTGCTTTTCCTCGCTGTTTAAGATACACTGTTGCTTTTTCTCAGGGTGGCGTCCTAAAGGGCTACTAGTTGCACATCTTCATGAACACAAATCTGCTGTAAACCGAATTAGGGTCTCTGATGAACACTTACTTTTTGCAACATGTTCAAATGACGGCACAGTGAAAATCTGGAACAGTCAGAAGATGGAGGGGAAGACCACCACAACAAGGTAATACGTCGTGTTGCATGATGGGGTTAGCTGTGTGAGCTAAATCAGCAGTACTTACGGAGTTCTTTATCTGCATCAGAGCTCTTAGGAGCAAGGGATTTGTAGGGCTGTGTGGACCAAAGTCCCATGCCACTGGCCATCTGGCAAGTGAGACAAAGGAATGGGGGAATGTTGTGGGGCTGGAATTTTCAGTACACTGTCCAGAGACTACCTGGCACAGAAAAATGAGTTGGAGAATTGGAAGAAGGAGAAAGAACCTTGTGGGTATGTTGAATGTTCTGGGAGGAGGAAACAGGGATTTTAGAGGCCCAGGTTGGGGGTGAGGGCCTAGTCAGTCATTACTGACAGAAAGTTTTGTGTAACTTGAGTAGAGAAAGCGAGAAGAGAGAGGAGTAGTGTTTTGACTCAAGAGGTTTTTTGAGTGAGAGGGGCCATCAGAAGGTTGTGAACAGAGGAGAGTCGTGGTCACAGATGTCAGGAATGGCTCTGGCTATGTGTTGAGGGTAGGATGAAAAGGATAGGGCCATAGCAGTCGGAGGAATGGTCACTGTGATGCAAGGAGGAGATATGTGGTATAGACCGTGGGAGGGGCCAGATTCTGTATCTGTTTTGATGACTCAGCAACCTGATTTACCGAATACATTAAAGGGGTTTGAACAGAAGTAATAATACAATGGACTGCACAGCTGCATCAGGAAAACAAGACCCCACTGCCCTGGAACCTGGTTTTTAGGACCAGCGCCTTTGAGACTTTCAATGCCCAGGGTATGACTTTGATAAAGGTGACTATCATAATAAGGACTTTAGATCTGGTCAGCATGATACATATGTCTCCCACCCCACCCCCTTGAGGTTTTCCAATCCTCCTCTGCCTCTGCTCAGTCTTTGTGTCTCTCTCATTTAATTCTGCCATTTTCCTGTTTGCTCTTTGCCTAATTGGTTCTGCTAGAAGAGCTACCATAAATGAGAATGAATCTCATCTACATTGAAAGAATGTGGGGAACTTTCTGCTTCTTTTCTTGTTATTAGTTCATTGAGCATAATTAACTAAAATGCTATCAAACCAAATATCCTTGACAACTAAAGTAACTTAAAAGCCCACTTATTATTTACCAGCCCAGTAAGCTAGGGGGTTAGCTGTGTATTTGTTTAAAGAGCTCTGTAATTTTACATTATACCTATTATTTCTATGTTTATTCTCTCAGCTTTACATTGAGTAGAATATAAATGAAAAGTCAATAAAAGAACCATTCATGTGTGTAGCAATTTTATTTTTGTTTTGTATAGATTTTTTTATTTATTTTACATTTGAACTGCAGCCTCCCCTCCCTCTTCTCCTCCCATCCTGTCTCCTCCATGCCTCCCATCCACCCCTCCTTAGCAATCACTCAAAAAGGGGTAGGCCTCCTGTGGGCTTTAGCAAATCATGGCATACCAGGCTGCCATAAGACCAAGCACATCCCCCTGTACGCAGACTGGGCAAGGCAATCAAGTGTGAGGAATGGGTTCCTAAGAGCCAGTCAAAGCACAGGGGACAGCCCCTGTTCCCATTGCCAGGAGTTCTACATGTAGATCAAGCTACACAACTGTCACATATATGCAGAGGACCTATGTTGGTCCCATGTGTACTCCCTTGTTGGTTCAGACTCTGAGTTCCCATGAGCCGGCTAGTGATGTCTGTGGGTTTTTCTGTGATGTTCCTGACTCCTCCCCGCTGTTTCCCACATTCCTTCCTCCCTCTCCTCATCAGAACTCTGAGCACAGCCCAGTGTTTGGCTGTAGGTCTCTGAATCTGCCTCCACCAGTCACTGGATGAAGGCTCTCCATCAGTGGGGTAGTCACCAATCCAGTCACAGGGCACAGCCAGTTCAGGCTGTGCATCCACTGCTGCCAGGAGTCTTAGCTGGGGACATCTGTGTGGACTTGTGGGAGTTTGCCTTGAGTCAGGCTTCTATTTGACGCCATAAAGCCCCCAGTCTAGTCATCTCTCAGCACTATCCTCCTCTACCCATCCCTCAACCCCATCTCTCAAATTCCCATGCCCACATGCCCCCAGTCCAACCAGGAGATCTCTTTCCCTTCCTAGGGAGATCCATGTGTCCCCTCTTGGGTCCTTCTTGTTACCTAGCCTCTCTGGGTCTGAGGATTATAGCATGGTTATCCTTTAGAGTTAATATCCACTTATGGGTGAGTATGTACTTTATATGTTTCTGAGTCTGGGTTACCTCACTCAGAATGATTTTTTTCTAATTCCACCCATTTGCCTTCAAATTTCATGATGTCATTGTTTTTAACAGCTGACTCTATTGTATATATGTACCACATTTTATTTATCCTTCAGTTGATAGGCATCTAGGTTGTTTCCAGGTTATGGATATTACAAATAAAGCTGCTATAAACATAGTTGAGCAAGTGACCTTGTGGTATGATTCAGCATCTTTTGTTTGGGTAAATGCCCAAGAGCGGTATTGATTGCCAGTTTTCTGAGAAACCGCTATTCTGATTTCTAGAGTAGATTTACAAGTTTGCTCTCCCACCAGCAATGGAGGACTGTTCCCCTTACTCCACATCCACTCTAGCATAAGCTGTCATCGGTGTTTTTGCTCTTGGCCATTCTGGTAGCTGTAAGGTGGAATCTTAGTGTCGTTTTGATTTGCATTTTTCTGATGGCTATGGATGATGAACATTTCTTGGCTATTTGAGATTCTTCTGTTAAGAATTCTCTGTTTAGGTCAGTACCCCTTTTTTAATTGGATTATTTGTTTTTTTGGTGTCTAGTTTCTTGAGTTCTTTATATATTTTAGAGATCAGTCCTCTGTCAGATGTGGGGTTGGTGAAGATCTTTTCTGATTCTGTAGGCTGCCATTTTGTCCTTTTGTCAGTGTCTTTTGCATTACAGAAAATTTTCAGTTTCATGAGGTCCCATTTATTAATTGTTGATTTTAGTGTCTATACTACTGGTGTTCCATTCAGGAAGTTGTCTGCTGTGCAAATGCATACAAGGTGGGTCCCACTTTTTCTTCTGTGTAACTGGATTTATGTTGAGCTCTTTGATCCACTTGGACATGAGTTTTGTGCAGGATGATCGACCTGAATCTCTTTGCAATCTTCTACATGCTAACATCCAAGTTATGTCAGCACCATTTGTTGAAGGTGCTGTCTTCCTCCATTGTATAGATTTTTTTTTTTTTTTTTTTAGTCAACATTTTATTGTGGAAATTTCAAACCTCCAAGCAAGTTGTTTTTATCCTCAGCAATACTCACCCTTGGCATATATTAATATACTTCACAACAATAGTTGACCAGAAAGAGAGAGAATATAATGTTAAAACAGAGATGTGTCTTTAAATTAAGATGCTATTATTTAGTGTTTAAAAAGATGTTAATTGTATTTCTCAGTAACCTCAAAGCTTGGAAACTTTTACTAGGACTCAAAACCAAAGAAATTAAAATGCTATTCTAAAAAATAATTAATAAAAAAGGCAGCAGTCGAGAAAGCCTAAGTAAGAACAGGAATAAATGCAAAAATGTCAGAATTATGCCATCCCTGTTAGTAACCACAGTGACTAATCAGGAGGCAAAAGAGGCAGAAAGAAGCATGTAGTTGGGGCCACAGAAAAAGACATATTGAATTTAAAGGCATGAACAAGTCAAAGGGCTCAGAAAGATAAACCACACACACCCCCAGGGAGTGCTGAGAAAGATAAACCCTCAGAGAAACTGCTCCTGGGACACAGACATTCTACAGTGTGAAAGCTCAGTCCATCACGAAGGGGTGCCAGTTACAAACCAGGCACCTGACAGTATGTGAAGCAAAAAGTGACAGTTTAGCCCTAACAGCAGCAACTTTAATATCCCATTTTCTGTGTGGTTAGAAGCGGGTGTTGTAAAAGTGACAGAGACATAGAGGTCTGAACAATGCTGCCCGGCGATCACCTCTGACAGAGAACTCTACAGCACTGGAATACGATTTCCTCTGAGGTGGACACGGAGTGTTTTCCACACCCTCCCGTGTGTTAGTCCATAAAAGAGGGGTCAATAAATATAAAAGTCCTGAATGTTCTCCAAGTATAGTGGAATGAAACCGGGTATTGGCAATAGAGAAGAATTTGAGAAATTCACGTGTATGGAGATGAAGTAACAGATGACTGATAGCTAGTGGTTCAGGGAAAATCCTTAGAAATTAATGAAAACGAAGACACAGCACACCACCACTAAAGGAGTGTTGAGGAGATGTATACCTGTAAATATTAATCTGGATTTTGTTTTTTGAAAAGATCTCAAATCAGCAGTTTAGCTGTAACAAACTAACAAAAGGAAGAGCAGATTTACCCAAGGGAAATGGGAGGTAAAAGACTAAAAAGGAAAAAATGAGACAGAGAATAGAAAAACATAAGAATAAAAGTAAAAGCAGAAAGTTGATTCTTTGATTAGCAAAATTGGAAATTTTTTAGGAGAGTAACCATTTTGTTTTAAAGAAATTAAAATAGACTTGTTACTCATCAGAATTTTAAAAGAGGGATATTATGGTCAGAAATTTTAAAAAGACTACTATGAACAGTTATATGCCAAACATTAGGATGAAATGGGCAAATTCATAGAAAGATATAGCTACCTAAAGTGATTGAAGATGACGTAGAACACATAAACAACATAAAATTAAGACATCCAGTTAGTAAAAGTCTTCTCACAAAGAAAGACCCAGGCTGGGGGTCGTGTGAACTCTACTCAACATTTACAGATTTGTAACCCATCTTTAGAAGGGCTCCCAAGAAGTAAGGGGACACTTCTGAACTTAGCCTGTGAGCAGGCATTCCCTTGACACTGTAGCCAGGGCACATCACCTGGGACCTGCAGACTTGGGCCACAGTCAGCACACTGAAAACTGACTGTAGCCTGAAAGGGCTACACACCATGAGCAAGAACAGCTCGTCCCAGGGGTGCAAGGCTAGTTCAGCGTGCGGAGATCAGCATATGGAACATGAGAATAGAGGGTAGAAACCACACAGTGATCTCTACAGACCCCAGGAATGCATTTGACAAAGTCCAGCTCAGTAAATTAGTAATGGAGAAATAACCAAAGCTACTGCCACAAGCCACAGTTGGCACTGTACTTATGTGAGGAGTGCAGGCCCTAGATGAGGAAAAAGAGAAGAATGGGTATCTTTGCCAATTCCACTGAGCAGTGCATTGGAGGGTCGAGCCGTGGTATCTGGGTAAGGAATACGGGTGTGCATGTGTGCGCGCGTGCGCGCCCACAGTATGCAATATATATATATATATATATATATATATATATATGTATATGTATATGTATATGTATGTATATGTATATATTACATACACACACACACACAAATAGGAAAAGAGAAGTAAAACTTTTTCTGTTAGCAGTCAGCATGTGTAGTGAGGGTGTTGTCGTGCTACAGGTGCAGCGGAGTGGCTCTCTTACTACAAGCATGAATCTAGTACATGGGAAAAAAAAACCATTAAATGAGAAACTAGAATGCTAGATCTTTATCCAAAGATCAATTTCATTTTCCTACACTAAGTAGTTAATTGACTACTTTGAATGTACTCTATAGTACAGTAAAGCTGTTCCTGAGAAAAAGCGAACCAGAGAGGAATGAGAGATAAAAATATCAAATGATCTGTCTTTGTTTAACAGTAAGTGTGAAAATATAACAGCTATGGGGAGTGACGGGTTAAAGTGGTGCTGATGGGATACTCAAAGTATGGCCGCAAGCAAGCAAGGACGGACGGGGACAGCTTGAGTGGTGGTCGTGGGGGGTGGGGCTGAACATTGTGGTGAGAGTCTGCATGTGTCTGATCCCGAGAGCTAAGGTACTCGAGGAACCGAGGCACAGATCATGACAGATGTCATACAGGTAGCTGGTGACAGAATTTTGCTTCCCAACTGTGACAGTCTGTGTGTTCAGGGCTGTAGAAGAACTGAAGGATATGGGATTGAAAGTGTTGCATAAGTTGGAGAATTGGTTGGGAACTTGGGGGGCAAAGGACAAGTTGGAGAATTGGTTGGGAACTTGGGGGCAAAGGCAGTCTTTATAATAGGACAGAAGTGCTGGAGACGGACATTTGAAGAAAAGGAGGTTTGTGCATTGACTCTTAGAGATGATGATGATATAATGGACCCAGAGTAACGACTTTGTTAATTGTCAATTAGTGTTAGCGATAAGGCTAAGGCTTTTTCAGACATGGTTAACTTACATTTCTTTTGCTCAGGTCTATTCTTACATACAGCCGAATTGGAGGACGAGTCAAGACCCTGACATTTTGCCAGGGCTCCCACTACTTGGCCATAGCATCTGATAATGGTGCTGTCCAGCTTCTTGGAATTGAGACTTCGAAGTTACCCAAGTCTCCTAAAATCCACCCTCTACAAAGCAGGTACCGCCTGTTGTCTTTTTTACCTTGCATGTAAGTGTACTGTGTGTTAGCTGCCACCTGCAGTGCAGTGTGGATCAACGGGTGCCATTGTACAGGCCTTGTAAGCCCTGAAGTACAGGAAACTGCTTCTGACTCAGAACACTCAGACGTGCTTAGCTTTAGAGGGCAGAGCCTTGGCATCTTAATTGCTGTACTTTGTCAGAAGTGCACAGGGCCAGTCTGGATTGGATCATCTTAGTCTCCAATCTTCCCTAATGACACGGTATTTAGCCAGATTGTCTAACTACCAGAGCACAATGAGTATGCATCATTGTTTTGTTGCTTGGCATTAAAATGTCTAAATTTGACAATATTTTTTAGACAAAGAATTGCTTATTCTAAAGTAAAAGGTTGATTGGTTTTCTTTATGAATCTCATATCTTTGTAAATTTATAAAGATTAAGCAGATGTAAAATAAGTTAAAGACAGCCTTTTTTCCCTGACCAGTGTTATGCACTAAGGATTCCAGATATAGATACCATTTCCCTTTTTTTAAAAGAAAAATATTATTATGTATGTGGGTGCATGGGTCCCACAGGGAATTTGTGGAGGTCAGAGGATAACTTTCAGGAGTCAGTTCTTCCTTCTGCTGTGGGTTTTGGAAGTCAAACTCAGGTTGTCAGGCTTGGGTGGCAAGTACTTTTGTCTACTGAGCCATCTTGCCAGACCTACATTGTGTTCTCGGAGGATCTACAGTCTACTGGACAATAAAGACAAGTTCACAGACAGGGTGAGCCCAGTATGTAATGTTCCCCCTGGAAGGCATGCATCGAGTTGCAATGGACAAAGACTGGAGAGATGCCTCAGTTGGTAAAATACTTACCTTGTAGCCACGAGGGGACCTGAGTTCTGATCTCTAGAACCCAAGTACTAAGTGGTGCATGCCTATAACCCTACTACTTTGAGATGGAAGGAGACAGAAGAATCTCTGGAAGCTTGCAGGCCAGCTAACCTGCCGATGTTCCAAAATTCCAGGCCAGTGAGAGATCCTGTCCAGACAAAAGGTAGAGGGTGTCTGTGAACTAATAGCCAACATTGTCTTCTGACCCATAAATGTGTACCGTGTACTCGCGTGTACACACACACACACGCATTAATGAACAAGTGCATGTATACATGCACACAGACACTCAAAGGTGTAAGGCATGTGAGTCTGTTAAAGCAGGGAGGGTTAAAAGGGCATGCTGGGAAGAGGTGGTGCACCACACAGAAAAACCAGAACAAGATGAGTAAAATGCTGCTTTGAGATCCTCATGTAGCTTAAGGCAAAAAAGGAATGTCTGATGGACACTAAGGATATCTTTGTTGGTTTGTTTTGCTTTGCTTTTGCATTTATAAAAAAGTGCATATTTCCAACATAATCACTAAATATATTTGAGTGGCTTTAGCCTAGGACACACTGATGCTTTTAATAGCAGAGAGTTGCCGGTATTCCTTAAAACTGTTTCAGCAGAGGTGACTGCTTATACTCAGTGCATTCATTTAAGTTGTTGGCAAAGGGCACTGTGTGATTGTGCCTCCAGGTCACACAGGCACACAATAAAAGGGGACATACATTCTGCAGGGGTCTCTCAGCTGACAACACTTTGCACTGTAGACACTACTCTTTAAGCAAATGTTTATTGCCTGGGTCAGGAGACCCTGCTAGAGTGTTCAGATTTTCCTGTGCCTGATGGTAGTGTGCGCCATAGTAACCCTGCCATTAGTTACTCATTTGTTACCTGTGATCATACTTCTTAAGCATTAGAATCAGGCCTAGAGAGACGGCTCACCAGTTAATTACAGAGGGTCCAAGTTTAGTTACCAGGAAGCATGTCAAGCCACTCCTAAATTGGTACTCACTGTGCCTTCAGTTCCAGGAGATGCCCTCATCTGGCTTCTGAGAGCATTAACACATACACGCACGCATGCACGCACAAAAAGAATACTATGGAGCAAACCATTTAATAACTTAATGTTTTGCTATTTTAAATCACCCTTTTGTTTGAAAGTATAGTCAGAAGTAGGAAATCTTCAAATGTTTATCTGGGACAGAGGTCAGTATGGTCAGAAAGTAAGACTTGATGTTTGTATTTTTGAGAATACAGAATATGCAGCAGAGGTATATATAACTGAAGACTAACTTAACAACTGACTAAATTTTAAAATCATGTCCTTTCTTTCCTCCTTGCTCTCCATTTTTTGTGAACTGAGATCAAACACAAGTTCTCATGTACAATAGGCAAATGCTTGACAGCTCAGCTACACCCCCCAGCCCTGTGACGTTCTTTTTAGTGTTAAAAGCGCCTCAGATAGGACAAAAACAAACAAACAAACAAAAAACAATTTGGAATAACTATGCAGTAGCATAGAATTCTGCAAAATGAAGGAGTGGATTATTAGCTCATGGCATCAGCATTGATGGAATCTGAAATAAGTTTCTCTGGTGAAAAGTGTCAGATTCAAAGGCTATCTGCCCCATGTTTCCAATTATATGACACTCTGGAAAGAATATAACTGGAGAGGACGAATGCAGTTAGACCTCAGATGGGCCCAACTAGGTAGGTACTTCAGCAGCGCCAGACGCTTATGTGGAGGAAATGCATAGCTATCTATGTATTTGTAATAATCCTTGTATTTCACACTAAGAACTCATTTTACTAGTGTTAAAACAAGGTTGGTTTCTTATTTCGATAAATATTCTGGCTATATAAAATGGCACTATCAGGAAAACTGAATTAAAAAATGTTCAGAAACTTCTTATACTTTCTGAGTCTGAAGTTATCTTTAAAGAACATTCAGTTGTAATTTTCTCATTGAGGTCACATAATTTTTATTTTAGTTTTATTGTCTTTTTAGACAGGGCTGTTTTAGAACTTGATATGGAGATCAAGTTAGCCTCAAACTCATAGTGACCAGATTGTTTCTGCCCCTTCTGCCTCTCAAGCGCTGGGACTAACGGGTGTGTCATGCCAACCAGCCAGTTTATTTGGGGAGGGGGCATGAATAGACTATTAGTTTATCTCAAGTAAAAATCAGTGCTCCGTTTTCAGTGACTGGAAAAGCCTGTGTATTTACTTTTGTGTTTCTAGGATTCTGGATCAGAAGGAAGATGGATGTGTGGTGGACATGCATCACTTCAACTCTGGACCACAATCTATTCTTGCCTATGCCACGGTGAATGGCTCTCTGGTTGGCTGGGACCTCAGGTCTTCAAGCAATGCATGGACATTAAAGCATGACTTGAAGTCAGGTCTCATCACTTCCTTTGCTGTGGACATCCACCAGTGCTGGCTCTGCATAGGTAAGCCAACAGCTGTGTTGGGATGCCACTAATGCCTGCAAGTAGCATCCTGTGAGAGCCAGCATTTCCTGTTTAATTCACTAGTGATTTTTCCATAACTACTATGTTATATAATGTCTTACAGTTTAGATTTCAGTAGGAGGCTTATATGAAGTGTAGCTCAGTGAGAGTGCTTGCCTGATATGCCTAAGTCCCTGGCCATACTCTGTAATACCACACACAAACTAGGATAAAGGGTATAGTTTAGCAAGGTATGGTAGTGTATTGTAGTCATGGTGGTTGGGCAGTGTGCCCTTGCAGTCAAGGTGGTTGTCTGGTAAAGGCAAGGGGATCAGGAGTTCAAGGACAGCTTGTGTTACATGAGAATGTATTTTTAAAAAACACAAAGAAAGCATTCTGTGAAAGATTGAAATCAGCATCATAAACCCAGAGACCAGTTTCTCGTTCCCAGCAAGCATTTGTCTTAGCCTCACAGCAATTAAGAGTTTCTGGCATTCTCTGGGCTATTGGAGAAGCTCCAACTTAAGGAAAACAGCATTTGAGTTTGAGCCAACACTTTTAAGTTCCTGTGACCTCAGACAAGCTACTTAACTGAGTCTAGCATTTTCATTTTGGGACTAACTCCTTCAAAGGCCCCTCGCTTTGAAGATGTAGTGAGCAGAAGCTCCTGTCACAGGGCCTAGAGGAAAAGCAGGACAATGGATTTCTATTTTGCCATCTCCCCACTACATTTCCCCTAAAGACTGAAGAACAATCTTCCTTATTTTTTGGTTTTCAAGTGTTTCTAAGTTCTGAACATTTTATACTCCAGTGTGACCCTTACCACAAACAGAATACAAATGGTTCTTCTGGAAATTGCCTTTAACCACTTTTAAAAATTATGTTTTAAAATGTTTACTCTGATAATTTCAACTGTGTATACATTGTATTTTGAACATATTCACCTCTGACTTCTCCCTGTGCATTCCCACACCCCTTCCCAACTTCATGTTCCTTTAAAAAAATAAAAAAAAAAAGAAATCCTGAGTGCAGTTAGTCCTGCCCATGTGCTTGGGTAGAAGGCATCCACTGGACCATGGGTAACCAGAGGCAACACGCTCAAAGCAGACCGCCTCTGCTTCCCCTAGCACCATCCTGTCTGCTCAGTTAGGGGTAGGGGTTATGAGCCCCTTCCTTTTCCACGCTAGACTGTTGGCTGCCTTCTCTTGCGTAGGTCTTGTGTAGACATCCACAGCTGTGTGGGTTTGTGACACTGTGTTACCCTGGTCCTCCATGACTGCTTACCGTCTTCCTGACCCAGTACCTTCTGTGGGGAGGGTGTCCCCTGTGTAGGGTAGCTCCATCTAAACATTTGTATGAGTTTGAGAGCAGGCTGCACATGGCTTCCTGAAGGTTCTCAGTGTGAGTTATCCCACCACACCCTTTGCTTTACCCTCCTATTCCTCTTTCTCTGTCACATCGCCTGTTTTCTACTGTCTTCCCTATCTTAAGATGTCCCTCCGCACCACATGGCCCCTGTCTAGTTTCCTGGGTTCGAAGATGCTCCAAGTGTAACACAGTTCTAAGGTTCTGATGCTAGGATCTGTGTGAGTGAGAACATGCAACGTTTTTCTTTTTGGATCTTTGTTCCTTAAGTATAAGGTTTCTAGTTTCATACATTTATCTTTGAATTTCCTAAGTTCAGTTTTCTTTACAGCTGAATAAATTTCATTGTGTATAGGTACCACATTTCCATTATCCATTCAGCAGTTCATGGACATCTGAGCTGTTTGTTTCCTAACTATTGTGAATAGAGCAGCAATGAACATGACATAGAGCCCTTTGGGTATTTGCCCAAAATCAGCGTAGCTGAACTACATGATCGATCTAGGAGGTTCTAGGAACCTCCACACTGTCTTCCAGAGTGGCTGCACCGGTTTGTACTCCCAGCAGCACTGGGTGAGGGCTCCCCTTCCCCCACACCCTCACCAGCCTTTGCTGTCATTTTCTTTAACCAGTGTAAAACCAGTCATCTGATTTTTGTCCCCACTGTTTCTTGCTCTTTCCAGAATGTCACAGAAATGGAATCATACAGTGTGCATGTTTTTATTTTTTGTTTTTTTCTCACTAAACATAAAGTTTGTAAAGCTATTCCATTGTCTTCATGTATGAGGAGTTTTAAATTATTTATAGACAGTTTGTGTACTGACCACCCATGCTCCAGTTGGATGATTGAATTGTTTTGAGTTTGAGGCTTTTCTGGTTAAATTTTCTGTAAATATTTGCAAGTAGGTTTTTGTAGCAACTTTAATTTTGTTTTTCTGAGCTGTATACCCATGAGTGTTATTGCTGATTAAAAAAAGAAGTCAAAATTTTATAATTTTAATTGCACCAATATTACTGTATATCTAGGGGATATGATGTGAATATTTTGGCACATATTTATAATGATTAAATCAGGAAATTAGGAAATGACACCTCACATATTTTGTGGTAAAAATATTTAAAACCTTCAGTAATTGGGATACACAATGCATTGTTATTAATTATAGTGAAGGTTCTGTGTGTCATTAGTTACAGTGATAGCTGTGTGTCACTAACGCACTTTATGTTGCTTGGCTTTAGCACTGCTTCTCACCACCTTCCTCCCCCTTTCCTCTCCTTTTCAAAAGGTCCCATTTTCCCATGGTCTCCTGTGTACTGGAGACAGGGTCCTAATGTGTCCAGGCTGGTTCATGACACCCAAGAATGTCCTTAGACTTCTGATCTTCCTACCTCTGTCTCCCAAATGCTGGGCAACTCAGTGTCTGGCTCATGTGGTACTGGGCATGAAACCAGAACTTTGTATGCTAGGCAAGCACTCTGCCCATTGGCACATAACCCTAGGCCGCTCCCCTGCACACTGCTTTGAATATGGCCCTTAAAAGCACCATGTTTTCTTCTTTCTCTCATACCAGGAAAAGTTAAGGCTATCTGTACTTGTGGTTAGGTTTCTGGATCCCTTAGTTTACTCTGTCGTCGTGACATATCTGCCCTTTCCTGTATTCGTTTTATGTAGGTACTGGAAGAGGGCCGCATCCAGAGCAATGCAGAACATGAGATAGTAGGTTTGCAGAGAAGAGAAGTGTCTTAGGTACCCTGAGCAGCTCTGAGGAGGGTCACTGGTGCCACCCGTGGCTGTCTTCATCATTGTCATGGAGTATGGCAGAGAGACCTGGAGGGACCCACTGTCCTTTTGTTCATCTCAGCTGCCCAGGGCTGGGACAGACAGCGTTGCTGGGACAGACAGTGTTCTTCTGCCACAGGGCCGTTCTTCTTTAGTAGAGTTTAAGATGCCGTGGGGAGGTTGTGTGCACAGCTCCCCATTTTCTTCTGGGCTTGGACACCTGTACCTGTCTGCAGAATGTTTTGGAGCAAAGGACACATGGAGATGATTACAGTCCAGTGACAGACATTAATTGCTGCCACTTTGGACTTTATAGTGGTCACTGGGTTTCAGTGAAAACAGGTCTGTTCTTCAGGCAGTCTGAGTGTTCTGACCCGCCAAATTCAGCTTCATCTTCTCTACCTACAGCTTCTGGTTATGTGGGTGCCTTTAGCAGTCTATAGCAGCGTCAGTATTTAATGAATTATTCATTTTGAATTTGCATTCATTAGACAACACTGTAATTGCATGATGATAAGCACTTCATGGCTGTTATTTGGCAACCATAGCAGCTGTTTGAAACTGGGGAGACAGCCTCATGGGAGCAAAGTCCTTTTTCTTCCCATTCTTGGCAGTACTGGGAAGCGATTCCAGGGCTTTCTGTATACTAGGCTAGTGCTGCACTGATGAGTTATGGCCACAGTCCTATTTGCAGATTTTTTATATATATATATATATATATATATATATATATATATATATATATCTTGAAACATTTGAAACATGGTTTCACTAAGTTGCTCAGGCTGGTCTTGAACTTGTTCTGTAGCTCAGGCAGGCCTCAGCCTCCAAAGTAGCTGAGAGTATAGGCCTGTGATACCAGGCTTGGCAATAAAACATTTTACTCAGTAACTTGGGAACTTCTAAAATACCTTATCCAGGGATGTGCATGTCTAATCCTGGTACTAGGGAGGTGGCACCAGGTGCATCTCTGATTTTGAGGCCAGTCTGGGCTACATAAAAAGTTTCAGACCAGCCAGGGAGATGTAGTGAGACCCTGTCTTAATCAAAAGTCTAAAAGTGTATTCATGTGAAGGCATCACTGCTTGTCATTGTTATAAATGCAGCGTCGTGTGCTTTGCTGCTTAGATTTTAATGGTTTGTGCCTTTTTTAAACTTGAGGCACCAGCAGCGGTACCATGGCGTGTTGGGACATGCGGTTCCAGTTGCCGATCTCCAGTCACTGTCACCCCTCCAGAGCTCGCATCCGGCGCCTGTCCATGCACCCCTTGTATCAGTCCTGGGTCATTGCAGGTAAGCTGCAGGGCTGGCATTCAGGTTGGGAAGTTACACTGTGTGCTGTTGCCGAGACTCTTGCTCTTAGAGTCTTTACTAGGAACCGGATGCTTGCTTCTTTTCATATAGAAGCTGCCCACCATTACGTGTTCAGTTCTGAACTAGCACCATCAACCATTACCACCATTCTCCATTCCTTTCTTTCACCATCTCTCATCTTTCATTTTATTTCTTTTAAACCTGTGTATTTTTGTTGAAACTGCCAGCGTCTCCCTAGAAATGTAAGGAAGAGCCATGGGTCCCTCTTCTGTTTCTTCTGTTGCCGTTCTTTCTTGCCTACATCAGTGTTTCTCACATGCTCCCTGCCTCTCCGCCACTGGGCACTCCATGCTCCTGATACTTGAGCTCTCTTTTTAATGTGTGTGGGTGTGTTGCCTGTGTGTCTGTGCACATGTGTGTGCAGTGCCCTTGGAGGCCAGAGGAAGGCATCATACCACCAGGGACTGGAGTTAGGGACAGTTGTAGGCTGCCCTGTGAGTCTAGGAGTCAAACTGCAGTCTCTGGCAAAGCAGCTAGTGCTTTTAATTGTAGAGCCATTTCTCCAGCCTCACTTGGACATACCTTTGAGATTCATTTTCCTTATCTGTTAAGTAGTGTTGAAAACACCTTATAAGAATTTGGGGTGAAATATCAAACACAGACTGGCAGCAGAACTAAGCTTGATAATTTTAGGGTTTTCATCTGTCCTCGTGTTTCTCACGTACACGCGCACACTCTGGAACCTAGAAGGAATAAAAGTGGTGAACGGAGAAAGCCAGCTAGCACAGCTATTCCCCGGCCTCTGTGATCAAGCTGTTCTGCTGCCCTCCCCCTCCTCGCCATGACGAACTGAGAAGATGAGCCATAATAAACCCTGATTCATTTTGCTCAGTCATAGCAATGCATAAACAGACTAACACACCGAGAAACTGCCAAGCTCTACCAAGGTCCAAACGGCTTTATGTGGGCTTTTCTACCCAGCCAGGATCCCAACCAGGCAGGTTTCTTTCTAAAGGTTCCTGCACACAGGTGTGGGGAGAGAGACATCACAGATGGTGTGCAGGAGGTGTGGTGAGGGTCTGGTTATTGGAGTTTACAAAGGTGTTGAATAGAAAAGCCACCTTGACGGAACAGTGGTGTGTGTGTGTGTGTGTGTAAGCATGAGCAGGCTCTCTCACACCCGAGTGCACGTGAAGGTCAGAGGACAATTTTCCAGTTACTTCTCTCTTCCTTGTTTTCGAGGCAGGGTCCCTCCTGTTTCTGTTGCTGAGTTATATACTCTACGCTAGCTGCCTTATGAGCTTCCAAGCAATCAATCCTCCTGTCTCCACCTACCATCTGGCTGTACAAATGCTGGGATTATGCTAGCAATGCTGTGCAACACTGCATCTGGCTCTCTACTTGGATTCGATGACTAAACTTGGGCCATCAGGCTATCTAAGCAAGCATTTTACCCTCTGAGCCATCTCCTCATTCCAAACAGTGATTTTTGAGGTGAGGGAGAGTCAGGCTGGATACTCTTTCTCCTCTGCCTTTGGTCTCCTGTCAGGGCTGTTCACACTTGATGAATGAACACAGACTTACAAGGGTTCTGCACTTAGAAGTCTGAACTGCATTCTGTGAGTGGAGTCAGTGTGGTGTCAGGACCACATTGGAGGCTGTGGGAGACCCCACTGCTGGCTTCCTGCTTCCCTTCCTCTGTTGTTTGCCTAATGTCCCCTCTTCAGGGAGGAAGAGTAGCACTGAGGCCCATTGCTGTTGATCACAGGTCTGCCTCCCTCTTACAGGCATGCTTGTGATGGTATTCAGGGCCCCCTGGGTAAACCTGAATGATTCACCCCTTTCAAGGTCCTTAGTTGCATCTTTGAAATCTCGCTGTCATTCGAGACAACATTTACAGGTTCTCAGGAGTAGGACCTTAGACTACTTGGGGGCCATTTTCTTTTATTTTTAGATTGCTACAGGTCAAACCCATCCAGAAGCGGGATGGTACAAGAGGCAGGTGTGTGATGCATGCAGGTCAAACTTCAGAGAGGGAGTGTAACATTCACGCTGTGCTTTACCCTATATCCCCTTGGTTTGCCATGGCCTCGTTGATTCTTGCATCCCTGCTGCTCCTTCTGGCATGTTCTGTTTAGGATCCCACTAGAGTAGAAGCTCCCTGCAATAGGGGGTTCCCTGCTCTGCGGCCACCTGTCCCCCAGTGTCCTGTACAGTGCCCACAGTGAATAGTGCCAGCGCTGCAGATGTTAATAAGTGAATGAATCCTGTATGTTGTCATCCCCCTACCCCCCAAGCACAGTACCTAAGGGACAGATTCTCCGTCAGGCCCATGGTTTCTACTTTTCTAGCTGTGTCTACTCCCTGTCACAAATATCCTTCAGTTAGGGTAAAACCCCCTGAACTTTTGCCCACTCAGTTCATTCTGCCTGAAATGGGCCACCTGCTGTTCCATCTGTCCAGCATTTGGGGTCTGGGTGGGGCGTTTTGCCTCAGTCCCCGAGGTGAGCTGTTTCCATCTGTCTTTTTCCTTTCTCCATTTATACTGTAGATTCTTGAGTACGTGTGTGTGTGGGGGGGGGGGGGTCTATGTAATTTGCCTTTCCATTCCATAGTCTCTTCCAAGACCTGGTTGTAAAGCAGTATATATGTACTGTTAGCATCAAGAACAATTTTTTACACTTGCCCAGTCTGGTGACAGGTTGTGCTGCTATTTTAAGTACTTTAGTATTTCTTGCGGGATGGAAATAGATACAGGCTGCCTTGCATTTGCTACCAAGATGTGAAAAGAAGTGCTAACAGTTCTTGTCTTTGTCTCAGCTGTTCAGGGCAACAATGAAGTCTCCATGTGGGACATGGAGACTGGTGACAGGAGACTGACTCTCTGGGCCAGCAGCGCACCACCACTTTCCGAATTACAGGTTTGTCCCCAGCATTTACTGCAAAGGACAATGCTGGACGTCTTTAGGCGTTTTAGCCAGCATGGCCTCTCATGGATTCGGTGGTTGTTATGGTAACGTGAGTTGTCAGGTGACCATTGCTGCCTGTGTTCAAATTCTTTTCGTCTGCTGGGTCTGCTCCAGCAGACGTTCACGATCCCGCTCGGAGCAGAGCCTGTTAATGAGTTATGTCTGCAGGGTCTCCATGGTGGTATGAAAGCAATATGCATTCACTAGAAAGTGAGCTTGGGATTTTGGTCTTTTCCCAGGCTGATGACCTATGTTCTGCTCTTCTTGTGGTGCTGGGTATGGCAGTGAGCTATATATAGTTCCTGGTCAGGCCATAAGAGTGAATAACGAGCTTGCTCGATTAGAGAGAGTACCTTGTTTGAGTGGTGCTTGTGATACATTTGTCTATTGGTCCTGCTGCCAGGAGCATTTTGGCAAGTAAGCAAAACATAGGAAAGGTTTGGCCCCTGTAACCCCCACTTAATTGGGTCTTGTAAAGTAATCCTGAAGTTACTGGCTGACAGGGTCTGAGTGTGTAGCCCGAGCTGGCGATTCTCTGGCCTCTTCTTCCCAGAGCACTGGGTTGCTGCACGTAACCACCATGCTCAGCCAGAAGGTCTGTTTTGAAGGAGACCGAACTCAGGGCCTTGCACATGTTGTGTAAGCAGCGCTCTCCCCTGAGCTATACCTACAGCCCTTCAGAACAGGGAGTTAGGTCCTGAAGTCTTCCCCACCCCCATAGAAAAGGATGGGAGACCACTTATACAGGTCATATGTCTTGAGGTATGAGCTGCCTGTGCAGCTATTGACAGCTGTTCCCTTCTACTAAAAATGATTCTGTCGTTTATGGGATATGCTGATGTCTTTTATTTGACCGCGTGTTTCTTTCTTTGAAGCCTTCGCCTCATAGTGTCCATGGCATCTACTGCAGTCCTGCAGATGGAAATCCTATCCTGTTAACAGCTGGCTCAGACATGAAAATAAGGTGCAGTGTCTCAAAGAGTGCTTCGGGTGTAAAACATGAAAGCATGCTTCTAGGCTTTGGCAATGTTAAACTCATCAGTACCTTGCCAGACAGCTATTAGTGTCATGCTTTGATTCTAGAAAAGTCTTTTCCTGATACACCATTCATTCCCTCTCCCCCCCCCTCCCCAGGTTCTGGGACTTGGTTTCCCCAGAGAGGTCCTATGTTGTAGCAGGAAGCACTAGTTCTCCATCTGTGTCTTACTACAAGAAGATAATAGAAGGCACCGAAGTCGTCCAGGTATGGGACTTGGTTTCTTCTAACTCTTTAAGGTGGGTGGGAAGTGGGCAAGGAGAAAGTCTGGCCACATGGCTCAGTTCACCTTCCTTGCTTCTCCTTCCTGGGTGATGGAATTATGGGGTGTGCACCATTGTACCTCACTCACTTTGTCAATTTTAAAATGAACTTTTATCCCAGTATAAAAAAAGGGTTAGAAAATACATTAATACTATTTTCCTTTTACAATTGAGAAGGTTAGTAACAGAGAAGTCTTTTGTCCCAGAGCCCATAGCTAATAAACAGGAAATTGAGACCCCAGCATGGCCGTTTGCCTCGAGAGTATCAGATGTGGGCATTCCATCTCTATTCTGTCCGTGTTTATATGTCCTCAGACTGTACTGACCCATGTATAGCAGCTACTCATGCAATCATCTGATGGAACCCAGGTCACTCTGGAATCTTAATCTGTTATGTGATGCCTTTAAATAAGGTGCTAACTTCCTAGCCACGGGAATACTGTCAAGAGGTAGAACGTAGCACAGGTTTAACTTCAGACCTTTGTTTTGACTTCTACTCACTAAACAGGAAATTCAGAATAAGCAGAAGGTAGGACCGAGTGATGACACCCCTCGAAGGGGCCCAGAGTCTCTTCCCGTGGGACATCATGACATCATCACAGATATTGCCACCTTCCAGACAACTCAGGGCTTCATCGTGACTGCTTCTAGAGATGGGATTGTGAAGGTGTGGAAATAAATCATGGTAACTTGTACAAAATGTTGTAAAAATTATAAATTACCAGAATTCAAGAGAAAAGAGTCTAGAGCACAAACATGGTTTTAAAGGATGATGTGGTATTTCTGAAGTTGGCTACACAGCACGATCTGGGAGTTCTCACTGAACATGAAAACAGGTGACAAATGTAAAACTTGAAGATGAATTATGATGTCAGTTTATTTTATATGGAAAATGTAAGCTAAAATGTAAGCTATTATGTAAACATACTTTTGTTATTATAACCGCTATTCAAACTGCAAGTAAATCTATTCAAGCATCTTGAGACTTTTGCTTTCTTTGGGGCAGCATTACAGTCGTAAACAGAAGCAGGAATGAACTATGACCTTGGCTGTTGCCAGGAAGCAGGACTCTTGCTCCTACTTGCCACCTTCCAGACACTCAGGGCTGCTGTCTGCTACAGTTGAGTTCCTGGGTATCAGCTTGAGAGCGCTGTGGCCATCACTGTCATAGGCTTTACCAAAAGTTCCATCAGCTTGCATTTACTAAGTGTATGAAAAGAGAATGTTCCAGGTAAAAACATATCAAACATTATAAGGTTATAAAGTCCATAGTTGCTTTTCCAGTAAGGTAAAACTTTTTAAGCTGACATTCCTGGTTCTGTGCAGACCAAATTCTCTTTACATTTTATTCTATTCTCTTAGAAAGGGTTTATGGTGTTCAGAATATTTGAAATTAGTAGGTAAGTATACTGCATTTTTTTCATATCCCTCTTGTTATATATAACCAACAGTTTACATGTCCAGTTCAAGATTCAACAGGGTTTCTGGACAGCTTAAACTGCAGAAGTGTGAGGAAATGCCAGTCATTCAGAAGGTCAAAGTTGGCAGTGTTGGCTCTGCTTGGAGTTGTAGACTTTGGAAGCTTGACGTGGCCACTGCCCAGTTGTACATCTTGTGTGCTAAGTCCAAAGAGTCATAAGGGCTCCGGAAGTTTTTTGGTATGTAAGTATCCCCTGAGAATGGGTCTCGGGCATGGAGCTGTTGGATAAAGGAATGTTTGACAGAGACCTGGCTTCATTCTCCCTTGATTGCCCATTGCTCACACCTGCCCCACCAATGATCCTCTTTGAAAGAAGTTTATTTCCCTGAATTTGTACTATTATAATCTGATGGCTTAGTTTAGAGATAATGGGAGACAGACCCATTGCAGCCAGATATAATTAGTTTTAAGTCAGGATGTACCAATAATGCTTATTGTGTTTCTTGACTTAAATACCGCAGTACTAAATTTAGATAGCTTAGTTTTTTCTGATTTCTTCTTTTGGAGACAGAAGTCATAAATCTAGGAATTTAAGGTTTTCAAATTTGTGTTTGTATGTGTGGTGCCCTAGGAGTTTGGAAGAGGGCATCTGATCCCCTGGAGTTACAGGCACCTGGTTGGATGTTTGGAACTAACCTCCAGCTCTCTGAAGGAGCAATGTCTTCACTGCTGACACATCTCTAATGCCAGAGACGTATTTGCAGCAGTCTTCAGACCTGTTTAAAAAGTTTAATAATATGACCCAAAATGCTAAAATTTAATCACAAGCAATTTTTTAAAATGTACTACAGAAAAAAAAATGTATTTTCAATGTGTCTGTGCAACCAAACTTAACTAGGAAAGTCCTGCTTTTAAAGTACCTCTTGAATGTTGTTCAGCAACTTCCTGTGATGAAAGAGTTTTCCTGAGCTCTAAGCACCTTTAGGATACTCACAGCTGATGTGCACCTGAGTACAGACTGCCAGTCATTCCTGGGCTTTTGCTTCTCACAAGGTACTGGGAGCTGTCTGCATGCACTTGTCCCAGGAATGGTGGCACATGGCTTGTCCCTTCAGATTTCTTGAACAGAGGTATAGAGAAGAATACTAGAACACACTCTGCTGACCTTCGGTGTCACTGACTACTTCCCACACATCCACACACAGCTCCCTGTGCTGACTTTCGGTGTCACTGACTACTTCCCACACATCCACACACAGCTCCCTGTAAAGACTGACATCCTGCCTGGCGGTGGTGCCATCACTGCTTACTGGAGAGCTGGCTGTGAACTGAGGTAAGGGTTAAGTAGTGGAGCTCAACAGTACCATTTTGATGTTTGGTTGTAGGAAATACCTTCATCCTAAGAATAAAGGAATGGAAGGGGATGAGGAGCATGATGGGATGCTTGAGAGGCTGGACTCTAAGTCTTGCTGCTGATGTTCTCTAGTCTCTGGCATTTGATCAACCCAAATTTCAGGGGTTTTCTTACCCCACACTCAGTGCCATTTAAGCTTCATTCTGAGCTCTGTCAGTCCTGCTGGGTCTCTGCTCCCTGCAGCTCAAATGCTTGCTGCCTAGTGGAGTAAAGGAACTCAGAGCCCAAATCATGACACCTTGTGTTGTCTAAGGAACAAATGGATTAGTAAAACTAAATGACCATAGCAAGGGAAAAAGAGCAGAGACACACTGAGACTGCTTAGCAGGAAGTTCTGTGTATAGCACTGGGCCCAGAAGCATGAGGTGGGTCCCTGGAGAACTGGTGAGTTGTTCAGTGAGTTTAAGAATGAGAGTTGGAGAAGTCACTGTTTCTTATCAGACCAGGCAGACAACTTTGGAAGGTCAGAGGCACAAGCCTGCCCCAGGCCAACCAGTCTATCAGGACAGTGCTGAGATAGCGGTCAGGAAGGTTATATTTCCAAAACCAGGATGGATGAACAGCATCAGTTTCCAGGGTAAACATTTGAGAATTCCACAACATTAAAGAACGACATGGAAAATAGCAGAGGGTTGCAATTAAAAGAGTTTCCATGTCTCTGGTCAGCTTTTTCAAAACATACCTTTCATTTTTCCATCTCCTCATGGTATAATAGTTCTGTCTATCATTCAGGATGCTGGGATTGTCTGTCAGAAGTCGTCAAATAAACCTACAAGATAGATTCTAATACCGTGAGTGTGGGAGTCAAGGTACCTGATCATCTATAGCACGGGCGGCTTCTCTCCAGAGCAGCCATCCAGATGCTCCTGTGCAACCCAGCAGAGCAACTCCAAGTCCAGGAGTGGATTGGGTTCTCACAGTTCAGAGTCAGGACCAATGGCAAAATTCCTAAGGCTAGCTGTTCAATCCCTTCATGAGCCATGTGTAGAAGTGACTTTTGTCACTCCTTTCCCACGTTTAAAGGCATAGAATGTGCTTCTGGAAAGACTTGAAATAGCATCTCGGCCATTTCTCAGTGCACTTGAAAGGCGTCTTTTATCTTGAAAGCGCTTTGCCACCTCTGATGTGTAGTCTTTGAGGATAGCTTTCTGTGGTCCCGGAACAAAGCTGCACAGCAAAAGAAGAGATTAGCCTGTGAGGTAAGTCCTTCCAGCCCTCCTGGCTCCACATTTACCTTTCGTCCTCACTGCATCCCCCCAGGGAAAGTTTAAATTATGGAACTGGAGAGTTGCATTGGCCTATCAGTATTCCCAACCTTCCTAATGCATGACCCTTTAATACAGTTCATGTTCTGGTGACCCCTAGCCAGTTTCATTGCTACTTTATAATTATAATTTTGTGACTGTTAAGAATTGTAATATAGATATATCTGATATGCGACCCCAAGGGGGTTACGACCCACAGGCTGAGAACCACTGGCCCTATCTGACAAACTTAGCATCTTAAAGTATGCAGAGGTGTAATTCCAGCATCGGAATCTCTTCTTCATGGAGCACGTTCCGTCAGATCTTCATGCGACATTGCCTCCCCTATGGATGATGCAGGTGCATACTCGGGGTTAGCAGTACCCCGGCAGCGAGAAGTGTCTCGTTACCAGGGCTTTCCATTGGGTGCAGATGAAGACAATGAAGTAGAAAGAGGTGACAGTGGCAGAGCTGTGGCTGTGCGTCACCATTCCTAAGACTAAGAGGCCAGTCTGTATTACTTGTACTGAATCAGATTTTTACTTAAGACATTATTACGAATTCAAAATTCTTGAAATTGTAGTCAGGAGGAAGAATTCAAGGGAATGTCAAAGGTCAAGATTATTAGAACTGTGGAAATCATTTTGATCTATGTCTTTACTGCTACCACACTACCTGAAAGATATCCCTAACCTCTCCTGCAAAAAACATTGGTGTGTAGAGAGCGAGCATAATGCGAAAATACATAAGATTGTAAACTTTGTTAAGCAGAAGTATGTGCACCCCTTCCACACATGCATTCTTTTTTCTCTCATGTATAAAGAGTGAGGTGGCAGAAAGAAGAAGACCATGCCACCCAAATGCTAGCTCTGCCTGGGCTTCTGAACTCCGCTCACGGTGTACCTCAGTCCTTCCCACCTGGGCTTTCAGGGACATACAATACAGAGTTGATCAAGTGTCTAGGCATAGGAACATCCATGACTCAGAGTCAGCCCTAGAACAGTGTCCTCACACCTGCCCATTTCACACTGAACATTACAAATCCGATTTTCCCAAGTCACGATTGTCTGCATGCATAGATCATGATTATTGATCGTGAGAGAGCAATTCTTTTTTTTTATAGCTCTGGGGAGGAGGATAGTAGAAGACAGGTGTTAGGAGGGGGTGATGGGGGTGGACTTTAACTGGGGGTGTGTGATTTAAAAGGGGTGCACCACATGAGGTAATGGTCTTGCTCCCAAGAGCCATGCCCAGGAAACCTCCCCTTCAAGTTGTTGGTCAGGAGAATACAAGTTTCCATGGCAATATGAGCTACTGCCATTGCTCTTGGTTGCCTATGGAAACTTGAAGATAGGACGCTATTGTTGAAGATACGGTACACGGGACTTGGCTACACAAGCTGCCAAGGAGAGGAGTAGTCAGTAGGTAGTCCTACCCAGTGCAGAGTCTATGAACCGCAATGACTGGACCAAAAAGATAACCTGGTGATATCTAATTGAACTTAAGGCCTGCTCGGTGGGAGAGAATTCACACTTATTACTGTAAGCCTGGCCAACTACACACAGCTCGAGAGGTCATAGGTTCCAGAGGAGAACATTCTATTGTCATTCCCCTAAATACAACCCTCCCTTAAATATGACCTTTATTCCAACAGATAAGTGTATCCCTCAACCCTCACCAAAGAAGCTTCTTTTTGCAATAGAGACTACTATAAAGATCCACAACTCTTCAAACTCAGAATAAGTCAGTAGGGGCACCCAGCCCCAACAGATGCATCTGCAATGGAATCCCTATACCTCTCAGGGAACTTCATGAAAGAACCGGTGAGGAGCCAGAGGACTAGGGTGCCTGCTGCTCGTGCCCCCTAGACATGACAGGGAAAATGCACCCATGATCTCTCAACAGTAGGTTTACATGAACAAATCTAGCTTGATGACAACACCAGGTGAAAGCCAACGTGGATGGGCAAATGGACAAGCTGCCATCCTTGGTGAAGAGCTGCAGGTCATCAATGGCTCCCAAGAAGGAGAAACAGCTTCCCCCAGGGACAAGCTCCCACATAGGATGTCTAATCCTAAGTGAGCAACCCTGGACACATAGACAATGCTGAATGGACCCAGAGGTTGTATATATGTGTGTGCATGCGCACATACACAAATGGTGTATTTGTGTAACAAATCATGAATTTGGGAAAGAGTTGGAGGTGTGGTCCATGTAGATGCAATACTCATGCATGAGATTCTCTTAAAACTTAAAAATATTGTAGTTTATACAGCTCACTTTTACCACATTCACCCACCACGACCCTCCATTTTCCTCTAGTACTCCCATCCCATTTCTTTCCCAACTTAATGTCCTCTTTTGTCATTGATAACCCCGAGTCCAAACAGTGCTTCCATCCACTGGGGCCCAGGCAACCCACCGTCCAGCGGCCACTTCCCAAGAGGAGAGTAACTCCCTGCAAGGGATTTCTTTTGAAGTGAACTGTTCTCTCAAGGCTTGATTATCTCGACTGTATGTCATTCTCCTTCCCTTTTATCCCTCTATTATATCACATTTCTTAGTTTTGTTAAGGAAACAACACCTGGAGAGATGGCAGAGTTCGTTCCCAGCATTCATGTAGGGCAGCTCACCTGTCTTAGTCGAGCTTCAGGGATCCAATGCCTTTGACCTCTGAAGGTACCCACACTCATGCACACATCCCCACCATGGAGATACATGCATATAATTAAAAATCTTTAAAAAAAAATCATTAGAGTGCTCACTTTGGCAACATATATGCTAAAAGTGGAATGATCCAGAGACGATTAGCATGGCCCCTGTGAAAGATGATATGCAAATTTGTGAAGCATTCCATATATTTAAAAAAAAAAAAAAAAACCATTAGGTTGAGAACTACTTTTAAGCCTCACATACTAACCCTTTTCTCAAAGGGGTCAAACACATTAAACGCCTTTTCTTTGGGTGTGTATGTGTACCCATGGATGTACATGTGGAGGTCACAGGACCTCCACCCTATGGAATTGGTCCTCAGGGCTTATTTGAGACAAGGTCTCTCACCAGCTAGAAGGTGGTGGCAGTGAGCCTCTCGGTGCTTTTGCACCTGCCTCTTCCATGGGGTCTGGAGACCCAGACTCGGGCTCTCAACGTTTCATGTGCTGAGCCCATGCCTTGCCTCTGAAGCTTCCCTTTTCTACTGTGTTATAGATGGGCATTTGCAGCTGATAGAGCATCTATTAAGGGTCACTTGGCTACATAGTTCGTTGTCTCTGTTGGGTATTGTTGGGGGGATTCTTTGCTGATAGGTAACTCCAACAATGCACTTGGGGCAGAAATAAGGATAAAATAATTCAATTTTTCAGCCTGAGCCTTACTTAGTAAAACGTGTAGAAAGCAAGACATGGCATGTTCTAGATAAAAGTGGAGGAGGTACTAACTGTAGACCTCAGTTCTTTGTGGTCACGGATTCCGCCAACTGTAGATGATTAGGGGGTGGCCATGCTGTAGTTACTGACTAGAGGCACTGAGATGAATGATACACATACGGTTGCTGCTATCTCTGAATTCTTTTTTGATGTAAGTACCTGTGCACCTAGGAAATGTACTTTGGAAGGCAAACATGCAGCAGCTGTGTCATTTGTATGGCAGTGGTGACTTGTCCATTTTTACCATCCACCCCTTCAGGCTCTGCTTGTCCGTGTTTTAGAGTCTGGCACAATATGTAGGTGGCTTTGTGTCTTTTACTATCTTGGAGCAGAGCTAAGTGCTTACAGAATGCCATCCTGCGGTCTCACCCTCCAGCCATCTGTCTTTGCAGTGGCTTATGGCGACAGTCAGGGTCTTTCTTCTCCGTCTACTACAAACTGGCTTCTGCATGTCTTCCTCAAAACCCCTGCCGTAGGATGCCCTAACAGTTCCAATGCATGTCACTGTCAGGATGGCAGGTCATCTGGCTGGACCCTGCGCCTAGCAGACAATGAATCATCGCCGTCAATCCGTTCTGCCCCCACTCCTCTTGAAAAGCTTCGGCAGGGAGCTTCGGAAGCAGCTGTGTGACTGCTTTTATCACAATCTTTGGATACTTAGAGAAGGCCTGGGGAGAGCCAGGCAATTACACCATCAGGGAGCTCACGGACAGTGGCATACATTTTACCCCTCACTTCCTTGATGCCCCAGCCACTTGACTACTTCAGGTTCACAGGAGAAGCTGAGCCTCTGTATCTGGAACACCGCAGAGAAGGGGAAATCACCTGTCCAAAAGCCCTGTGGATTCTTCCCACTCAGCTTGCTCTTACAACAAAGCGGTTGCGAGAATTGCCTCTTGAATGTGTAGGTTGGCTGACACCTGCCTTTGTGCTTTGAGCTGGCTACACATTTGTGAAGCCCAATGAAGAAGGAAAATTCAAGCCTGAGTCAAAAGGCAGAAAAAAAAGCTTTCTCATCTGCCCCCTCCCGGCCCGTGGCAGTTTTCCATTTGTCATTTAACGCCGAGTTCTGCCATGGAGAAGCACAAACCCTTCTGATGACCCCCATCCCAGGTCTTGGCTGTCATTGTCGACAGATGCCTAGAAGCTGAGCCCCTTCCTCAGCAATCCTAGCCTCTGGATACACAGTGCCCCAGAATATCATGCCCTTCTTGCTATGAATACTGAGTGGAGATGAACACAGGCAAATGTGAGGATGCCAGTAGCCGGAACTGAAGTTCCCAATACAGAGTGTCTGGCACAAGCCTCCCATGAAGAGAGTGGGAAAGACAGGCAGGGCAAGCCAGAAGATGCAGCAGTGGCTGGTCTAGGGGAGGCAGCAGTAGGTAGACTTCAATTGAACAGTGGCTCTAAGCCCTGATTGAGTGCTTCAATTTTCCATCTCTTTGAAAACCCAAATCCAAAACTAACAGCAGTTGCAGGGAACTAAGGGTAAATGTGCAGCCCTCCAGAGTTCCTTGAAGGTGCTTTCACACCTGCCACACTTTCCTTTACCCCAGCCATAATGCTTCCTTCCTCCTCAGCACCAAAATCAGTCCACTCATCCAGTCATAGCTGATCCCCTTTCTTCAGTTCCGGGTACTCGCAGTAGGGGGAGCTCTACTCTACTCTTCTTGAACCATCTTCATAGATGGCTTCAGGCTGGACTTCAGGAAGTATTTGCTGCTGGACAGTTCCCCTGGATCGCTCACTGCTGGAGGGGAACCAGAGCCTCCAGGCAGGGGCTTCTGGGGGTTCTTAGCACCCAGGCTGGGAATGCTTGCTCTGTCCTGATGACCATACAGAATAGAATGCACACATTTCAGAGGAAACACACTGCCGGCCATGTCTGTCTAAGTGTGAGCCATGTTATGATGTTTGGTTATGGCCAGCAGCTGGGTATATTCGTGTGTTTTAGTTCACAATGGCTTACCACAGAAGTGCTACTGTCTATATGATGGCTCAGTGGGCAAAAAGCTTGCTACACAAGCCTCAGAACTGGAATTCAGGTCCCCAGAACCCATGAAGGTGGGTTTAGCAGTCTGCCTGTAATTCCAGTGTAGCAGGGATCCTGGAGCAAGCCTGCTAACCAGACTTGCTAAAACATCAAGCTGCCTCACGGAGGGAATCTGCCTGCAAATATATGAGAAGGAGGTTGATCAAGGAAGACATCTGGTGTCATCCTCAGGCCTCTACACTTATGCACATGTGTACACACACATGCACAAAGCAAAGACTCGTCTAAACCTAGGTTGCAACCATCATACATGTCACTTTAAAATTCTTTAGCAAGTTTTTCAAAAAGACACACCAAGAAGCCCACAGTTGAATAACTTAAATGTACTGTCCATACTAGATTCCCCCCAGATGTTCTACAAATCACTTTTATATGGACTCTGTTTGTTCTCTCTGATCTAGGATACAATTTTAAAGTTCACAGAATTACAGATGGCTGCCCTGTCTCTTTAGTTCTCTCATTCTAGAACTTTCATCCTTAACCCTTTATTCATGACAAAAGACCTACAATCTAACAATTCCACATCCTGGGGTTGCCCAGTGATTTCTTCCTCATTAGCCTCAAGTCAAATATTTCCAGCAAAAACATCATACAGGTGAGGTACTGTATTACCACTCCATCACCTCAGAATACACATAACACCAGCACCTCAGGGACCACACAGCATCACCACCTGTCAACTCAGGGTTGTTACACCCTGATAACCAGTTACTACATTTGTAATTAGCATTAAGATTATAAATCGATTTTTTTCTAATCCTACCATTGTAGATTTATTATCTAGTATTATATAAAGAAAAGGTTTTTCTCTTTCCTCTTCTTTTGAGAATCTGAATAGACGTATGGATTTAAAACATACATTGTGGGTCCAGTGGGTAAGTGCTTGCTGTGTAAACCTGATAACTCAAGTTAGACTGCTGGATCCCACAGTGAATGCTACAGCACCAACTCCCCAAAGTTGTCCTCTGACCGCCACACACACACACACGTCTTTGATCATGCACATGCCATACATACAGTAATACATTAGCTAAATCACTCGATGCATTCTAATTCATTACATTCATTCTTTCTGGAGTTACAGCTGTCCAAGCTTCGGCCCATGGAGTCATGCCAAACCAACTCACCTAACCTTTTGACAGGACACTATTAGTTTTTACCTCCTGAAATGATACCATAGTCTTGGGCTAGAGTTTCCTCACCAGAACCTGGTCTCAGGCACCAAGAAACCCTGCTTTCTCTGGCCACTGGGCATGCTCATTGTTACCGGTGTCCTGCTGGGTGTTTTTGTTGTTGTTGTTGTTGTTGTTTAAGACTTTCCATTTAAAAAATAAAAAATGCTTCTATTTTGTTATTTCTAGATCAACTTGGTCATTTAAAAAAAAATCTCTGGCTCCCTTAAATCATAATATATAAAACAGGTTATTATCTGGCTAAAATGGGAGGGGAGAGGGAGAAGAGGAGGAAAAATAAAGAATAAGGAAGGATGCATATCCAAATATGAAATTGCACTAAGCACACAGTACCTTCGAAGCTGGCGTGGGGACGGCTTTGGACCTGTAGGGCCAAGTCTGTTGCACTTAGCTTTGAAGCTGACAGGAGGGTACTTGTTCATTCCACCTAGGAAGAGAAAAGCCCTCATGTAAGACTCTCAGGCACTTAGCATGTCTGTTCCATTCCGTGTCACTTCAGTTCCCAATGTCCATCAAGATGTCACTGGACATGAGAAACTTAAGTTTCTTGTTTGGACATGTCCAAACTTAAGTTTGGCAACGAAGTTTTTAATATACATTCATACATATTATATATGAATATATTGCATATTCATATATATGTATTCATATGTATGTGTGAATTGAAATAACTTTTCACTGAGATGCCTATAGCTTCTAAAGTCATTTAGCTATTATGAAAGATAACATGAGCCAGTCAGTCCTAATAATGCTCTTGCCTTTGATAGGAGCTAATTAGATTTTATTTGTTTTTGTGGAGTATCAAAATGCAAAGGGAAACGGGTAGTCCCTTTATGGCCTTTATGTTAGCAACAAACTAAGTGCCTTTGGGTTTAATTCATCGTCTCACTTCATTTGGAAGAGTATTAATTTTTCATAACACTAAAGCATGTTTTAATCCATTTAAAAATGCAAAAGCTATTTTTACAGAAAAAAATGTGTTATATATGCCCTGTAGGCATCAAGTAAAAAAGATTTGTTAAACAAACATCTTTCTGCAAAAGCCAGGCCCAATGGCATGCACTTACAATCCTGGCACTGGGGCAGGGGTGGGGGGAACCATAGGTAGATCCCTAGATTCACTGCCAGCCAGCCAGCCTTCTTGACAAGGTCACTGAGAAACCCTGTCTCAAAAAAAAAAAAACAAAAAAAAACAAAAAAAAAAACACGTTGGACATTGCCTGAGGAATAGCACCATAGCACCTGAGTGAGGCTGTCCTCTGGCTCACACACATATTATCTTCCTCCCTTCCTTTCTCCCTGGATCCTACGAGGCTGTGCAAAGCAATGCCTTTCATTCTAACTGATAAAATGGTATCTCCGGACACCCCCAGCTCCAACTTTTAAACTTGTCAAAGCAAAGCCAAGGCTTATTTCATTCTTTTGGCTTCTTTGTGTTAACTGTAGAAACCTCCCTCCAAAGGGCAGCATGCTAATGTTATGTGGCAAGGGTTTTGCTCGAGAGCCAGAGTCCAGGCTGTGACTTCTCATCCCTAGACTACACCTCTCCATACAGACAGATGTGTACACAGCTGCTTGTTATGATTGCTTCTCCATAGGAACCAGAGGCATAAAAACGATGAGCCAGGAAATTAAATGCTTAGGAACCAGTGTCATCCCTCCCACCGTCCATTATCACATATTTCCCTCTTTGACCCTGCAGTGCCCTTGAAGACAAATCAGAGGTGTCCAGGGACACACAGCAGCTCACTGTTCTTCAGGGGGAATGCCAAGCAGGCTCTTATGTACAAGAATTAGTGTTGTACATATGACTTACGCCTAACGGAGTTTAGAAAGGACTTCACAAACTTCACACCGTATCCATGGTCAGGTTTATGAATCCGACCCAGCTGGATCAAATGCTGGTCCACAGGGTGGCTGGCCAGGTCTTCCAGTTCCTTGTCATTCCAGTCAGGGCCCAAGGAAAACACAAAGAGGGCGTAGCCCTGACATTTGGCTCGTAGGGACTCTTTCTTTAAGGTGTCCTCATCCAGGTGGCTGGTTTCCCCAGCAGATATCACAAATATGACTTTGTTTCTCCTCAGGTTGGGTGTGTTTAAAAAGACATTGTCCAGAGCCCACCTGAGGGCATGGCCGAGGAAGGAGTCTCCATTCAGCTGATGGACCGCTTGTTCCACGTGCCTCTTCATGAGGCGCTTACTGCCGTAGGTGGTTAGGTTGAACTCAGTTCTAACTGGACTCCTCTGGGTGTTGGGTAGGAAGTTGGGGGAAGCATGGCTTAGTAGGGCCACCCTGTCTCCAGTGACAGATGTCTCTGGCTCTGGAGTGACTTCAAAGTGATCTAGCAGTGCCTCCAGAAAGTCTGTCATGTCTTCAAATTCTGCACTCCCCACGTGCCGGGAGCTGTCCAGCAGGAATGCTGCATCCAGGTAGGACTGGATCGGGGGTGGTTTGGCTTGGTCGCAAGAAGCATCTGGCTTGCATAGGTCTGCAAACCAAGTCATTTAGGGTTACTGAGCAGATATGGACAGGGAGTGGAAAGATTCCACCTCGGCTATTTTAGCATCTAGGAGCTACATAGTCTTAGCTCATAAAATAGTTACATCTTAAACATCAAGAGTAGGAGGTTATCACCCTAGATCTGATACCAACCTGTCAGCCCTTGACTGTATTCCATGCCACCAGGATTTTTTTTTTCTTTTTATAAGTTGTGTTTAATGGAAGTTTAATCTTGACTGCTGTGCTTATAAGTTTGAAGTGAGCAATTCATTGCCTACATACTAGAATGTACTGTAAGAACACACTCTTTAGTTGTTGACAGTATGCAGGCTAAACCAACAGCCTTAATCACTATACTAGCTGTGAAAAACTCATCTGCTTTGAAAATTAAGCTTTAGAAGGCAATGTATCTTTCATTTCAATTTAAGTAAGCGTTCACAACTCCATACCTCTTATAAAAATGCTCTTCCACAAAGAGAAGTCATTTTTATAAATATGCCTCTCTCATTATACATGCATAGCAAGAAAAAAAGCAGAGAGTGGATTTTATTGAATGTGACCACAAAAAATGTTCAGAGGAATATGATAAATGGGAAGTGGGAGAATTCTAGAAGTCACTTAATCTGTTTTCATAGAACCAAGTGAAGCAGGGGAGTAAGTCATTACAAAGGAGGCACCATATTTCTAGACTTCTGTATGTGAAGTCAACAGCAATTTCTTTTAGCATTCAGTTATTTGTGTATATATGTGGGTATTGTAGGACAGCATGAGCGTGGAGGCAGAGGATGACTTTCAAGAGCCAGTACCCTCCTTCCACCTGGGCCCTGGGGATTGAACTCGTTACCTTGTTTGGGGGCAAGCGCTTTTACCAGCTGAGCTACCATGCAGGCTGCATGAGTCAGGGTTTTGTTGTTAGAGAGTTCTAGAAGTTACTTAATCTATTTTCAAAGAACTGACTGAAGCAGGACACATGAAGTAGCAGGATGGCCCCTTTACCCGAGAGCTGGGATGCCTAGGTTCTTATCCCATGACAAACATGGCATCACCTCTGACCAAGCCCCTGCTGGGCCTCAGGTGTGCATACTTCCTCTGCACAATTAGGTAGTTGCACCTAACCGGGACCAGGCTGACCCTGGCACCCTTACAAGGCCTATAGTCTGTCTGGTTTTTAAAGAACCCGTTCTCACCCTCACACATCACATTTAATGAAAAACTAAAGGGGGATTGGAAAAATGGAAGGACACGCATGCAGGAGAAACTTAGATGCCAGCGTGGGCCATAACCCAAGTATCAACTAGTAAGTGAAAAACCTAATGGCTAGCATGCAGATCCTGTGGGTGGAGCAAACTTCCTAGCTTTGTGCTTGTTCATAGAGTCAATAAAGATGGTTCTGCCTAAATCCCTTCTAGAAGCTTAGTGAAATGTTATGGCCCTGCATAATGGTCAGATGACAGAATAGTCACCTGTGTGCAGAGCGGTTTCTAAAATCAGGGACAGCAGGCTTCCCATTTGCTCTGTTTTCTGGGGTTTTTAATTGCAGGAAATGACAGCCAAATATCTTCCATTATATGCCTGGGAGACAAAATAAGGGTTTAAGCCAAGCCAAAAATCCATCCCTAGTCACATATGTGCAGTTACTGACTGTGCCACTGACATGTTCAGGTTGCAACGAAGAATATAGGGCAGACAAATCTTAGCCCTACACTGGTTTGGGTGGGGGTAAGGGGCAACAGGATCCAAAATTCCCAGTGCAATCTACAGAACTGGATATGTGAGCAGAGAGCTTGATTCCAGGGCTGCAGGGGGAGACCGAAAAGGAACGTAGAAGCTGTCCCCTTCTCAGAATCACACTGTCCATGTGAGTTCATCTACACAGCAAACCCCAACACCCCACTGACACACACAGAGAAGGTTTCAGGCATCTTCTCCAGGTCTAAACGGAGAGTTTTAGGGAACAGAGCAAGTCTTTCATTCTGCAAAAAGTAAAAAGGCTTCAGAGCCAGCTTCCCTGGGTTTGATCTGAGTGTGGGGCCCTGAGAAAAATATCATGTCTCTGCATTTGATTTTCCCCATCTGTACAATGGCACTATTAGTTGTTCAAACATTTCAACATGGTTATGAGCCTAGCATGACACAATTAATACAAACCAATTAAAACCATGCTTAGAACATAAGAAATCCAACAGCTTAAGTCTCAACTGTCGCCATGATAGTTGGCATCATTAGAACAGTGCACAGCCCGCGGCAACAGTAGCTGCCTGCTGTCATGACCACCTGTAACCCCAGCAGTTTCCACATGGTTATTGGAACATCAAATGGAAGAGGAGGGAGACTGTTCCCAGCTAGACCAAAAGGTTGTGCATAAAACACCGCAGGTCTGTCTGATGCCCAACTCTTGGGAGTCTGTGAAGATTCCTGGATGAAAATGTTTGTGTCTTCCATGCCTACTGCACTGAGAACCGAATTATCACCCGGAAAGGAAAGTGTCGGGTCATTCTAAAGCCGTTCTTGGGAGTTGTGAACATTTGAGTTTTAGAAAACACATAAAACACTCAATAGCCTGAAACCTTTGCAAGAAGATGGACTAAGGTTTTTATGTTGTTGTTTTATATTATTACTGTTTCCTGAGAGTTGCACTAAAGTAGAGGGGGCGGAAGTGTAACCCTCCTGCTGGGATCCATTGGAAGGGCCCTGCAGGCTGAGCTGAGAGGTTCCATCTGTGGAACATGCAGTGTGCACCCCCAAGGCCCATAGAGGTCTGCTCCGGGCCATGCATATCCCTATGGCTGGGTTCCAGCCCCTCCTGCCAATGGTGACTCAATAGACTTAGCAGGCCTGATCAAATTTGCTTCTCCCCGTGGGTCTTACCATAGCAGAAAGTACACCGGTGGAGTTTCTCTAATGTTGGCGCCATGTCAGTCCCGGAGGGAACCACAATGACTTGGAATGTGCCAGTGTCTTCAATCTAGAAGAAGCAGAAGCAAGAGAAAGAACTGTTTAGTGGGTTGGGCTTGCAAGAACCTTCCAGCACTGTTCAAGAGCTGAGGTTAGGTGAGGGCAGCCCCACAAGGCTGGTGGGAGGTGGCCCTTTAGCTGTCAGTGGGAATTCTCTGCCTGCTAAGAGCTCACCGCTATAAAGCAGTTACTGGCACACCGCGGATGCTGTATAGCTCAGCAGGGAACACAAAGCATTTCATATCTGTCACCCAGCTAGCCCGGGCATTCTCCATCTTCATTTTTCATATAGAGGAGCTGAAGCTCAGAGAAATGGACAGCTGATCAAAAGAGACAGCCTACACTCATTTGTTATGGAAAGAATGAGCCCCCCACTCCCCCACCCACTCCAAGTCCCAGAGAACCGGAAACCGGGGGCTGCTCTTTATCATGTGGCCAAATTGACAGGCAAAATTAGCCATGCCTTTGTCTTAACTTTCTCTTGTGAGCCAGGTGTTGAAGCAGAAATAGGCTCAGATCCAGGCCTAGGTGGCTCCCTCCCTGAAACATCTCAATCCTTTCACTTCAACAGCACCATTACTGGCTCCAGGGAGGGAGCTAGAGGGTGCAGAGCCTTGACTAGCGCCCCAGCAGAAGTGACTCTACAATGTTGGTGGCTTTTAGAGGCATTTACAGGGTCTCAAGTGAACCACATCTTTGCTCGACCTGTACAGTGATGGGTGACTGAAGGCCAAGCCAGGGCCAGCCCAGAGAGCATGGAGAGAAGATAAGGGTGTGCCAAAGGACCAGGAATAGTGGACTTGCGGGTTAACTGTGAGATTAGTAAATGAAGGAAAATTACAGTGATCCTATCCTGTGGCTAAGATAGGTCAGATCATGTTTGTCCCCAGCGAATCGCTCTTATACTCTAACAGCTCTCCTCTCTCTTTGGCAAGTCTCGTTCCCACACTTAATCCATAGAGGTGCAACCACGGAGGTCCTGGTTACCCAGGGTCACACCACTTCTGGACCAGAACAGGACATCTGAGCCAGACAGAACTGGTCCTTCGGGAGTTGAAAACTGGAGTCCTGGAGACTGTGGGGCTGTCTAGAGGCAACAGTCTGCAGACACGGGGGGGGGGGGGGGGCTATTCTACCTGGTGGACTGAGGAAGGATGGGAAGGAGGGGAGGGGAGGGGGGAGCATGATGCCCACATGGGGGTTGGGCAGTGAAGGGGACAGGAGCTGTGGCGACATGAACAGGGACTTCGTGTGGTGGAATTCAGTGCTCTGCTCCTTCTGGCTAACTTCAGTAAAGTTAGCATGGCTCACGGACTGTGCAAATGGATTCTTTGGAGAAAAGGCTGACGCTGTGGTGAAGAGTGACTAGAATCCAAGCCACTGTCAGCTCGGGGAGTGTGAGTCAGCCATCTGGGGTAGGAGTGGGCTGCAAGGATGATATGGAGTAAGCCAGAAGAACAAGCCAGTAGGCAGCCTCCTCCATGGCCTCTGCATCAGCTCCTGCCTTCAGGTTCCTTCCCTGCTTAAGTTCCTGTCCTGACTTCCATCCATGATGGACTATGATGTGAAAGTCAGTTTTCACGAGACCCTTCACTTACCTGCTGCCGCCCAAATTTACAAAGGTGTATTGTTGTTTTAAAGTTACTTAAAAAAAAAAATCAAGAAGCTTTGTGTACTCTAACATGCGTCAGAGGACAACATGGTGTAGGTCCTCCCTCTGACCTTGGATGAGGCACGGTCTCCTCGTTCACGGCTGTGTACCCCAGGCTAGCCCAGCCGCTTCTGAGGCTGGCTCTTGCCCCATCTCCCTGTAGGAGTGCTGGGATCACAAACTCAGGGCTCCACCAGCTCCTGTGGATTCTGGGGATTCGAACTCTGCTCAAATCTAAATGTACAACCACAGCAACTCAAAATGGTTCCTGGAAGTTCTGCCTTCAACCTAACCCAGTTTCCTGGCACCTGTCACGCCTCATTTCCCCAGGTGGGAGCGCAGCTATTCTACAGTTCTTCGCTTGAGGACAGTGCTTCGGCTGCTCCCGGTTCCCTGTCTCTAAAGAGCTGTCAAGTGCCGGGACTTGTTTAGGACACGTTCTCCAATACTCTTTCTTGTACTGTTCTCTGGAGCTCCGCATGAATGAGCCCAACATCGTGCTGGGACAGCACTCACTGCAAGGACACTTGGCCGGGTCCTGGGTGTCTTTTGCAATGAAGCCACTGAGGATGGGATGTTTTGATTCAATGCACAGATGTCTCCATCATTCCAGGTGGTTAACCAAGGGATGCCACATGCTGGGTTTAATCTTTAACCTAAGAAGCTTCAGTTGGAGTGGCTTTTCTTTTATAAAGCGGGGACCTTTACATAACTGAAGTTAAAAAAAAAAAAAGTCAACCTCTTTGTTTACTTACTTTGCTGTTGTGTGGATGTGTGATACATGGGTATTATTCTCTGTGTTTGGACATGCATGTGACATGCATGGGGAAGCCAAAGGCAGTTGTCCAGATGTCTTTCTCAGTCACTCCACCTTAATTTTTGAGACATGGTTTCTCCATGAACCTAGAGCTTGGCCTTCCTTTAGGCCAGCTGGCTAGTAAGCTCTCTGTCTCTGTCCAGCACTGGGCTTACAGATGTACACATCCACGCTTAGCCTTTGCATGGGTTCTGGGGACCTGAATTCAGGTCCTAGTGAACTTTACTGACCAAACTACTTCCACACTTCCATATTTTGAGTTTTGAGACAGGTTTTTCACATAACCCAGACCAGCCTTGAACACATCATGTAGGTAATGATGCCCTTGAACTCCTGACCCTCATACCCCTGCCTTTCAAGTGCTGGGATTACAGGGTGTGCCCCCTATATCTAATAAGCCAATTTTTAAAAACCACACAGCCATGACAACTACCATGACCATCTAAAGGACATCCTCATCTGCATACTGGCCTCCTGATTTTATCTTTGGATGCACAGGCAATGTGGTGAGTAGCTAGGGATGCAGTGGCAAAGCAACTGAGCATCAGGTCCTGACATCGTCACTCCACAGCTGTGGATCCTGAACCAGAAACTCACCTTCTCTAGCTCAGTCTTCTCATCTACAAAATGAGAAAAATGATCTCCATCTCACACACAGTAGTTATAAGAATTCAACAGGATAATGAACACAGAGCTTATCTAGTACCTGGTGAACCGCACTGAAGTATCTGTCATTGTATTTTGCCAACCAGGATGACCTTGTTCTGAAGGCAGGGAAACATAGCTATATACTTTCTTACAAGATTTCTGAAGACTGGTGATGTATGTGAACAAAAAGTGCTTTTTGCAATGCTTACCGAAAAGGCACGCTTGATGGAGGGCACATTGCTGAATGCAATCACCACTGGCACAATGTCCAGGGCACTGAACTCCATGGCAGCTGTGGTGATGGACTGGACATCGGCCGACTGGCCACTGCTGAAAAATGTGGCAATTTTCCTCACATGAGCCCCTGGTAGGGTTCGTTTGAAGACATTCCTAGAGATAAACCTCATGGCTTTGCCAATATCCCTGCTGTCAAGGGATCTCTCATAAGGAAGAGCTCCAATTTCCCTAAGCAGCTGGTCCTTCCTGTAGACATCTGAGAAGCGGATGAGGTGCTTGGTGTGGGAGTTATAGGACAGGATGGCCACACGTGCACCCACAGGGCAGCTGGTCTCCCTGACCTTGACATCCCTAACTAGGGAAGCCATTATCTCCTTCATCCGCTCAAAGTCCTGCTCTGTGACATCCCGGGACTGGTCCAGGACAAACACCAACTCAGTTGGATGCACCGGGCACTCGGGTTTTTCTGAAAGACAGAAAAAAAAAATTGCCTCTTATCATGTAGAATGTTTGCCTAAAAGCAATATATGGAAAGCAAAATCATTTTAAATGCTACCTAATCAAATATTTAAGCATTAAATAATTAATAACCCAAATATTAAAACATATAAAATATTAAATGTTTACATCTTGAATCATTAAAATGACTATTCTAAAAGCTGGCTATGTGCTTCTGAGATGAGCATAGAAGAACACAGTCTACAATCAACATGATTAGGGTAAAGTCTGTAAGTTAATTACCCAGGTACTTCTAAACAGTAGAACTTTTTTGGAAATATCCTTCACCTTACAGGAGCTGGCTCAAAGGCATAGTCTTTTGTGCCTGCACTTTAATCAAGTTAACACACAAATTCTTTTCACTTAATGAGGGAAATAAAGACAAGGTGAAATGAATTTTAAAGGAGAGACCTTTTACAATAACAATAACAATAATAATAAAATCCTGGAGGCTAAGCATCTAGGGATGTAACTCAGTATGGTGTCCCTTGACATGTACAAAGCCCTGGGTTTGAGCCCCAGAATCATATAAAACAGATACGGTAGCATATGCTGGTAATCCCATACGGGTGGTAGAGCCAGGAGGTTCAGAAGTTTAAGGTCATCCTGAACTACAGAGCTTCACAGGCCAAAGCAATGATTCCATGGCCAGTTATAGTACATGTTGAAAGCCAAACTAATCCCTCTCAGGGGAGATGGGACATATTTATTAGCCTCTGGATCCAAATTAATGGGGTGAGCATGTTTTTTGAAGTGATGTTAATTTTATATTTTAAAGGAGAATTCTAATCAAATGTGGACTTGGTGCCTCTAGCTTTGTGTTTGGGTTGTTTTGTGTAGAGTACAAAATCCAGCAATGATGCTGGAATAATTTAGAGATACAGGGAAGTAAATATTAACAGTGCTGTCTGAAAACACAGAAAAAGGTTTAGTTTTCCAGAAACAAAAAAAAAAAAAAAAATGTAATGGCTAATTCAAAGTACAGCCTTGGTGCCAGCATGCTGTTCCAGGAGTCCCAAGGACATTCTGAGGACACTCCGATGGCGTCTGCCACCACAAAGCAGATGACATCTCTGCTTCCATAAACTACACACTACCAACTCATCCTCTGGCCTTGTTAGTAATGGACACTTTGCATTTGAAACTTCTTTGTAATAAACTGAGATTAGCAGACCTAAAGTCTGTATCTCAGCCAACGTCTATGTAGCTAGAATAGCTATTCCAAGCCATGATGCTTCATGTTAGATTTTGCACTTTCATGGTCAGTTATATTTTTATCCACCTATCACAAGAAAACCTAAAAGCCTCCATGACACAGCTAAAACTAGAAACACAATTAGCTTCATATCCTCTTTCATGACTTGTGTCTTTACCTGCACTCAGTCTTTCCTTACCGACTAATATTTACCATTTCTTGTTCTCCTTTGTACATGTTATACTGTACCCACATGTACACTGTTTATGTATATGACAGGCTGTGAGGGAATACATGATTTTCCGAGATTATAAAATCTCTCTTAACATTATACATTGTAAAGTCCACCTATTTTCTGCAAACTGTGACTTTCCTTGAGAGCTGAATTTCAACCCACCATATATTAGGTTGCAACAACCAGCTTGATGTAGCTTTTAGCTCCACCTCCATTAATTTTTAACATGCCAATCTCCCCTTCACTGTGTCGTAGGGACACTGGGTCCTGTGGCTTCTAAGGAATGCCTAGGTCTGCCCTGTTCCAAGGCTCTGGTATTTGAATTCCCCTGTCATGCACTTAGAAAACTATTGCTCCTTTAGTTCTGACTTCAAGTTCACTGCATCAGAGAAGAGCCCTGGTCCAAAAAGTATCCCTCCCTCCTTGACATCATTCAGTTGCCATGCAGCCTGTGCTTTATCTCAGATCCTGAATTCTTTCACTTATATGGACTCTCTCTGAAGATGGAAATGTGTAAGGTTGGGAATCTTGTCTGCTGTCAAATCTATCCCCAGCAGAAAACAAGAGGCTCAATCATAGGAGGCTTTCAAGGAATCCTTGTTGAAGGAATGCATCCGTAGTAAAGGCTTATAAGTTTATACGAGGCGATATACATGTATATGTGCAGATATCCATGTGTGTGTATATATATTATACACACACACACATATCAGGCTGATGATGGGTTTACGCAAACAACGTATAATAAGCATTGGTAAAGCACATGTGAAATGATACTAACAGATACTGCATCAGGTTGGTAATTAACATTAAACATGACCTACGCAAGCATTTTCTCCACTGCTCATGCTTCACTCACTTGTTATCTGAATCTACTTCCATTCTGCCCTTGCATCTTAATCACTGAACTACAGAGAATACATGACGGCGATGATGAGGAAGAAAAAGGGAGAGGCGGAGTGGGAAGGGAGACGGAGGAAGGATGGGAGGGAGATGAGAGGAAGAGGGAGGAATGATAGCTTCTAAAAAATCAGGTGGGGCGGCGAATAGTGATGCATGCTATTAGATTGTTATTAATAACGACAGTGCATTCCAGCTGTGTCGGAAAGCAGCACTGAAACTCGGCTACAGCTGATGAGGCATTAGATGCAAGGGTCTGCTGTGAGTGTGAGCAAAGGAAGCCCAGGTCCAAGTTCTATCAGCTGGCAGGCAGCACAATGCTCAACCTCGTCCTTCCAGATAGGGGGCACCTTAGAGCATGAGTAAAACATGCTGTAAGTGACGATCACTCACCACGTCCGCCAGCTGAGGAGGAAGAACAAAAGAGCGGATTATTACTTGGTAGCTCAACGGGGTTCTAGAGTCCACAGGGCAATCAGAGCAATGAAGCCCTATCTGCCTGTCTGCAGAACTCAAAACATCCCCAACTCAAATATCTATACATATGTGTAGATGTATAGGTGCATATATGTGCATTCATATAAATTTGTGTGCGGATGTCTGTATGTACACAGAGTATATGTCTGCATGGGTTAAGAGTCTCTTATCTGAAAAGCTGGGACTACTGGTGTTACTAATTTCGGGTTTTTTTTTTTTTTACTGTGGGATTTTACATGTATACATAATGAGATATCTTGGGGGCAGACCCAAGTCTCAAGACAAAACTCATTATGTTTCATATACACGGGTGCGTGTAAGTGGCAGTGAGTTCAGACACAGAGTTAGTGTGCCCATGTTTTGACTACAGCTTGTCACATGAGGGCAGGTGTGAACTTTTCCACTCATGACATTGCATCAGCACTCAAAATGTTTGGGGGTTTAGGAGGGCCACCCTGTATATGGGCACGTTTGTGTATCATATAATCCAAAGTGATATGTGCACTCTGAAAGAAAAAAAATAATACTGGCTGGACCTGCAGTGCCTGGCTACAAGCCAAGCACAGTTGTTTAAATTTCAAATGAGAAATTTAGCTGCTAGGTGACGTTCTTCACAGCTAGGTTGCTGAATGGTGCAGGGGTGCCTTCTCTGCCAAGGCGGGTTGTTCCATTGGGCAGTGCTGCTTCGAGCCACTCATTTGCAAAAGGTCCCCTGCTCTGCAAGGCCAGGCCTGGGAAGAGTTCTGATTGGATTCACAGGTGGTGTGCTTTTATAAAAAGGACAGGAATTATTAACTCTTTTGTGTTCTAAGTCGGACTCCTGAAATCACTTTGTGTACCTTGGACCAGATGTGCTGGACGGAACCCTCACACTTTGAAAGAGCAGGCCCCACCCTGGGCCCTGCCACTCATAATTACTGTCCACTTGGCTCCCATGTCAGGAAGGAAAAAAAAAACCACTATTGTGTTAATTCAACCTCAAAACAGCCTATCTTTGTGAACTCAAGATACAGGCATTGATTCCTACCAGCCTTCCTTTCTGCTATGTAAAGGCAGAGTCCTGAGCAGCTCGGTTGAATGGCTCCTGGGGCCATTAAAAATCTGTGACTCTGGGCCCAAGGAGATGGATCAGTGGTTAAGAGTACTTGCTGTTCTTGCAGAGGACCTGGGCTTGATTCCTGGTTACACAGTCGTTTAAAACCATCTGTAACTCCAGTCTAGGGACCTGCTGCCCTCTTCTGGCTGCCATGGGCACTGCGTGCATGTGTTCACATATACTCAGGAGCATTCACACGTGAACATACAAAATAAATATTTGATTTTTAACTTCCGTGTCTCTAGGAACAATACCTTCTGTAGAAATGGGCTCTGCTTTACCTGGTTTTTCTCTCAAAAATGCCTTGGAGAAACTTTTAACTCCTTTCAGTTGCTGTGTTTACTCAGGGAGCTCTGTGCATATTTAAATGAAGGTGTTCGTGAATACAGAATTATAATGCCAGTTATAGATATTTACAATGCTAAGACCATACCCTGTTCCAAAGGTCTTAGATTCAAAGAGCTTTTGCCAAATCTGAATTCCTTCTTGTTCTTACATTATTTTAGAGAGAAAATTATTGGCAGAACAAGTGTTATTGTGAAATTTACAAGCCAATCAATAATTCCAGTCAGGCTAATCTTTCCAGGAAAGGAATAATAGAGCATCAAACAAAACTTGGGCTTCCGTGCACCAGGACACATCATCATAGCTGCCTCTTCGGACTGCCAAACTGGATCCTGTCAGCTACTGTCTGATGTTAGCAATCTTCTCAAACTCGGCTTAATAAGATTTCTCTTCCCTGAATGATCCGACCATTGGGAAACTTCTGACCTCAATCCCCCTGGGGTTTAAAGCCCCCAGGGTATATAACTACACAGCACTGGGAACATGTTCCAACACACAGCCCTGCAGTCAGACAGGGAGTTAATTAATACACATCACACCCTCCCTGTGGACTCAAAATTTTCTCATGACATCTCTCATGTGAAGAGACTGGTTGGGTCGGTCAGTTGCATCTGCTCTGGGAGCCCAGTTCCCTAACTTCCTTCTAGGAAAGCTGATAGATAGGGAGTGGGGTGAGGGGCAGAGGTTGGTCATTTTAAGGAAAGCACTTACGACTGTGTTCCCGCACATACTGAATGAGGTCACATGTCTGCAGTTCAAAAATAAAACACGGAGAATTAACTCTGTCTCTGGGTTGTGAAGTTTATAAATATAGTTAAAGGCATGCTCAGAGTAGCGTGTTGGAATAGGAGATACTTACTGAAAATGAAGCCAGTCCTCTGGCCCCCTTCATGCCCTAGGAAAGGAAACATGCAAAACCTGTTTTATGGCTGCAGACTTACACACACCTCAGTAGCCAGGATGTGAATCAACACTGCCCCCAGGAGCCCTTTGAGAGGGGTTTACTCCTGGGAAGTCCACAGGAGCACAGGACACAGGCAGACACAGGCTGCCTTGTGAAGAGAGGCCCACAAGCCTCCAAGGAGATGCCCAGAGCCAGACAGAGCTGCCCACCTGGTGGTGGCCCACAGAGCCTTGCAGCGGGGGTTTCAGCTAACAACAAGCAAACGTTGAGCCACCCAATCCCAGCTGCCTCTCCTGTGAGAGTCTTGGTGTCTTCTGCCCTATGTTGTATCTGCACTGTAAGCAGCAGTCCAAGCCGAACCTAGACCCTTCCTATCCATGTCTGATGCACGGAGAGGCTAGCCTCAAACATCTGAAAAGCTAATCTCAGCATCTTCCCCAAGTGAATAGACAAACGTGTATGTCTGACTGGAGGGTAGAAAGAACAAAGCCGGCTTAATTTATTTCAATCCCAGCCTGGAACAGGAAGAAGTCTGACTTCTCGCAAACAGAAACATCAAAGGCCCCAGCCAAACTCACAGATATGTTCCACAGGGTGTAACTTTAATGGTCCACACTGCTCACCCTCTCTCTCTCACACACACACACTGTATCCATTGAGGATGGAGGCAGTGACTGGCCTGGTGGCCAAACTCACCAACAAGACTATGAAACCTCGGGCTGCTGAGATGGCTCAGTGGCTCAAGGCACTTGCAGCCAGGCCCAAAGACCTGAGTTCAATCACCAGGACCCACACAGTACAAGGAGAAAACTGACTCCCAAAGTTGTTCTCTGACCTTCACAAGTGTGCCACGGCATGCCCCACCCCCTATAAATGCAAAGGAAAATATTTTGAAAGAGAACCCTCATTTTGGTCTGGTTTTTCACTTTCTCCCCCCATTTCCTCCCTGTCAAGAGAGATGTTTAATTGGCCCCATGTCCTCCCATGCTAGAACACATGGAACAGTGGAAAGCCAGGCCAAGCAGCCGAGGAAGAAGGTGTGTACACCTGGAGAGGGGTGTACCCATGCACAGGCTTCTAAGCAGCAAAGAGCTCATAGGAAATATTTCCTCTTACCTTCCGTCCAGGGGGTCCTGGCTCACCGGGGGATCCTGGCTCTCCTGGAAGCCCAGCAGACACCTCAAAGCAGAAGTAATCCACTTTATAATCATACTTTATACAGCATGTGAATGATTTCAATTCAAACTTAAAATACCGACACTATTTCAAAAGCAGAAGTCCCAGAGCAAAAACATCTATTTTCATCTTAGATAGATTTCCAAAATACACAGAACAACAATTCATTCTTCGAATGTTGTTAATACTTTGTTGCTTTTCTTCTTCTGTTGGTATTAAGATGTCCTTTTAAAAACTGATTTGTATCATACTTTTTCCTGATGCCTCTTTTTTGGTTTTGTTTCTTTGATAAAAGGTCTACCTGTATAGCCTTTACCAGCTTCCAATTCACGACCCTCCTGCCTCCATCTCCCAAGCACTGGGATGACAAGTGTGTTCTACCCTGCCTGGCTCTCTGCTACCTTTTAAATGTACATATGTACACATATACATATGTACATGCATACACATTTCTGTTACTAAATATTCTTATATACACAAAATCACTTTTCATGATTTTATGGTATTTTACTATGTGGAAATGCCATGATTTATTTTATTGGTTCCTTGCTATTGGCATTTAAGTTTGATGCCACTAATAAGCAATACTATTGTGAGTTTATATACACAATTCTGATTATCAGTGAAGGTTACTAAGATTGTTAGGTCAAAGGAAAATGGCTCTCTTAAGAGCATGAAGGTAACTAAATTGAAACACACACACACACACACACACAATTGTGATCATATGCTAGGTCACAAAATCCATGTGGGGAAAAGAAACAAAAAAATCACAAAAAAATAGAAACAATAAAACATTTAACTGTTGGCTGGAAATATCTGTAATGAAAAGGGCATAACAGCAAAAGTAATGACCGAAACAACTGTTGTCGTGTCTATTTATGTTAGGAAATTTTTTTATGTACATTTAACAATACAGTTTGTTCCAGAAAAGGCTAGAATTTAGGTTTTCTTTGTTTAAGAGACAATATTGTTTTGTTCATTCAAAATGCCACTGGAGAGTAGGCTATAGAGATCTCTCACTGGTTAAAGTCACCTTTTCCAGAGGACCCAAATTCGGTTCCCAGCACCCACGTCAAGAGGTTCACATACCTGTAATTCCAGCTCCAGGGCATCTTATGCCTTCTGCTGGCCTCTGCATGCACCTGCACTCATATGCACACATCCATAGACAGACACACATATATGCAAACTTGTGTTTGTGCATTTGTGCACATGTACACACACAGCTTTTTTTTTAATGCTACAGGGTTTATATTCTTTACAGTAATAAGTGAAGTTATCTAAAAATTAATTTATAAAAACATGACCTGTGGAGAAGAATCATTAATGTCCTCCAGTGGCCAAATGATACTGACAGTATTGAGAAAAAAAATGGCCTCATTTTATTGAAAAGGTATGTTTACCTTTCAAGGAAGCTAGTTGAATACTTCTGTCCATTTTTAATATTTTAGCAATAGATTTTAGAGTCAAAGTCAATGATACAAGGGAAAAGAGGAAGCCTCCGAGCCTGGAAAGCAGTTAAGTGTTGTGTGAGATGGCCTGGCAGATCTGAGGAATGGGAGTCCCGAGCCAGCAGCAGGGAAATCAAGAATGAGCATGTTTGGTATCACACATCCCCAGAAGGTCCAGGCTTTGGAGGCCCGGTGTTGTGCCAGTTTTTGCTCCAAATAAATCACACACAGAATCTTATTACTACTTATGATTGCCCAGCCTTAGCTTGGCTTGTTTCTAGCCAGCTTTTCTTATCTTAAATTACCCCATCTACCTTTTCTCTCTGGGCTTTATCTTTCTTCTGTATATCTCACTTTCTTTCTTACTCTATGGTTGGCTGGGTGGCTGCCCCTCACATCCTGCTCTTCCTCCTCCTCCGTTTGTCCTCTTCTCCTTTCTCCTTCTATTTATCCTTCCTGCCTTCTAGTCCTGCCTTGCTGTTGGCAGTGTAGCTCTTTATTAGACCATCGGGTGTTTTAGACAGGCCAAGAATCACAGCTTCACAGAGTTAAACAAATGCAGCATAAACAGAAGTCACACACCTTAAGATAATATTCTGCCCCAGCCAGGTGCCTCCAGAAGCTGATGTGAAGTCAAGAGGATAAATAAGGAGGATCAGCAGGGAGCTCAAAACAGGGATGGGACTCTCTGTAGAGTTAAGGACCAGTGTTGCCACACTGATCCAGGAGACCAAATGAAAATATGCAAACTGAGTGCAAGCTTCCAGCTCTCATTGCTCTTGTGTCTTCTAGAAAACTGGCATCCAGATCTGCACTCTCCAGAAAGGGGTAGAAGAAGCTGGAGGGTTTTTAAGCATAGAGGTCCATGAGGTCACTGTCCAGGGAGTTTGTAACTGGCAATCTCCAATTGTGTCCTCCGTGTTTCCAATTGGACTTTTGCACTCAATTCTCAGTGTGAATACAGAGCTCACTCTTGAGATATGTGAGAGGTAAAAGTCATAGCAGAAGAAGAAGAAGAAGAAGAAGAAGAAGAAGAAGAAGAAGAAGAAGAAGAAGAAGAAGAAGAAGAAGAAGAAAAACGCAGGAGACAGACAATGTAGAGAAAAGCGGACCTAAAAATACTCAGTTATTACCTCAGAGAGAAGAAAAAATGCTTCAATCATGAAACAAGAATAGTATACTACATAAAAGGAACAGTCCAACCTTAGCAATGATTTTTTTAAAGGTAAAGTATGGGATATATGTTAAAAATAAAACCAACAAACCTTCTCAGAAAGGAGAGAGAGCATCAAGGAGAAAATAGGCAAAATAAATACAGGAGGAAGTAAACTCAAAGACTATGTTATCTTACTGAATGATAAGTATTTCAAGAACAGAATAGAGAACACTGGAGTCAGGGGACACAAGTCAAAAAAATAAGCATTTCCTAGAACCAAAGGGCACACATTTCTAGGGCCTGCTTAATGCTCAGGAAAATGGATAAAAATGGACCAGGTGCCAGATCACAAAACCCATGGCAGATCAAAACACTAGTGACTGACAGGCGATCCGATTAAGTTCCAGAGAGAAAAACTGCCTTATAGGAATCTCAATGGCCTTGGACTTCCCAAAGCAACACACGAAGCCAGAAATAACAGAAAACATAATTGCCTTCAAAATTCCAAGGAAGCAATTCCAAGCCCAGAGCTGTACACTAGCCAAAGTATCGGCACATCTGGGGGTAATAAAAGTCATTCTTGGATGCTGGTTGTATCATCAAATGTTCCTGTCAGTCACCTCCTCTTAGCAGCTTGTCTGATTTGCACATGAAATGGCCCTTGCTCAGCTTATGTTGGGAATTCTTGGTGTCCAGATGTTGGCCCTATTTGGGGAGGTTTTGGAAATTTTAAGAAGCTTGGCTGGAGGAAGAAAGTCATGAAAAGATAGGCCTTAAAGCTGAGATTGGGTCCCCAGTCGGCTCCCTTTTCCTATGCTCCCCAACACTACTGTGTTCTACCCATGAGTCCTCAAACTGAACCAAACAACCACAGACTGAATCCTCTGATACTGGGAGCCAAAAGAAACCTTTATTCTCCACAGTGATAAGAAGAGTAATGAATCCAAGGTTCCTGGCAGAGTTTTCCATGATGGGAAATCCAGGAGGGTATGGAAGTAGGGGAATGGAGATCTGACACTGTTGGGGTGGAGGGGAACTCAGAGCGAAGTTCAGGGCTGCAAGTGACAGGGAAACCAGCTCTGGCTACACATATGTGTCTGCTGCATGTGCAAATGTCTTCCCAGAGCATACAGAACAATGTCAGGTTAATAGAGGGAAACCCCCAACTTTATAGTAGGAAATAAATTCATATCACCTACAACTCAAACATCAAAAAGCAGGAACGCAAAAAGACTGCCAACTCCAAAACAATCACTTGAGATGAAAGCCATTTTTTTTTTTTTGGAGACAAAGAAATGGGAGGAGGTAGAGAGAGGGTAGGGCAGCCATTTTCTCTTGTGCTGGGGGGTGGGGTGAGGTGAGGGCCTTGGGTCCATCAGACAAGCACTCCACCATTGACAGGAGCCTTGGTCACAATCTGGGATCGCCTCTCTTTAATTTTTTAAAGTAAGGAAACTTAAGATGTCTGACTCTAAGCAAGAGTGTCCATCAGGAAAGGGTTTGCCACCTCACATGACGATGACAGTTTCTGGAGACATAGCTGGTTGCTCCAACTAGGGAAGGAGGGTGATGGCTAGAGTCCAGTGGAAGTCTCCAGGATTACAGTTGAACAGCCCACACCCACCGCCCAGGGGCAGCCTCCCCAGTGAAGGTTCTCCAGCCCCAGATGGTGAGTGCGCCCAGGTCCAAGAGCCCTGCTTGAAACCTGCTTGGAGATTTTTTTTTTTTTAAGATATCGTTTTTGTATTCAGTACACATACATGCATAATACATATATGTACAACTGAAACAGGTTTATAGATTTTTTTTTTTAAGAAAAGCATCAAGGGGAAGATTTGGTGAACTCAAACTAAGAATAATTCCAAGAGACCTGAAAAGACATTCATAATTTAAGGCTAAATCTTTCCAGAGAAAACATTTGCTGTTCCAGGAGAAAACCTGGACATTTTCAATGTTTAAACTCCAATTTCAAATCCAAATATTACTCAGGTCAAGGGGAAGGGAGGAAGCAGCCAGAGAGGGAAAAACTAGTAAGCTATAGTAGTTCCACATGGAGAACAAAGAAGGAACCAAAAGAAACATCTCCAGAGGCCAAGACCCCCAGCCTGCACGTCTCCCATCAGTTAAATGCACTAAAACCCATGACTGTGCCATCATAGGGAGGGTTCCCAACAAATGGCTGAACTTGTTGGTATGCTGCTGGTGTTGAAGGCTAAACCACTCCGTTAATAAGCCAAGGGAAATGATCCAGAGATGTTTCGATGCAGATGACATCTGGATTAATTTGAAAGTCTTTTCCAATTACTTTCCTAATTATATTCATCTTCATCACTGCAGAGGGCAGAGTAATAAAGAATTGTCATCTGAAAACACATACAAGGAAAAGAATTATAGCAGGAAGCAGCCCCCCACCCCCACCCCTCCAGAGCAGCAGGGGAGAAGAGGGCACTCCTTGTTTTGAAGCCTTAAAACCTCCAAACATGATCCACATACATAACGTTCCAATTATAGAAAAGCAAGCTCCCAGTAAAATTTACTATGGAGACAAACCAGTAAACTATCTTATGTATGTGTTTTGGTATCAGGGTTTTTCTAAGACCTTGCTCATAAACAAAGTCATAGACAAGTTTTGTTTTGTTTTTCCAATAGAGATTGTTTAGAAAGAGGCAAAGACTCAGACAGTTTGTTGCAGGAGATTTGTTTGTGTTGCCACTCAGAGACCGTCAATGGAGTCAGGTTGGTTTGAGGGCAGAGACCACATTCAGCTGGTAGGAACAGACCATAGAGTTTTCTGACTGACTCGGAGGAAGTTAGAGGGACACACAGGAGGAATAAGGAGGGGTAAGGAAGATGTGTGGGCCTTTTCAATCAGGGAAGATGGAGAAGAGAGCAGGTGATCGTTTCTCTGTTGTTCCGTGGACCTCTCAGGTTTAATTCCTTAATATTTAACTCCCAAGTTTTGTTTTGTAATAAAACAATGAAAGAGGTCGAAGTCATCACAATAAAATCTCAATGAAACAAATCTAAAGTCAATTAAGTCAAGTGTTCTATCCTTTTTTCTAGTTCCTCTTCATACTCTGGAGATGTGGGCTCACTATGTAGCCCAGGATAGCCTTGAACAAGAGATACTTCTGTCCATGTCTTCCTAATACTGATAAAAGGCACACGCTACCATCTACATTTCTAACCATCTGTAACCTGAGGGCGAGCAGACTCCTATGACACTGCTGAAGAGTTGTGTTTAACTGACACAGAGCTTTAGGCAATACTCAACTCTCCCATAAACATATAAAGACATACTTGGTTTGGCACCCAGAAATCTCACAAAATGCAGGAAACACCCAGTAATCGAGGAGATGGCCTTTTAATAGACACCTTATTAAAAGCAGTTCAATAAAAGCTTTGATAATAAAAGCAAGATGCAAATGAGTATTAGTTTTCACCAAGTCTGCCATAAAGATTGGATTAAACCAATCATTTTTTCAGTATGAGAACCTGCTTTGGATCACAAAAATTCCTTTAAAACATCTTATTTCCATGGTTAAGAATGATACACTGGCCACAGCATGGGCAAACTTGGTCACTGAAACAGTTCATTGCCTTCTTGGTGGCACTGGGAGATGAGTGCTGGGTCTACTTTTCATTCCACAAGTAGACCTTAACCCAAAGTGCACACATTTTCTAATTTGTTTTGTTTTGGTTTTAAGAATAGGTAACAATGCTAATGACTGTTAACATGAATGAGGATCTGCAAAAGTACGTAGAGGGGAAGAGATGGCTCAGTTGATGACATGCTTGGTCTGCAAGATGAGGACCAGACTGAACTCCTAACACCATATAAAAGCTATGTACAGTGATCCACATCTATAACTTCAGAACCAAGGAGGCAGAGGCAGGCTACCCAGGGCTTGCTGGCCATCCAGTCTAGATGAATTGGTTAAGTGTCAGGTTCAGTGAGAGACCCGTCTAAACAATAAGATGAGAGAGAGAGAGAGATGGCTCAACAATGGAGAGCACTTGGTTCCTGAGCACCCACATGGCAGCTCACAACCTCGTGCAATTCTAGTTCCAGGAGCTCTGATGCCCACTTCTGGTCTCCGTAGGCAACAGATATGCATGGATATGCTTAGATACATGCACATAAATGCACATACTTACAATGGTTTTGTAAAATATATATTGAAAGAAAAAGAAGGCACATGATTAAAAAAGACATCTAACATCGGGATCTGGTCTCTATATGCACACATGCACAAACATGCACCTGGCATGCATGCATACATACACACACTCATACACATGTGAACATAATCAATCTCTCTCTCTTCTCTTGCCCCTGACATAGCTACACACACTAGAGGAAGTTATCCTCTGGATACTTACCATTTTGCCTCTGGCTCCCTTGGGACCAGCCTCTCCTGGATCCCCAGGATCCCCAGTTTCACCCTAAATAAATATATTAAAGTAAGAATTAGTAGTGAAATCAAATACACGTTACAGAGGCTTAACTGTGTTTGTAAAGTCATGTACATCTTGCCTTGTGTGGCTGTCTCCATTGCACACTGTGTCATCACTGGCTCACGGTTCAGTTTCCCAGACCAGAACTCAGGTCCTTAGAGAACCAAGACCTCCTTTTGTTTGGTCTTCTGACTTTACTGCAGGGCCTGACATTTACAGAGTTCAGTAAAATCTTCAAGAGGAACTGAAAGCCCTGAGGTGGAGGTTATCATTGCTGGCTTGTCATATGACAATGGTTTTTATAAACACACTGGGAAAACTCAAGCCAGGCAACATCTCATCATCTGGTTTATTTCTCTGCATTTTTCTTTCCTTTTAAGCCAGTGGTTCCCAACCTGTGTGCCCAGACCCCTTTGGAGGTTGAACAACCCTTTCACAGAGATGGCCTAAGACCATTAGAAAACACAGATATTTACAATTCGTAAGAGTTATGAAGAAACAATGAAAATAATGTCGTAGTTGGGGTCACTACAACATGAGGAGCTGCGTTAAAGGGTCACACAGCACTAGGAAGGTTGAGAACCACTGCTTAAACAATGAATAAAGGAAGGAAAATATTTGAGGAAAAACTTTCAGAAAGGATTACCTTTCTCTCTTTACCTATAAATTAAAAAAAAAAAAAAAAAAAAAACACTTGAAGTTGAATATTTTTAAAGTTCTTATATTCCTAATCAATCAGATCATATTAAAAAACTTCATGGGAGAGACATGTCTCTTCCCTATGCTACCCCACCCTGCAGTAGTATATTTATTTCTCATTAACTGTCCCAAGATACAGTCCCCGGCTCTGGTCTGTGAAGTGCATATACCTTTGGTCCACTTTCTCCAGGGAATCCTTCTTGCCCCTGCAATCAACAACAGAGGGAATCAGTACAGACACCCTTGGCCCAAGTAGATTTATACTGACTTTAATTCTACCACCTTCTTGTTTATATGCCTGTGCGTCAAGGAAGGGATGGGCCCACTGGAAACTAGGCAGCACCACAGGAGAAAAAAACTTCCAATTTCTAAATTCAGTTACTCATGGCTCACATAAGCAAGATGACAGTCAAAGAGGAGAGGCAGAAAGTGTTTGAGGAGAAAGATCTGGAGATTCCAAACGGCCCGAGTCTTTTCCAAGGGTATGCAACAGAAGAGGGGCTTGCTTGGCCTTGTGTCCCCAAGTGATGAGTAACCTTTCTCAAGTCGGGTTCAATGGAGAGGGTCAGGGAGTCAACAGTCCAGACCTGATCGTTCATCTTAAGGTCCTCTGCTTGCCTTACTTTGGCCAAAGACTTGTTGAAGAGTTTTCCTACCCTCATCTAATGAGAAGTGTGTATTCTACCTAAAATGAAGTTTCTTCTCTTTTGTACGTGCATGTGTGTATGAAGGGATGCACACTCATGGGTATGCCAGTCTAGAGGAGGACATCATGTGTGTGTCTTCCTCTGTCACTCTTGCCATCTTAGTTTTGAGACTGGGTCCCTCATTGAACCTGGAACTCACCGTTTTGGCTAGGCTGGCTAGAAAGCTCCCAGGACCCAGCCATCTCTACCCAACCCTGCCATACTGGGGTGAAAAGTATCACAACCATGGTGGGCATTTCCATGGGTACTAGGATTTGAACTTAGGTCTTCTAGCTTTCATGGAAAGCACTCTTACCCACAGAGCTATCCCTCAGCCCCTAAATTTTATCTTATATTTTAGCATTTGTTAAAGCTTTTGATGAACACCTATTATTACCAGTGTGATAAGGGGGTGACTTGAATTTACACATACAGAGAGCACCAATAATCCCCCCATGTTCTTCCCCACTTACCAACTTCTAATTACCACTAACCTACCAAAAAACAAAACCAAAACAAAACAAAAACAACAAAAAAACCCAAAGCTTTGTTTTTGATGTAAAAAAAAAAAAAACAAAAAAATCCTTACACATATGAAATTCAAAAGGCAAAAAGAAAAACCACTGTAGTCTTTCCTACCTGGAGTGGTTATATATCCTTTCCAGCTTTTAAAATTGCATTTAAGGCATGCTCAAGATAGGTGTTCTTCTCAGTATATGAGAAGTATGTGAGACTTGACTTCAAGGTTCTGTGTACACATTTTAAACAGAGGCTGCAAGCAGGGGACTCTGACCCCTGGCACCCTGGCACTGGTGGACAGAGGCAGGGTGCCCCAGGGGACCAATGGTCAGCTCAGCCTATCAGAGAGCTCCATGCTCAGTGAGAGAGACCCTGTCTCAAGACACGAGGTGGAGCAAGATAGAGGGAGGTTCACGCCACCCCACCCCTTTAACCTCTGACCCCCACATTCACATACATGGGCATGCGTGATTCCCCATGTTCACACACTTTTATAATAAACTTCATATGTATTCATTTTATAGAGAGTCTAATGTTCAACGACTCGGGCCAGTAAATATGTCCCTCTCTGTGGGACACTAATGTTTTCAATTATTCTAATGAACATTACTGAACCCCCTCACTTTTTTCAGTTTTAATTTCCTAGGACCATTAGCAGATGTGTCTCTCCCTCCCAACACCATCTTGGGCCATCCCCTGTGGGTTCCACTAGCAGTAAACTGAGCTCCTCTCTGCTATTTTAGACTATTCCTCTACTGACGACTTCATTTCTCTCAGATCTTTATCTGGATCTCTAACATTTTCGTTTCAGAAAAGTTATCTTCACATTTTCTGTGCTTTGTAGTAATAATTGGCTATTTTTCACAATGATTATATGTGTACACATGTATTAGCATGGGGGTCTGAGCATGTATGTTTGGGCATGTAGACAAGGGTAGAGGAGAACCTTGGGCAGTGGTCTCAGGTGCCTTATGCCTTTATTTTGAGACAGGGTCAATCACTGGCCTTGAACTTTACAAAGTAGGTCAGACTAACTGGCCAGCAAGCTCCAGAGGTCCACCTGTCTGCCTCCCATCACCACTGGGATTACAAGTGTCCACTACCACACCAGCTGTTTACTCAGCTCCTAGGGACTGAATTCAGGGACTTCTGCCTGCAAGGCCAAGTGCATCATTTACTGAGCCACTCCCAAACACTTTTGAATGTATTTTTAAAGTGGTTATTATTAGCATGTCAAAATCACCGGCTTTAATCAACTTCCTTACTTTTAGGCATGTACATATTCAGTAACAACATAATCATTTTTAAAGTTACTGTTTGGGCAAATGCATTAAGAAAATGCTGCAAAATTTCTCACTGACAGTTGAAGCAATCATAACAATAGGAAGATGAAATGTAAATGGCTCCTCAGTAAAGCCACACACAGAACTGCCAAGATTATCAGCTAGTTCATGTTCACAGGAAAACACAAATGATTTGTTTTCAACTTTCAATTTTCTCCTGCCCCTAGAACCATGGCATGATTCTCCACCATAATGTCCATAGGACATCAATAAGTGAACTATCAAAGTAGCTTTTCAATTGTACCAGACTAATTATATATTGCCTTTTGTCTCAACCATGGCAAGCCAAACAAGCAACCAAAAGCTCATGGAATAGGTCAAACATCAGTGGGTATAACTTACCTTTGTCCCTTTGCGGCCAATGCTACCATATCCCGGGCTGCCATCATCACCCTGTAAGCAAAGCAACTAATCACACATATCCAGACTAGAAATATAGGTAGACTATTTACAGGAGGACATGACTGATAGAGTTTTTTGGGTTTCATTAGGGACAACTATGAAGCAGAGTCCTCTAGTGATGGTGCTAAAAGATACTGGACAATATAATTAACAATTGCAGCTACTCATGATGTAGTTGTGAATATTAAGAGAATAAGCTGGGCATCCTGTAATCTTTCATAAGCAACATTATTACCCAACTCTTTGCAGAGCTTCTGTACGTTAATATTTGAGCTCCCATCTATTTGCCCACACAGTGGCTACTGTCCATTGCTCGTAGAAGCCCTGGGCAATGGGGGAAGGTTGGAAATTGTTTCTGATAAAGAGGTCCTGCAGACAAAAGGTCAGAAGAGGTCACGGGAGGATGCTACATAGAAAGCTTAGTCTGTTTTACCATCTTATCTCAAAAGCATCTGCTCCATGACAGCTGCTGCCTTGGGAAAGCTAGCCAATCAGAAATGACTGTGATGTCCCAGTTGGTTACAGCTAGGACACTATAAGGCTAGACTGAGACAGTGTCCTTAAAGATCTTCTGAGCATCCCTCAGAGATAGGCATAAACATCTTTTTGCTGTGGTGTGAATTTTGCTCTCAGCAGGTCATGTGTTTGAACACTTGGTCTCCAGCTGGTGGTAGAATCCTTCGGGGGGTGGGGTGGGGGAGTGAAGCGTTGGAGGAAGTCACCATTAGGAACAGACCTTGAGGCTTTTAAAATTCTGCCCACTTCCTGCTCATTCTCCACTTCCTGGCCGTAGAAGTCATGTGACCAGGGGCCCATGCTGGTGGCCTATTTGCCCTCCAGGCCACGATGAATTGATGGATCGAGCCCCTTAGAATTCTAAGCTAAAAGAAACCCTTCCTTCGAGTTACATTTTAGACAAGTAACTAACTCACTACTGAAGTAAAAGTCCCAAAGACCTTGTCAAAAGTAGAGAAACAAACTCACATGCAGGCCCCGAGGACCCGGAAGGCCGGCAGCTCCCTTTACCCCTAGGTCTCCAGGATCGCCCTGTTCAATAGAAAAATGGAACGGGTTCGAACTCAGTTGTACTGCTCAAGACAGGATCTCATTCTGAGTCCCAGGCTGGCTTTGAATCTGTGGCAGTCCTACCCCAGCCCTTCAGTGCTCTAGGGTCACAGGTATAAACCACCACACTCCCTTTCATTAGGTTGTTTGTACAATGGCAAATCAGAGACTATGGACTAGACACTGCTTAAGTTCCATGTGTCACAGCAATGGGTTTGTATTCAGGCTTGCACACTGTACAAATGACATGTAAGGAATGGCTGTGGTTGGCCAAGCAGGTCTCCGCCATTCATCATCGAGGTCTCAGAAAGTCTGGTTTATTGTTGAGTGTGGTTCACCATCTGAGCCACTTGGTGCCATGAAAATGGCCCCCATCATGATCCAGGGAGGACTCTCTACTGTTAAAAAAATAAGTGAGCAAAATTGTTTTCCATGATGACCAGTGCAATTCACTCAGCTGTGAGGATAGCAGGTTTCTTAGCCTACAGACCTGAGTATAAACAGTCAAAAGATAATCTCTGATGTGCAGAGCATCTACCAAGGCTTATGAACCAATCACAGTAGGGTCTTGGGGAAACCTCAGCTACCTGGGGAAATGTACATGGGGTTATGGAGGATGATGAGCTCCCTTTTAAAGAAAATATAACATTTAATTTAGAGCAGTTTGAGATGTTCAGGATGGTTTCACGGAGAGATAGAGTCCTCAGCACCCCATACATGAGCTTTCCCCATTGCTGACCTGTTAGATCCACTTGGCACACACATCCACACTTGGCACAATGAACAACCAATACTGATTCGCTGTATTCATCAAAACCCATCCTTTGTCCCTAGTTTTTATCTAGTATTTGTTCTCAGCTCCAGGTCCCCCAGGAGTTTCTCAAATGTGAGGTCTCCATGGATTATTCCAGACTGGGACAGTTTAACAGACTTTTGTTTTTGAATGACTTTGACAGCCTTGAGAAGCATCAGTCAGATATTTCGTGGGATGGCTCCCAATTAAGAAGTTGTCTGATGTTTAATTTTGATTAGACTGGGTCTATGGGCTTTGAGGAAGGAGGCCATATGGGTACAGTGCCATTCTTGTTGCATCTTACCAAGGGTAAAGCAAGCAGCGTGGCTTTACTTGCTTGGCTGCAGACCTGGTTGATGTCATATTGGTCAAGCTTCCTCTGTGTTAAGGTTGGTGGTTAAGTCATTCTGAAGAGAAAGGTCCCACAGCGAGTGTGAGAACTGTGAATTGATGTTCTGAAGAAAGGTCCCACAGAGTGTGTGGAAACTGCATGGATGCTCTGAAGTATGGGGGTGATACAGAAGGGGATGATGGAGGCCATCATTCCCAGGATTCACTTTCTCCGAGTGTTTTGGGGACCACCTGTCCTCCCACAATCATCCAGGACTTATGCACAAAAGCCAGTTTCCAGCCCCCTTTGAACGAATCTTGTACTAGAGTCAACAATATGTGCTCAATGCTTCCCAGATGACTGTAGTTTAAGAACATCCACTTTAAGGCAGGAAAGCAGGAAGTCAGATGGATTTCCCAGGGACAGTAATTGGTTACTCAGTTGCTGGTAGAGCCAGACAAGAAGCATGGGATTGCTAAATTTAAATATATGGAGTATAGCCTGGGTAAGTGTTTATCCTAGTCAATAGTGATACATGGAATCAGTTAATCTGGGGTTTCAGTTTACACTGGGCCATTGCCCTGCCCCTCATTTTAGCTACTCTACTTTAAAGTTCCTGTTGTTAATGGCTTCCTGCCTATATATCTCTCCCCTTACTCTCACCTAGCTCTGAATTCTATCCATCTCTATACCCCTCTTTTGGTCCCTTCTATCATTCCCTACATAGTACCTTCATTTCATACTCATTATGGACACATCCATGAAAACACACACACGCACACGCAAACGCACATGCACACGTGCACATACAAGCACACATGCACACACACGCACATGCACACACATACACATGCACACGCACACACACGCACACACGCACAGACACACACACACAGATGCACGCACATACTTGCACACACTTACACTTACTTCTTCATCTGGAGAAAAATTTTATTCTTACCAATGGCACCACTTCCTTTACAGCGTACCCCAGGACACGCTTTCCTCTTTCCAGGACACTGGTTCCTCTTTCAAACTCACTTTCTGACCATTCTTGCCACACCACATGCCCCAGAGCCCCCTCCTTCTGAAGATGCTTGTGCTGGTCACCCTCGTATTTATTATGCAAGCCAGTCTTCCCATTGACCCCCCATTCTCCTCCATCACAGGTCCTCCCTGGCACCTCTCTCATACAAAGGCCAAGGCGATGCCTCAAATCCACTCTAGCAAGACATTCCTCCACTCTAAGGAGAGCTTTTCCGGTCTGCCTCACACTTTCATCCCCCCTCCCCCTTTTCTTCACTCGTTAACACACTGCAGTCTCCCCTTCCACTGAAAACACACTCCAAGCTTTTCTAGACAATGGCAGGCTCAAGCAGGAGCAGAGATATCCTGTTCTCCCCTTTAAAGGAGGAACCCCTTGACTGCGTAGGCAGCTGCTCTGCATCCCCGTCTCTGCTTGGACAAGGCGTGCATCTGTATGATTCACAAGCCTACACCCCGAGCAGACCTTGCCCCTGGTCCCTTCCCCTTGCCCTTCCTCACAGCCTTCTGCATGTGTGATGGGGTCACCAGGTACACTGGAATCCCTGGATCTTCCAAGCCCCAGTTCTCTCCAAGGAGAGCTGTATGGAACCATCATCCTTTACGTTTTCATCCTGTCAAATCCTCCAGTCACTGCTGGTCTTGGAGACAATGATAGCGACCAACTAGTCTCTTTGTTTCCAAAGCTCTTGGCCTTCAAAAAACAAAAAAAAAAAGAAAACCCCCTAACAGTCTACACTAGGCTGTCCACTTAATACCTCCCAAGGGTCTGGCTGTGTCTATACAACCCCTTCAAAACAAGTAGACAATGCTGTACCAGTGGCTGACGATTCTACCACAGACTACCTTGCTCTTCATGTGCCTGCCAGACAGGGAATTTTTCATGCAAATAATTATTCTTCAAATAATTCCTCCTAGGATGCCCTAAGCCTATTCCTAATCCCCCCTTCCCATTTTCCCTGTCTGCTTCTTCAAAGTGTTTATCTTCTAAAGGCCTCTCAAAGCTCACACCTTCTTTGATGTCTCCTTTTCCGGCACACAAATACTCATAATTACTTTATTTGAACCTCAATTTCATCCTCTTTGCCCTATCTTCCTTATGCCAGAGATTGCTGTCTTCCAGATGTTCTAAATTCTTTGGTCTGGATTTCATGTCCTAGAATTGCATTCATTCATAAATCCTGGGTTCTTGTTCCAGGCCAGGCACTGTTTTAAGTACTGCAGATGCACTGGTAAGACAAAGAACCCTGCTTTCCTGTCCCCAACTTTCTAGCACAACACAGGCCTGAGCCTTCCAAGGTCCTTAGCAAAGGTTCACATGAGAAAGAAGGAGAGAGAGAAAGAGAGAGAGAAAGGAGGGGAGGAAGGAAGGAAGGAAGGAAGGAAGGAAGGAAGGAATTGTGCAGAGAGGATGGAGAGGGAAGGAAGTCCTTGCCAGAGCAGCCTTCCTCTCCTGAGAGCCCTTAGTGGGATGGGGTGTAGCCCCTCGTGCAATTATGCTGAGTTGGAGCCCCTGACCTCATCCTGGTCCACACCCAGGTCCTTTGAGACTTTTGGCTCTCCAAGAATCAAGCCAGAGCTTAGGGGCAACAAGATGTGTTTTCCTTTGTGTTGAAAGGGCTCTGGCTCATCCAGCCAGCCACAGCTCTCTCGGGTAGCACAAACTCCAACATTGCAGGGGCTGTATTAAAGAATGTGACCTACTTTACTTCCTTGGCTTCCCAACCGGCCTTGATTCCCCGCTTGTCCTCCGGGTCCTGGAGGCCCCTGGAATGAAACAAGGGTGGCAGATACAGGGAGACAAAACGCAGCTTTTCCTCAACACGTGTGTCTTCTACAGAAAATGAAGTACAGATGGGAGAACAGACTGAGCCGACCCTGCTCTGGAAAAAAAAATACTGTGGCTGTCAAATAAAGACTAGTAAATAAAAGAAAATTAATAAAGTAACCCAGGCCAGATGTGGCCTAAGCGATTACACTTCCTCGTCTCTGTGTCCAAGCAGTGTCTAGATTCCCACTGTTTGTCTCAGGGAACAGATGTTGGTGAAGCATCTAACATTTTTCCAAAAGACATTAGCCTTCAAAGAAGGCTTTCAACAAGACTATTTTTTGTTTGTTTGTTTTTTAAAGGTATAATTTATCCTCATTTGCAAACTGTGAAATGTGCATTAGAAAGCTCAAAAAGTATCACGAAAACCAACCCGCCTTGCGACAAAATTGCGTCCAGGGCACACAGAATAAAGATTCTGAAATGGTTTTCAGAGGCTTAGAAAAGAGAGGTTGCCACCTTTGGTTCCTGGAACAGGGCCTTCCACTAAGCAGCACGTATTGTAAATGCTTGTCAAATTGGTAAAAGGGAGGAGTCCATGGGCCATGAAACCTAAGTCTTTCAGGATGGTAAAACCCGGCAATTACAACATGAATTACATATTGTTCTATACCTAGCAGAGTTTCCCTCAAAATATGAACCACATTTCATGCCATCGGCTACCTCTTTGGGGGTTTGGGAGGTGATTCAGTAGGTAATGGTGCTTGCCACCAAGCCAAAGGACCCAAGTTCAATTCCTGGAATGCATATGGTACAAGGGAACTAGTTCCTCTAATTGGCTCTCTGACTTTTACATGTGGACTGTGGTGTGTACATACGTGTGTACTCTCACACCAACAAATAAAAATATAAAACTACATCTGTTCAATTAGGCACAATAGGTGATGTAGGCACAATATTATAGTAATAAAAGTATCTATACAGCCCTTATGCAAGTAATGGTTGCAAGCATTTACATCTGTCAAACCATTTGATTTTCACAACATCCAATGAGGTAGCTACTATTACTATTCTTTTGCAGAAGATATATCCATTATTAAGTAAATTGTTCAATGTCACACAGACAGGATATAAAGCTATAGGGCAGCCTGGCTCCAGATTCGATGTCTATGACTACTATACCATTATCTGTGAAGACAACAGAAATCCTGTAGTGTTTTCCACATTTGCATGGAACAATTCTATCCCCTCCTCCCATGACTCTACTCCCTCCAATTTTTTTGAAACAAAGTTTCATGTAGCTAAGGTGTAAACTCCTAGTCCTCCTACCTCTACTTCTCTTAAATAAATATTTATTTGCATATTTTTTTGGTCTTTGTCAACTTCATACATGTGTAGAATGTCGTCTGATTATTCTCATCATCCCTACCCCTCTTACTGTTCCCTCCCTGCCCCATCAACTCCTGCTCCTCACGGGCCCTTTCCCTTACTCCCTTTATGTTTTGTGACTCACCGAGTTTAACCCGGGCCATCAGAGCGACCACGAGTGTGAAACCATCCAATAGAGCCTGGTGGGTTCACCCCACCTCCTCCTGAGCGCTAGTCCTACAGAGAAGAACCCCAGTGCTTGGCCTAACCTTGTTGGTATGCATGCTACTAGTGTTATTTAACTAAGAACATATATTCAAAGAACAGTTGCAGCTCCAAGTAAAATTAGTATTTTGGACCTTGTTTTCTACTGTATTTTCTAGTGTTTGGATATTTTAGAGAAGGGACTTAAGGGCAGCAAAAGATGGGACATAAGGAGGCACAAAAGAATCTTTCATTCATTTCAAAAATGTCTTCCTGGGGAGAATAGCTTGTACTATTTTTTTTTTAATCGAAGACATATATTGGTTGAAATAGCACATTTCGCTTATGCAGAACACTGAGTACTGTGGAACTTAATAAGCCTCCAGTATGCCATCAAGCCAAATCACATCCTTTTTCAAGATGAAAGTCCCAAGGAAAGCTTTCAATCCTGCTTTTAGAAAACACTGTTCCACTGGAGGGTTCCTCCTGTGTCATAAAACAAAACAGGACCTATAGCAATGGGTTTGTAGAGCCAATAAAGTGTAAGGCTCTCCTGTGCATCTGGCTGTGTTTGTCTTTGTGGATTTCCCCTGGAAACAGCAATCTAGAGATCCCATTCATCATGTCCCAAACACAGAAAATTCCACTTGTCTTTGAAACTGCCTTTTAACTGGCCGAAAAGCAGGGCATTTCATAAAAACCAGGCAGCGGGAGAAAAGCGGGCTTTCCAGCCAGACAAATGCAAGCGGAGGTAGACGTGGTACCTTGGACTAACTGACAATGCCAAAGGCTGGATGATTTATAACTGTGCCACAGCTTGCCAAAGTGAGATTAAAGGGACTCATAGGTGAAGGTGTCCCATGGGGCACATGGAAGAATTACTCCCCTAACAAACAGTCTTGGATACTGTTTTGGATCCTAGAGCAAAAGAAATAACAAGGCCTTTGTATATCCACTTATCTATATATCTACAGCAATATTTTATATTAACAGATGAGATAATAGCCCAATACACATCTTCCTTTGTACTTACTATTTTTTAAAATAAAAATCACCATTGTGATGGCAGTCAGCTTTGAAGGATTCAAAGGTGTGGATGCAGGAAGTTTTATCACCAGTATAGTTCTGCTATGAAATTATGAAGTTTTCATGCATTTGGAAAGAGCACTTTCATCAAAACCAGGAGCAAACATCATCACAAGCAGTTATTAATGTACTTTAAAATAGTATGTCAAGACACACACCTTTATGCAAATAACCTCTTAAATATTCTCATGATGGGCACAGCCACTTAAACACTGGGCCTCTGCCCAGTTTAACTAATGGATGCAAAGTAATGCATTCCCTTGATACTGCTAATAGTGGAGGGTGAAAGTCCCAGCTGGGTCTCATTCATTCATTGACTGCCTGATTCATCACACAAATGTATTGAGCTCTGTTGTGCCAGGAATTGTGGATCCAAGCTCTGGGTATTCAGCATAAGCCAAGACACTAACATGGATGGCAACCTGTAAAAAGAGGACCCACAGATACATATATACTATGCTAGCCATAGACAAGGAGCAGACCACACAGGAACTTGCCACTCAATGTGTGGTCCAGACCTGCAGCATCAGTACCAACTGGGGACTCATTGAACATGAAGAATCCCAAGTCTCAATCTAGACTCCCTGAGGACTTGCATCCTAACATGCACTCCTGGGGATGCTTAGAGCACTTTGAAATAGGGGAAGTGTGGGTATTGGGTAGTCATTCCCATTCTCGAAGGAGAATTTAGAACTATCAACACCACATCTTCACTTACAGAGATTCTAAGTTCTTAGGAGGGTTCTAGGTGGTAAAATGGTTTAGTCTCCCCAGAAGAATTCAATTAAAAAAAAACTTTATGTATATGTGGGTATGTGCATGTATGACACATGTGTGGAGGTACTTATGAGTGCCAGGAGAGGGGTTTGGATCCCCTGAAGTTGGAGTTACAGGAGGTTGTGAACATGGGTCTTTTGGAAGAATTAATTAGCAAGTGCTCTTAACCACCATACTACCTCTCTATCTCCCCTAGGAGGTGGGGTAGGCAACTCCAAGTGGCTGGTGAGCAGGGAGTGATGTAATAATATATTGACATAGCGCAGAGGAGAAATTGTTAACCTCAGATGAGAAGTGGAGGCAAGGAGGTTTATCTAAAGAGACTCCACTACAGTCTGATGAGGGGGAATCAGGGTACCATATAGCTCTCACTTCTCACACAAAAGTTAAACTTACTACACTTTGTCTTCAGGGCAGTGTGTAGTAATTCACCTTTAGAGAAAAAACTATTAAAGCATTGACCTTACAGACAAGGTTAAAGCCAGATGCGCTTGCTTTCTCCTTACGTACCTGGGGGCCTTTCAGTCCTAGAAATCCTTTTTCTCCCTTGTCACCAGCCTCTCCTCGTGGGCCCTGAATACACAGAATCAAAGTTATTATCTTCTTTAGTAAGAACCCTTGAACACTAAACTTGCACATTAAAAATAAAATGTTAAGTCAAGGTATTATGAGCAGTTTTCCAGCCAGCCTGGTCCCACAGCCGTGCCAGCCCCAAATAACACACAGAGAGGTTTTATTAGATATAAAGCTGTTGGCCTGTTGCTAGCATTTATTGGCTAGCTCCATCTTAAATATTAACGCATTTCTATCAATCTAAGTATTTGGTCTTATCTAACTGAAGAGAGGATCTGGAGTTCTGTTCTTTTGGTCCTACATGTTGAATCTCTTACAACCTCTCCCCGAATCGAATCCTCGTCTCCTACTCCCGCCTATCTTGCTTTCCTATTGGCCAACAGGGCTTTATTCATTAACCAGCAAGAGAAACATATTTACAGAATGACATCTTCTCCTATCATCAAGGTAACATAGAAACTGGTCAGAGAGCCAAATTATGCTGTACCAACTGCATAGGGCTTGGAGTTCCACCTTATCTGTGTGGGAGCACAACAGGACAGCCTGAAATCGAGGTGGTTGAGCCTATGTAGTCAAAGGAGCAAGAGCCTGGAGGAAAAAGCCCAACACTGAGATTTTCAGTATTGCCAATTGTCCTCAGTCTTCATACTCAGAAGCCATGAGCTTTTTATGTGAAAAAAAAAATGTTTTTCTCAATCATGTCAATCTGAAACCAGAACCTCAGATCCATTTAATATTCAGTAACCACAACCAAGATGGGCCATAAGGAAGATACATTCCATAGCAAGATGAAGTTTAGATATTTCTACTCCTGGAATAGTCTATTGCCTGTGTACTATGGCTTCTGTAGGTTGCAGAGAAAATTTCTTCATGTGCTGTATTTGGTAGTTTGTTCCATTTTACTTTGTGCTATAAATTAAAAAAAAAGGCCCATAAACTGAAGAACAAATGCTGGATGTGACTTGCAGAGCATGAAATAAAGGCAGTCAATTTATTGAGATGCTTTTCTAACGATCACGATGGCAAATATTTCTCACTCTAAAGAAAGAAAATTGAACCTTCCTCAGCTGGCATGTAATGACAAATAAAAGCAATCAAGCTGGAGAGAGAGAACAGTCTGAGAGCAAGGCTGGTTACCACGCTGAAATCTTGGCAACGTGTCACAAACTATGTCTCTGATGTTTTGATGTATTTTGCCCAATGTCCATACACAAACTGTCAATACATAATGCGTTTATTTTTAAGTACTTGCTTTAAAACCTTGAAAGATAGAACCCATGATTGTCTCACCTAAGCCAAACAGTGCACCTATTTTTCATACATTCAAAACCAAGTTTTGAAAGGAAAGATGCTATTTAAGTGGTCTGATTTCTACCTCCCCTCTTCCCTCTCTCCCTCTCCATCGCTTTCCTTCTATAAGTTCGTCCTACCACTGAGTTACATCTTTCTTCCTTCTCAGCATTTGCCCCCTTACTGTCTATGCTTTGCCCTCTCTGGCACACGTGACCAGAGCAAAGCGCCAACTATGGCTTGTCCCTTGTAAAGGAAAAAGCGCTGGAGGCAGCTCTCCAGAGAAGCAAGCTGGAAGGGACAGGCAGGGTGCCACACTACAGATCACCCCGCTGAAGCCTCCAGCTGCACTTACAACACAGTTTTCCTTGAGTTGAGCATCCAGAGATACAACACTGAACTATTACTGTGTTAAATTGACCACAATCCCCAAATTCAAGGCTCAACATTTTCCTTGGCTCAGGGACTCTTTTATTATCCTAATAATCCTGAACCCATGGGGCTGGCTGCTTAGCATGTTCATCTCATTCCACCTCTTGACAGGGACAGAACTCTGATAAAAGAGACAAAGTTCTGTACAAGTGAAGACTAGATGTTGCTTACTTGGAACACACTTCCAAGCCTCTGCACGTGAAGGGTTCTATCCAGGCTATAGATTCTCACACTCAGGCTCCTCTTTTTGTGCATGCACCCATATGTTCTCTATGTATACCTGAGGGCCCTTAGGTCCCGGTGAACCTTCAAGTCCATCTGGGCCTGCAATGCCTGGATTTCCCTGTGGTGAGAAAGAATAAAGCTATTAATGCTATCTCTTCATACGCAAGGTTAGAAGCTTCTTTTTCAGTGGCAATGAGAAGTCTTTGTAAAAACTGAAGGTTTATTTCATACTTAGCATTGTGGAGTTTCACTCTGGTGTGACTGAGACACAGAGTGGGTCTGTCACTAACCCTCATTGTGCTTGTGATGGGAGCATGGGTGTTCTGTAAAACTCTAAGCCACAGCTTCTCTTTCTTAAAGAGTGTAGGATGCATCACCAGGGTGCTCAAAAGGAATGGGACACAGCTCTCCATTTACATGTTCAGGGTACTCAGAATCTCCCATTTGTATTCAGCTTTCGTCATCTTCTTTGGTTTTATATGGGGTTTTCACACAAATTGTAAGTTGGAGAGGATCACTGAATGCAAGTCCAAGAAGAGTTTACCTAGAGTTTGTATTCAAAAGCCAAACAAAATGAACTATTGGACTAGACAGCATTTCTGTTTTTATATTTAAACATTTTTAAATTTTTTTGGAAGTTTTAAATAAAGTATCCCAGCTTTCATTTCATTTGGAATTCTTAAAATTGTAGCTAATATTTTCTAACAATTTGTTCTCTAACCAATGTCATCAAAATACAAAAGTTTAAGATAGGAGATATTACTGACTTTATTCTTGATTGGACATGAGTGGTTTATCACCTGAAGTTAAGAAAAAGAAATTATCACTGACCTGTGGGCCTGTATGTCCCCTTCGGCCATGAACTACCTAAAATAAAGAAAAAAAAATAGAAATAGACATCCTTAGTTTAGGGAACATGCTGCATATATATCATTTAAATTGGCAACAGATACTTATTCTTCACAGCACTGACATAGATAACTCCCACATTGTGCTTAACACATTCAATTACTCAGTGCATTCTTAAAGCAGGCTGTTGCCAACTCTGAATTTCTATGTAGGTAAAACTGAAATCATAGCTAAAAGTCAGAGATACACAGAGAACAGGCCAGCAGCCCACCACCACTAAACTTGATCAGAGCTGCTCAGTAGCTGGAACACTGACCTGAATTTTATTTCTTTCTTATTTTCCCCCCAAGAAAACTACAAAGTAAGTCTGGAATCAGGAATGGACCAGCCAAAGGGCAGGGTGCCAGGATTAAAGCTGAGGATCGTCTCCAGGAACTTCATTAATACTCTAAACTTGGAAATCAAAGAGCCAAGTTAGCCTGACAGAGCCAAGCAATATGATTAGCTGTCAGAAATCATCTCAGATATTCAAAAGGGACTTGATTCATTGTATCAATAAAATACCCAATCCAAATAACACTGTTAAACAGGGAAGGGGAATTCTCACTCTCTGTAAGGTCAGGGCTGGAGGAGTATTCCCAATCAGTAGTCTACAGTGACATTTTCCTGTCTGACTTGGTAAGGTCAGAGCAAAACTCACACCTAGGATTCCCAAAATTCAAACAGCCCCAGTATTGCTAAGTGTATTTCCAAATATGTTGTCATCTAAGCAGCCAAAGTATATGCATAGGGAAATGTCCTATTTCTTTCAAACAAGAATGAGTCATCTTCAAGGCCCGAGGGCTCTGTTAGAGAAGAGAAAGTCATTTTCAAAGGGATGGGAAGATGGCTTAGTGTCCAAGAGCACTTGCTGTTCTCATAGAGGACCCTATTTCTGTTTCTAGCACCCACACCAGGCAGCTCACAATTGCTGCAACTCCAATTCCAGGGGATCCAACATCCGTTTCTGACACGTGTGCTTGCACATACATACACTCAATATCTGCACACATATATACAACTTTTTAAAGTCTAAAAAGAATTTGTGTTAGCACAATGAATTGTCCCAATTCAATCCACTTCAATTCCATGTCGTTGGGAAAAATTAACCCACCAGTAGATCAGTTCATTCTGAAAACTATCTGCCACCTTTGAACGAGATAGGAACCTCAAAATGAAGAAGCATGTGTGCATGCTTGAGTCCTCCAGGACACATGCCCAGAGTCCTTGACCGAAGGAAAACCTCACTCTCAGTACTGGGGGGAGGGGGCGGGTAAATACGACATGAATTTACAAGGCAGAGGACAGCACATGCCTAAGGACAGGAAGACAGTTTCAAGGGACAGATCACATCCAGCTGGTCACATGCAGAAAACCACCCCAGAGGAAGAGATTTCTTTGAGATTGGTTTCAAGAGATGTGTACAAGTCTGTCCACCAGAGGCACAACCTGTGTAAAGATGTAAAGGCAGAAGAATAGGACATATAGTAGGTAACGGCAACAAGAACAATTGAGTCAAAAGTGTGGGTTGAGAGGGACTGGTCTGCCCCACACTGCTTAGTTTGTGGTGTGGTTAACATACATTGCTGGAGCCAGTTTCATGCGAAAACATCTGGTGGCAGCTGAGGAGAGGAGGAGGACGTTGCATTCTAGGAAAACTGAAATTCACCGGCCAATTTTAAGGGCTGTAAAGCAGACCTCCACATGAAGGGTGTTTCTCCACTGCCAGTGTTTGCAGCATCCACATCTGCTCCTGTGTCATCAAGTTTGCCTTTTGTATGTGCTCATTTGCATGTCTACGCGTGCACATGTGAGTATGCACATGGAGGCCAGAGAACAATCTCCAGTCTCCTTCCTCAGATGTCATTTACCTTGTATTTTGAGACAGGGTCTCTCCCTTGGCCTGGAGCTCACCAGGATAGGCTGACTTGCCAGCCAGTATCAGGATCTGCTAGCCTGCCTTCTCAGTGCTGGGAGACACCACCATACCTGGCTGTTGCATGGGCTCTGTCCCAGTCCTGCAAGCGCATTGCCACCCGAGTCATCTCTCCAGCTCTGCTCCCATAGGACTTTAAGATCTGATTTTGAAAGCGCTCAAGGACATGAGTCAGTGTAACACAAATGTTATCTCTGGTGTCCCTGCCCCCTCCTGAGTAAAACCTCGCCCCTCTCCCTAGCCATGGGGGTTTGGGCCCAATGGAGGAGACAGACTTCCATCTACAGCGACATAAATGAAAGGAACAAACTAAGAAGTGGTCACCCAGCATGTTTGTGGACTTAAGTCGTGGGAGAGAGATCTTGGCAAACAGGAGACACAGACAAGGAGTTGGGGCAAACGATTTTGCAGCCTTTGACTAACATCTTCAGTGGTTTACATAGGAAAGAAAACCGCAGACTATTGAAGGGTACACTCTAAGACTGCCTGGGTTCTGGTCACACACCCAGACAGCCTGACTCTTCTTTAAAGCATGCATAGGCACATCCAAAGAGGACAGTCCTCTCAGGGGACCCGAGAAGAAAATGATGCAAGATGGAGTCCCCAGTTCCATGGTTCCCCCAGCCTGGCTTTCTGGGTACCTGTGAGGACCCCGTTTTCTGAGTAGGCATGGCTGGTCTCGGATGGAGAGTCACCAGCAAGCAAGCAGGGTGTTAATGGCAGACACCCGTGAATCCTGAATCTTACTGGCAGGCTCATCCCCAATGGTGCTGCCTTGGAGCACTCTGGGAGACCTGTAAAGAGGTGCCAGGAAGATTGACTGGAGAAAGCATGACCAAAGCAATCGATCTGGATCAAACTGGATGAAAGGCTGTTTTGGGTTGAGGCTACAGTTGCTTCTCATTAACCCTGGCAGAGGATCTACTCTAATCCTCAACAGTCTGGCTCAGAGACAACCATCCCTCCCACTTCCCACCAGTGCCCTGGGCTATGCTTTCTGGCTGCTGTCTTCCCGCCCTGTCCAGGCTAGTATCCTGGCCCTCCCTCTATAATAGAGGTAAACAATAGATAATTGTTCACCTGAGAGGCCAGCTTCCCTTTCAGTCAGCAGCCTTTCAAGTAGAAGAGGTCACTACTGGCCACTCTTCCATCACTTACTTTCCAGAGGACCCAGGTTCAGTCCCCAACACCCACATGGCAGCTCACAACTATCTCTAACTCTAGTTCTAGGAGATCTGATGCTGTCTGCTGACCTCCGTGGGTACTGTATGCACACAGGCATACAGACAGAACACTGGCATACATAAAAACAACCACAACAAATCTTTAAAATGCAACGAATCCATCTCATTTCACTCAAAAGGAAAAATAAGGACTTGGGAGTCCTATGGCAGCCTATCTGCTATCCGGTAGATCCACTTCCTTCCTGCTCTTCCTTTGCTCCCCGAGCGTTTCCAGTTGGCATCTTTCACTCTCTATTGTCTTGTCAATTCTGTTTTTGTTTTTGTCCTTTGTTTTTTGTTTTGTTTTGTTTTTGTTTTTGTGTTGTTTGCTTTTTCGAGATACGGTTTCTCTGTATTGCTTTGGAGCCTGTCCTGGAACTAACTCTGTAGACCAGGCTGGCCTCAACTCACAGAGATCGGCCTGCCTCTGCTTCCTAGTACTGGGATTAAAGGTGTTCACCACCAGCACCCAGCCTGTCCTATCAAATTGTTAAACTTTTCTTTAGAGCGAAACTGTGGGCTTCATTTATTTCAGACATGAATTGTTGGCCAGAATTCCACTTTCCCCTCGAGTAACTCCTCTTCAAATTGGGGGTGGGAAGGGGGTCGGCAATTTGCCTTTTGTAGTTTGATTGCTTAATCACCTGATTCATTGCTGATAAAGATTAACCATGCTTGCAAAGGACCCCCTGTGGATGGGGGTGTAGTGGGACATAGAGATACTCTCTACAACACTGGGTTAACAGAATCCTTGCTTTTACTGTAGTGTTACATCTTCCTCTGACTTTTGGTGTTTAGGAAAATCTTAAGACTCACATGAAGCCCCATAGATTGCCTGTGTCATAATCTCCACTGACTTCCTGTCCCCTCACTGCATCCTCCCAGGCCTATGTCACAATCTCCACTGACTTCTGGCAGCTGCAGCTTCCCTGGCCTCAGCCCCTGGTTCTGGTGATACAAATAAAACATTGTTCAGTTTCTCCCCATGCCTTCTGCCTCCTCTGCTCACTGGGATGTACAGGCTATACCCCACCCCGTCCCTCACCTCCCAGCCCCCATCCCCCAGCTAGAACCAGCACTGAAAATCTGCAGAACTGTGTTCAGCAGCTCTTTCTGGGTGGGGACCTTTAATGTTGAGAAAAACTTGATTCTGGCTTCAGAGCTGAGTGGCATGTGGACTTCCTCCCCACAGTCCAGGTGTAAAACTAGCTGGCCAGTGTTAGTCCATGTCTGTGACTTGAAGACAGGGTCCCAGTTTGTGTCTTTTTATTTTATCTTATTTTACTGAGTTGCAGGAAAGAGGACTCTTGCTTTGTCATTTGTCAAGAGTCCTGCTTTGGCTCCTGCGTGACACAGGGGCACCTATCACCAAAGTGGGGGCCCCCCTCCTCCTCAGAAACTGGGCAGCTTGGTATAGGCCCTGGAGGCCACAGAACAATAAATACGCACCCCTTCACACCAGGATTTCCTGGGCGATATTCTTGACAGTGAGAATATTTTTCATGGGGATGGAAGCCTTCAAGGGCGCCCTTCCAGAAAGGCAAGTGGGAAGGACAAACACTCCCTCATCTGCATATGCATTACAGCAACATTAGCAAACTGGGCCACTAACAATCACACCCTAAGGGGTTTGAAGGTAATCTCTGCCCTTCTTTCCTTTCCTAGCCTTGTGAAGAACAAGGGAGCGCTTCCAGATGCAGAGATGCTTTCCTGATGGAGTATAAGAGTTAGCTAGCTTCATAAACTATTTCTGCTCAGAAAACACAAGGCATCCATCGGAAGCGCTATCCACTCAACTAGTTTTCGTGTGTGCTCAATTTTAAGACATTATGTGTTTTGAGGTGGGGTGGGGAAACGCAAAGGAGGCTGGATAGCTAAACAAAGACTGGAAAAGAAAATGCTGCAAATTGAGACAAAAATTGGTCTAATGTAGACTCTAATGCACGTGTGGAACTGAGTTCCATTAAGTGATTTTTTTTTTCTTTTTTTCTTTCTTTTTTTTCTTTCTTTTTTTTTTTTTTTTTTTTTTTTTTTTTTTTTATTGGATAAAGGCTTTCTGTTTAGAATCTTTGTGCACTTTCCTAAGCAGCCAGGCATGGGATGTTTTAAAGAATGTATTTAAACAAAACCAATAAAATAAACTAAAAGCAAATTAAAACTCCCCCTTCCCCAAAGGGTTCCACAGTGTTCTAGCTGCCTTTTGTCAACGGGACCCAGATCTAGACAGTCTGGGAGGAGGGGATTAGAGTTTAGGAAATGCCTTCATAGGACTGGCTTGCAGGCAAGTCTGTGGGATACCCTCTTGATTGATGTAGGAAGGCCCAGCTCGCCATGGGAGGTGCCCTTGCTGGACAGGCGATACTCAGTTGTGTAAGAGAGCAGGCTGAGCAAGCCCAGAGGAAGGAGTAAGTCAGTAAGCAGCAGGCCTCCAAGGATTCTGTTTCAACTCCTGCCTTGAGTTCCTGCCCTGACTTGCCTCAGTGAGGGCATGAGAATCCCTAAGACACCCACTAACCTAGTCTAACTCTCCTTTACATGCCTACAATAGTCCCGCTCTTTAGCTCTTTTTTGCTACCTTTTTTTTGTTATGTCCAATTTTGTTTTTGAGAATTTCATATGAGTACATTATATTAACATTATTCCTACCCCTTTACCTCCCCTTACCCTAAGACATGACAAGAATGCTATACCCTTGGAAATCTCAACATTAGAGTTGACAACAGCAGACCTGACAATGCCGATAAAGAAATTCAGGCTGTCAATAAATGGCTTCTGAGGAAGGGAGAGTCAATTTTCTCCCCAACTTTCTTAATAGTCATAAAATTTAACAATGGAGCTTGGGACTATCAAGTAACATCACTAGCAACATCAGTTAACTTGTCAAATAGGCCAAACATTGACCATTTTCTCCTGATTGGCCACTCTTTTTTTCTTTGTGTGGCAATCTTTCCCTCTGGGTAATTTCCCATGTAGCCAGCATTTTCTTACTCAAGCTTCAGGGACTTTACCAAGTCATCCCCATTCTGAGATGTCATCCCTGACCCAGTGACCACCCCACCAATTCCCCACAGTCAGCCACTGTCATCACAGCTCAAGCTCCGGAATCCCCAGGTCTAGAAGCTCCCTTCCTTGAAGAGCTCTTACCGTCTTTCTTCTTGAGCCTGGTGTCCCAGGAGAGCCTGGCCAGCCTCTTCTACCCTATCAGAGGAACAAAAGGATGGGTGATAGCAACATGACATCACTGATGAGGTTCTCTTTTAACATCTGCTCCTGTACCAGAAGTGCTCATTCCAGGGATGAAGTCATCTTTCCCTGAAGGGTGATACTATCTTCCATTGGTCATAAGTCACCTCTCTACACGGGTAATGGGCAACAGCAGTACAGCTCTGACTACATGGTTTCAAGTGTCAGCTGTTCATCGTCACTAATTCATATTTGAGACACAGGTCAGAACAATACTATCCCTACTCTATCACCTAGCATAGTATGAATGTGGCTGGTGGGACACTGCTGGTTGGGGGCTTTGTGCATGTGTGAGTGTGTCTGTATGCATTTATGTGTACACATGTTCCAGGGCATGTGGAAGCCTAGATGTTGATAGAGTGTCTTTCTCAATTGCTTTCACCTTATTTTTTTAGACAGGTCTCTAACTGGAGCTGAAGTTCACAGACTCGGCAGTACCAGTTGGCTTAAGTTCCCAGGGTCTTCTTGCCCAGTGCTAGGATTATGGGTGTGTGCCACACCGTCCACCTTTTAAAGTGGCCTCTGGGGATTTGAACTCAGGTCCTCCTGAATTCACGTGAAGCACTTAGCCAAGTGAGCCATCTCCTTAGACCCCAGTTGGGATTTCTACACTTTGTCTGCTTCTTTTCTTAGCCTCTGTAGATGAACACCTTCCCACAAATAAGCTCTCAAAATTCCTGTAAGTCCCCCTCTCCGAACCCAAAATTCGAAGGGATGGAATAATTTATTAACCAAGGAAACACAAAAGTAGGCATTCACTACATTCTACAAGGAAGAAAAAAATCAAGGTTTCCATAGAGTGGGACCCCAGTGTACAAAGCAGATCCTAGACGGAGCCTGAGGGGGAAGTGAGCACCGTTGACTCATTTCTACCACACCTGGCTTCTTTCCTACAGGACTTCTCAGGGGAGCTTGCTCATTAAGAGGAACCAGAGACACATTTTATCCACATAAGTTTTAAAATCCTAAGTAATGGGGTAAGGGAACTAAATTGTGATGTAAGATTGCAGAACAATCAATCCCTAGAGATCTGCCTTGTGGGAGGAGCCACCCACATCAGCTTTGGTCTTTCCATCAAGGGCTAATAGGGGCGTGTCTTCCTAGCGCATGTGCCCCCCTGGATACTGGGAGGGGCAACACTTTGCTAGCCCTTTAAAAACCATCTTTCTATTAAATCAGCTAGTTCTTTCTTTTATGTTTTATCCATGAAGACTCCATGGGTGTGGCTTAGGGCAGCCAGTCACCCCAATTTAGAAGTTGACAAGCAATGTTTCTCATGTCTCACAGCAAGAAATATGCAGGAGGGAAGGATTTTTTTTTTTTTTTTTTTTTTTTTTTTGCTTCCTACAATAGTTTTTCTGTACTAAATATATTCTCTTATTCCAAATCCCTCCCTCCCCACCAGTGTTTTATAGTTTACTACTAAGGCCCAGATCCTCTCAACCACCACAGAGCCTCATGCAGCAAGTTTACTTTCAAATGCCCACATAATTACCTGCCTTCCCTGATCTCCTTTCAAGCCCTTGGGTCCTTGTACGCTACTGTCAAGCCCAGGAAGTCCCTAAAAAGGAGAAAATAAAGGGAAACACATGAACGGATCGTTTTTAATAGATTGCAAATTCATCAAGGAGAGCAGAGATGGGTTGAAGTGACAGGTGGCTTAAACGTATTTGATTTGCCTCCTCGGCTTGCTATTAGCAGCCTCGGAGAAGATACCTGAGGTGAACACATGGGGAGAAAGCAAGACTCCACCATGACAGGAGGCTTGGCCAAGGGAAGCAAGGGAACAGGGATGTGTCCCACCCTGGGACTGGAACCAGCCCTCCTCCTAGCTTTTCCTCTTCTCCGTGAGTCCTGGGCAAATCTGCACATGAGAATTAGTAGGGTCACCTTCTCTTGGGGGAGGCTAAACACTAGTGATGGGTTGATCACATTTCACCACACACACACACACACACACACACACACACACACACTGATGCTGAAGACCATGTGCCTGCCACACTGTATAAGCAGTAACAGTTGCTGGGGAGGGGAGACATTAGGGGAAATACCTATGAGCTGGCAAGGAGCTCTATGAGTATGTTTTTGGTGAGTCTCCCTGTCTTGCTGGTGCGGGGGGGGGGGGGGCTTCCAGTGATGCAGCTGCCCTGAGTCACCCATGCTCCTGTAAATAACCCCTCACTCATGTTCCCATAAGAAACTCTAAAAAAGTCAGTGGCTCACTAAGCTAGACTTGGATGCAATCGTTTTCTTTGGTCTATCATCTGGGGTGGGCAGATGTTTGTTGATGCCGCGCCAGGAAAGGTCTCAGAAGACCCAGCAACCTGGTTGCCCCCATGTCTTATTCTCATATGCTCATCCCTGTTTTGTTTTGTTAAAAAAAAAAGAGAGAGAACACAAAACAAAAACATAAGATTTTAAAAAATTTAACATTCACCCAAACATACAAGCAGCAAGTTGCTAGAAACAGCATCATTGTGGGATACCATCCTTAGCAGGCAAAGCCATAAAGCTTTCTAACTTGGGGTGTAAGGACCACAGTTGAACTGTGTGTGCACAGTACTGAGACCATCCATTGAGCCAGCCAAGTTAATCGATGACCTAGTGAGTCGAGAAGGAGCAGCAATGATACAGCCCTGCCGAGTGCCAGCTGCCAGGCTGTTCTGCTGACAGTGCCCTAGATTACCTCCAATCAATCAATAAGCAATTTGTAATCACCAACAGGGATAAGGCACTGTTGCAGACACTTAGTAAGCCCTCCCCCCCTTAAAGTAGTGTTTGGACTTGGACTTAAGTAGCTTATAAGCTAATAGGGAGGAAGAGATTGCTATTGCTACAACATGCGGGACAATTTTATTTCATTCCCCTCCCTATCAAACCAGGATCATTTTCTACATTTTCATTTCTTCCTCAAGCTTAAATACATGTCCCTTAGATCACCAAACATGGAGTCACCTAACTAAAACAACTGGAAAGTTGTATTCCGGTGAAGAAGATATAGAGAAGGAAGACCGCCACAGGATTTATTATTTATTTGCTTATTTATGTTGAGACAGGTTCTCTTATGTACTCTTGGCTGGTCTGGAAACTCTCTATGTAGACTAGGATAGCCTTGAGGTCTGCCTGTCTCTGCTAGGAACAAACATACATGCAAACATATCCTGCTCAAGCCTGGAACTTTATTCCACTGAACACATAAGGCCCTTAACCTGAAGGATAAGACAAAAAGACTCGAACACCAGCAGTTCAGAACAGAGCCTCCTACCTCTGTGTGTAGGTGAGCCACTCTGTTGTATGAGCATAAACTAATCTCTCTATAATCTATTCATCGAGAACAAAAAGCACCATTTAACACAAATTTACGAACAGACACAGGCTTCTAGTATTGATGTATTGTCAGGTGATGAACTTAGCGGTCTCTGTAGATCAGAGAGACAATTTTGCTCAGATTTCTCCTGGTATGTGAAATTTTAAAAATTTCAAAGCTGGGCTGAGGGTTGGGGGCATGGCACACCTATAATTCTAGTACTTGGGAGGTAGAGACAAGAGGACTCAGAGTTCAAGGCCAGCTTTAAACAAACAGAAGTTATATAGTTAAAATGGAAAATTCCAAAATCTTGTTTAGATTTTTTCCCCACCAGGAATTTGTATTACTTGTGCATTCATTCCTGAGAAACAAATGATCCTATCTGTGTTCTGTCAATATTCCTTTTCCCAAACTTTCCTGAGATAGCAGTCTCAGGAAATTTTCAAGAGGGTGAGAAAAGACTGTTAAGCACTGAGGTCTAAGGTCAGTGGGGCTTACACCAGGCCACGGAGGACCTGGCAAGGTGAACTGTCAGCCATCTTGAGGTCATAAAGCGTTGTTTTCCTAGTTAAAAGTCTCTTTTTGGTATTCAGTTTCTGAAGAAGAAGAAGAAAAGAGGAGGAGGAGAACAAGAGGAGGAGGAAGATGATGATGACGATGATGACAGTGACGATGGTCATATGTGGTAGATGTATGGAGGTCAGAGAACAAATTTTTAGAGTCGGTTTTCTGCTCCCATCTCCATGTGGTCCTGGGAACTGAACCTGAGTCATCAATTTGGGCAGCAAGCACCTTTACCCACTGAGCCATACATCCCACCTGATATGAAAAATGCTATATACTCCCATACTCAATGGCAGACAATTAAGAGGACATCTGATATTTAAAAAAAAAAAAACAATGGAAATTGTGTATCAATACCTCAAATGAGTTTGCAATCATATCTAGCTGGCTGAAATATCCAATCACTATAGAAGCCATCATTTCTTGCTTACCCATTCGTGAAGTGACAGACACCCTTGCTGTTTGCTGAATCTACAAGACCTACCTCGAAGTTATTTTGACATTGCCAAGAGATGCCAACAAGTAAACAATGTTGTCTTCAAGTAAAACTTCCTGTTTTTTAAAAACTATTATTTTTATTTATTTGTGCACGCACGAACGCACTTTGTGGACACTTGTGAGCCATAACATATGTTATGTGAAAGTCAGGGGACAATTCCCTGGGGCCAATTCCCTCCATCTGCCAACTGCCAGAGATTGAACAGCGCGGGTCCTCCGGCTTGGTGACAAGTGTGCCTTGCACTCACTGAGCCATATTAGCAGCCCCTCTTGTTTTTAAATAGTTATTTTCAATGCATGCCTCTCATTTAGTTTTGACACATATTGCACCAAATCACCTCTCTGATCAACACATTGTATACCCAAGAGGATGTCGGGCAAATGTCCCATCAATGCCCAGGTCCTCACACCTTCCCTTGGCATTTTTAAATGGTTTGTATAAACTGTGGATGTTCTAATCAACACATGGGACACTGGCCTGTTCATGTGGTGAGACAGCCACTCACTACAAGCGTTTTGATGCATGTTTGGGAACTGTAAAGATTATGTTCATGTACATTATACATGTATATTATCCAGAAATTCTGCTCCTAAACTATATACCGAAGGACATGTATACCAAAGGACATGCAAAAGAATATCCACATCTAGTCCAATCAATGGGACCAAAATTTAAATTTTATTTCTAGTGCATTTAAACAGCTGCATTTTGCTGTTGCAGTGAAGAGTGTGGTTCTATAACACAAATGCCATCAGACTGGGCAGGTATTTTGATTTGTTCATTGTGTCCTATGTGCTCTGAAATATTCCCAAGACATAGGAGGTGCTCAATTGATATGCAATAAATAAATCTTGGCCCATAGGGAGATTCTTTTTAAGGGAGCCATGTACATATATAATTAATATGAGCAAAACTATTAGTGTATGTATATATTAAACTGTAGTTTGATTTTACTTAGCCTGTGTAAGCATGCCCAATGCATGTTATTTAATTGCTGTTTTGGATTCATAGTATGTTCTACCTAATATGGGTGTACCTAAATAAAGCTGTACTCACACACACACACAAAAAGAAATACCTACATCAGTGCTATATTAATACAAACAATCACATATCTATCAATGATAGAATGGATAAATATATGACAAACACTCAATGCAGTACTATGCAGTATGAACTCAAGTGTCGTGGATTACAGACAACACAAACACATCTCACTATCATGAAGTGGAGAAAAAGCAGCTGGAAACAGGGAAAGTGCACACAATGATCCCATTCACACTAAGTTCAGCAGAAGCAGCCAGAGACAGAAGAGCACATACACAATGATCCCACACTAAGTTCAAGGGCAGTTAAGACAAATATCCTGTGCTAATATAGACTGTGGTGACCCCGGGGAGGGTGTGGAGTGATTGAAGCTTCTAGGATTTGGGTGTGTTTTATTTCTTTATCTGGGCGATCAGACTGGCATCTTCCAGTGATCAAGCCCATGGTTTTACAGTTGCGTACTGGGTAGATGCATGTTATAGTCCATCAGAAAGCTCAACAAACATTTCCATTTCTTGACAAAGTCCCAGTTCACTGGAAAGTCATGGAATCGTGTACATGGTGAGGGAAAGCCCGTGGGGCTGACTTCCACTGATGTGGTGTGCTCACACATGGGTGTGGGTTGTACCTGCTCTGCTGGGTTATAATCCCACAAGAGCAGGTACCTTACTTCCTGAGGACCGCCTGATAGAATCCTCACCAAATCCTTGGATTGAGAAGGCCAGGACACTATTCTCAAAAGAGACAGAATCTTGGGGAATAGACAAAAAGATGTCACTTTGTTTCTCCTATGCACTGTATTTTGAGGTACTTAGGAAAATAACTGAATGGACTGGAATTCCTCACTCTTAAGGACAAGAATGAATAAGAAGAGGATATAGGCAAAGAAACTACATTTAACATCTTCAGTTAGGACTTCAAGGTTCTAAGCTCAGGAGTACGCCCACAGTGCCTTAAAATGGAACATCTCCCTTCAATAGAAGAGCCCTAACTATGGTATGCAGCCCACGCAGCCCACGCAGCCCACGCAGCCCTCACACTTACTGGATCTCCTCGAAGACCTTTTGCACCACGGTCACCAGAAGTCCCTCTCTTGCCTGGGCTTCCCTGGAATTAATACAGACCAGAACAAGAACAAGATGGGAGGTTTTGATAAACTTAATAAGCATAAAGTGCCTACATTCTCTCTGGTTTGAATAATTAAATATTTTTCCACTGAGGTTATTTTTAATCTGGAAAAAGGAACTACAAAAAAAAAAGTTCTTGGCATCAAATATCAAATGAGTAACTCAGTGGTGACCTTGGTTATTTACTGCTCTCATGAACTCTGTGTTCCAAATATACTTGCCATCTTGCTTGTCATTATTCTACAAAAGATTTTTTTAAAAAATATTTTGTTCTAATGAGGCAGCAGAGAGACTCGAAGTTCATGCTACTTGCCCAAGGACATCTCAGAACTACTAAAACGTGGGTTTCAAAATCAACTGCTCACACCAAGGAGACCAAGCAGAAGCCTGAGGCGTGGCTGCCACTGTGTCCCAGATGGGAAGCAGTGCCATGTGCTGCTCATGTCACAGCTGCCTCATGTCACAGACCCTGTGTTCTTAGTGTACTTCTGTGGCCCCAATACTTTCCTCCCCGTGTATGTGGTCCTTTCTCACACAACTGTGAAGTGATACCCAATCATGGTGGGCAAGGTGCTCGGTCTTTCTTTCTCTTTTCTTTTTCTTTCTTCCTGTCTCTCTCCCTCTCTTTTCTTTCTCCCCCCCCCCCTCTCTCTGTCCCCCTTCTCTATTGCTATTGTTGTTTTGTTTATACAGGGTCTCACTATGTAGCCTTGACTGGCTTGGAACTCACTATGTAGTTCAAGTTGGCCTCTGGCAGAGTGTTGTGATATAGGAACTCTCCCTATATTGAGCCCTGTATGACTCCATGGGAATCAAGAGAAAGGGAAAATAGTACTGGCTGGTAAGAGGGAAAAGAGCTCCAGACACCGTGAGAGGCCTTAGAGGTTTCTAGGCGCTCTCTACAGAAAAGGCATGGCCCGCGTGCTAAGAAACACATGTACACTATATACACCCGAGTCAAGGTTAGCTGTGTTCAGCCCTGAACAGCAGAACCTATCAGACACATAAGAAATTAATGCTCACTGTTGTATATGGTCATGTTTCAGGAATACTCGTCTCCCAACAAGTCTGCAGCCATGTGGACACGTCTAGGGCAGTTGTTTCATTTTATAACCCATTCCTTTAGCCCCAAGTGCGGGTTTATAGTTTTGGAGCCTTGGATCCTTACCTGAGATCCCTCATCACCCTTTTCTCCTCTTCTTCCAGGAATCCCACTGTCACCCTAAAAAGTGGAGAAGGGAAAGCTCAAATTCTCATTTCCTCCATGAGAGCCAGCCGAGAAGGGGGGCGGGGGGAGAAGCCAACACTGTACCTGTTCTCCATTTAATCCATCAATCCCGTCTTCCCCAGCTTCTCCCTGCAAAGACAGATGTGATTAGCATATAGGGCTCATCTGTCAGGTAGCAAACACAAACAGTCTCAAGGGTTCTTTGTTGAACAACAGCTTCTTCGAGAGGTGATGCCTGGGTAATGTCGAACATTACTTTCGGTAATAGGAACTGTCATAATAAACAGAGTCTGCAACGAGAGGCAGAAATAAAATGCAAATCAAGACGACTTCGAGTTTCATCTTACCCCAGTCAGAATGGCAAACACCAACAAAACAGTGGATGACAAATATCGAAGGGATGCGGGGAAACTAGAACCCTCATTCAGCACTGGTGGGAGTGCAAACTAGTACAGCCACTACGGAAATCCATATGGAGAATTACCAAAAAGCTAACAACACATCTACCATATGACCCAGCTACACCATTCCCTAGTACAAAGGACTCAACTTCATACTCCTCAGATACTCGCTCAGCGATGTTTGTGACTGCTGTTTTCACAATAGCTAGGAAATACAAACAACTTAAATGTCCTCCAGCCTTGGTTAATAGCTAGGTGCAAGCAATCCGATCAGGGAAATGGGAAAGGTGCTCCTTAGGAGAAGGGGGGAGGGTAAATACAGAAGAAGGTGGGGGGGGAGGCAAAGAGGATTTGGAAAAAGGGGGGCTACTTAGGGAGGGGGAGGGAAGGAAATACAGAAGGAGGGAAGCGGGCAAAATAACAATAAGGATGTCTGATAAATCTGTGATGAATCATTAACTACTTTTGAAAGATCCTGTGATACATTTAATTCAACAAATAAATATACATATATGGTTTTAATGCACTTTTCTCACCTGGGCTGACAATGCTTCCTCTAAGGGTCAAAGACTGCCTAAAAATAACCCGATACCAGACATGAGAATCCCCCCTTTAAATTGTTGGCCAGGGCTGTCTAAGAGAGTCCTAAAACACACACGCTGTTGTATTTGCCCTTGCTCATCACTTACCTGCCCCACAGAGATAGAAGGTAAGTCCCTATTGCTGAAGATACCATTCATTTCATACCCAGACCCCAGAGACCCAGAACTGAAACTAACCTGACTGCCTCCTCCCTGAGGACCCGCTTTCAATGGTACCAGAAGGCACCATGCAAGCTTCCAAAGAAGGGAGGCAACCAACTGTCCTTCCTAGCTATGATGCCTATGAACCACAAGGACCAGCATGGCATGATAACCATACGGGTGCAGTGGGTCGTGTATATAAACCATTCTCTAATTGGACCTAAGACCCACTCAACAAGAACAAAAACATGGTACTCAAAACCTAGCCAACTCAGTGCTAATGAAATCATGGATCTTGGAAAAGAACCTATGACCATTTAACTAAACCAGCATACTCCCTGACAACAGTCTAAACATTTGTCCTTATACCACAGGTAAGAGGAGTCCTTACCCCTCCCTTCATAGCACGGAAACGTCTCCGCGGCAGACAGAAGTGGCTATAGACAGCTCCAGTTCATCAACGGAGTTTTATAGCACAGTGCTAACGGCTACGTTTACAAAACACTACTGCACTTAAGGCCCAGGAACATTAAGAGGGAGAAGAAAGACTTTAAGAAGCAGAGGATCAGGGAGTTTGCTGTGAGATGGTTCCTCTAGTAGTGTCGGAGACTATATTCCTCAACTGTCACCAATGTGACATGAGCTAAACATGAGCTGAACAAGGACAACACCAATAAAAACGTCAAGGTGGATGGGAAAGGCCCACAATCCTACACAAGGACTACAGTCAACTAAGGAATGCTGAGCAGGAGAAATAGTCTTCCCCAGGGAAGAGCACAACAATCGTCTACCCAACACAAATGATCAGCCCTGAAAACATGTATGTATGTATGTATGTATGTATGTATGTATGTATATACATATACATACACACACACATATGCATGCAATAACAGTGAAAAAAGAAGCATGAATTTGAAAGAGAAAAAAGGGGCGGTATATGACAGGGTTTGAAAGGAGGAGAGGAAAGACAGAATTATAGTAATTATAGTCTTAAAAATTTTAAAAAGAAATGGCTGGTACAAAGGAGAAGAAGAAAGAGGCAAACAGTGACTTTATTTGTAGCACCTACTTATAACTAAAGACTTCAAAAATAACATTTATGGGCCTGGCACCATACCTCTTCTCCACTGAGTCCTCTGGTCCCCTGATAACAAAAAGGACAGTAGCATGAGTATGGGAAACACAATGCGCTGCTAAGATGATGTCATGAGGTCTAACATAATCCTCACCTTAGGCCCTTTGGCACCAACGCATCCCTTAGTACCTTGTTCTCCCGTTGGTCCAGAAGCTCCTCTTTCTCCCTAAGGAGAGTAGAAAAGCACAAATCCAGATGAGTGTGTGCTATTATGATCTGGGATCTGACTGGGATACTTGACAAGTTCTTTTTTTGTTTTGTTTTTTAAAAAAACATCTGGCTATTCGTGACTTACATTCCAGAACTCAAGCCTACGAAAACAAAGAATGGAAGTAAATCAGAGATACAATGATGACAGCCCTTTGCTTTGGCCACCACCTGCCTATTGCCTGGGTGGAGCTTCCCTTTTCCCAGGTGGCCACCACATTGTTCCCTTTTTACCTCCCTAACAAGTGTGTTCATTCTGCCCTAAGCCAAGATTCAGGTCTCTTTGCCTGGTCCCTATGACTTTAGGACTTTGACCCATGATCTTGGTTGAGAATCACCCGTGATTTTGCCTGAGCAGACCACCCCCATCATTCCACTCTGTGTTACCATCACTCACTAGACACAAGCCCAGTCTTCACAGGGGACTTCTGTTCTGTCCTGGGTTCCAGCCATGCTGGCTACATGTGCCATTTTGTCAACTTCCAGTCCTTTGACTTCACTATCATCTTAGAACTCACAGTTCCCCTTTGTAGTAAAATGTGACTTCCCAAGTGCTTTACCCAGAGAAACTCATTGCCACCCTTCAAGTGTCTGCCCAAGTGTTACCCCGTATTTGTAGCCTTTTCCTCCCAGGCCAAACTCCCACCTTGGGGGTCTTTAAGCCATTAAGCTCCGGTTCTTGCTCAATACTGTCACCTCCCCATGCCTCTACACAGCCATGTGTAGAGCAACTGGACAGAGTTACCTTGTTTGTCTTCTCACCGGTGTACAAGGTCCCTAAGGCAGGAGCCATATGTGCTTGTTTTGTATTTTTTTCTCATTTCTGGGGTGCTTATATGGGTGTGCATGCGTGTGTGTGTGCGTGCGTGCGTGGGTGTGCGCGTGCACGCGTGTGATATGTGTATCAATGTCTTTTGTAAATAATGAAGTGAACAATAAGAAGCTTCAGTGTGTACTGTCAAATGAATGCATGGGAGGAAAAAAGGAAGAGGGGGAGAAGGGAGGGTGAAACAAGGAAGGAGGGAGGGAGGAGGGAAGGGTTCCTGATAAATGATGTGCTTAAATTCTTACAAAATGGCTAGGATGTGGCTCCTATGGTGAAGATGTTACCTTTCACACCCAGTTCATTGTGCGAGGTAGGTGGGCAAGTCACAAAGCAAGGGGGTACGGTCATAACCGAGAAGGGGAAGTGTTTCTCCAGGCACAAGGAGGCTCAGGAAAGACCCCGATGCTGCATCTGAACCTCCGACTCTATCTCTGCTTCTCATGTCTGTAGGAACAAATAAGCTGTGAAAGGTCTTGACTTACAGCAACGCCCTCTTCTCCCAGGTAGCCGTCACTGCCTTTAAAACCTGGGGGTCCCTGGAAAAAAAGAAAAGGAGAAAACATGAGCTCTTCACAGACCGGGCAATGAGAAACATGAGTGCAGACCCACCACTTTGAGGCTAGACTTCACGTGCAATGCAAGACTTCCAAGATGCCCCTGGCTTTCCACCTCAAGCTAGTGGTGTTTGTACAAACAAGAAGGGAATTCTTGTGCAAGTACCAGACATTTAAGGGCATGTGTACATATCTGGCATGGGTCTATACATGGTGGGGAGATCTGTGGATGTAGATGTGAGTGCATGAATACATGCATGTATATGAATCTATGTATTATGTGGGGTGATAGCTGTGTATGTGTAGGCATGAGTGTGAACACATGTGCATGTGTCTACCCGTGCCAGCACACTGTCTCTGTCTCCCGGAATACCAACAGCACTGGCTTTTCTCTCTAGACAAATATGTTTATTCTTGAAAAAAATAAAATTATTCTTTTCATCAAAAATAACTTTCCTCTCCTTCTTGGGACTTATTGCTACACATAGAAAACAAGACCACACACATTTCCTTCTATTCTGGTTTTGGTATATTTTTAAATTCTACCATTCTCCTTCCATGAAGTCCAAGCATTCTAGAAATAATCCAAAGCTTTCTTCAGTGGCATGTTTCTGGTGATGGGGGATCCATACTGCTGTGTATAGTGACCAAACAAACATCCAAACCATATGTAAAGTAGCAGTATTGAAATCATTAAATGTGTCTCATAGTTTGCTTGTACATATTTGAATGTGTCCTAGTGTCTGGAATTGTATTTTTATGCAGGGATACATAAGTATTCTTTGTTTAAGAAACACATGAATTGTTGTTGTTGGTTATGAAACCATCTGGCCCATTTCTGTATATACTTCTGGAGATGTCAATACTGTCACATCCTTTGCTATGGTGGAGTGAGCTGAGTGAGTTTGATTTTCAGCAGACAATTTGCAGTATTGACTTGATTTTAATGTCACTGGCAAGGTTAGAAAGGGAGAGCGAGATGAGTTACTGGTGTGGAGGAAGCGTCCATCATTTGGCACAAGGGTCAGCAATTCTTCTGTATCACATCACTACTTGAACACTGGACCCATCCAGGATCCTGATGACTCTGTCTCCCAAAAACCCCCAAAGAATGTCCAAACAATTCTGACTTAAAAGGCCAAGAGAAATGGCATCTATCTATCTAATCTGACATGATGAAAGAGTAGCTAATTGTCATCCTCCTCCAGAGGTTTGTTCTGGCAGGTAAAACACCTCTGTTTCTACCCCAACTTACATCTGAAAGGTATGCCACAGTTCAAATGATGGGAGTCTGAGATAAAGTTACCTTTTTGCCTGCTGAGCCTGGATCCCCCATGGCGCCATTCCCTCCTGTGCACTTGCAGAGCAAACAGCAACAGGTCCTTTCTGCAACATTGATCTTGGGGGAACATGAAGATGATTATGTTTGGTGTCATTGATAACCCAAATCTCACACATGCTCTCCATTGTAGGGTCCATGGTGGCAGGAGCCTTGTCAAAGCTAAGATGGCTAATCCATCCTACCTTTCCTTTGTTCTAACATCTTTACCCTGTGAGAAATTCCTGACCAAGTCAAAAGTGTTTGACTTCTGCAGATGCAGATGACATTTCAGCCATGGCCACATACATGTGCATACAAAATGATCAATGGGGCTGCCTCTTGTCTACACACCTTACCCTAGCATTTTTTATAATTTTATTTTATTTTATGTGCATCAGTATGAGGATGTCAATCAGATCCCCTGGAACTGGAGTTGCAGACAGTTGTGAGCTGCCGTGTGGGTGATGGGCATTGAACCCAGGTCCTCTGGAAGAGCACTCGGTGCTGTCAAGCACTGAGCCATCTCTCCAGCTACCTTACCCTAGCTTTGCTCATTGTTGACTTCTCTGCATATTCTGCCCCACATGCTTTGTTCAGCAAAATGAATGCATGCTGCGTTCCCCTGGTTCTGTTTGTAAAATCTCAGCTTGTTAGCAGAGTTGACAGTGTACTCTGAAACCCTGCTTGGAACAGAGTTCCCTGGAAACACATTCAGGAAGAGTTTGATGTGACTTGGGAAATGTCAGCTGCATGCCAACATTTTAGAAGCATTTGCTACAGAAGGTGTATGAGAATATTCTCTTTATGTGATGGCCAAAACAAAATTATTATACATTTAAAATGTGAGTTTCACCCTGGACTTACTTTGACATCTCCTGGATACCTAACATGGTGTTTGTTTGGTTTTTTTAAATTTATTTTGTAATTGGCCTAGCAGATTAATTTTTAGGAAAAAGTCTGCAGTAAATGATATTCTTCATTTTCATGGGAAAACCCAGCCCTTCATTGGAAAGTATTCTGATATACTTAGTAAAGATTCTATAAATTATAGACAAATTAATTCCAAGTCATTAATCACTCATTACAGTAAAAGCAGTGATGTGCTATGAACTTGGTAATGCTCATATTCAAGTTTGATTCTTCATATTATTTCTGAAATAATGTGGTAAAGACATATCATATCTAAGTGTGAGGTCATAAAAACAGAGCAGATCACAAGGGTCTGGTAGTGTGGAGACTACCCTAGAAAACCCCTGGCTCAGAAAGTCCACCAGTGAGGCCCAGAACCTCTGCTCAGAACAGGCTGCTGCTTCTCTGTTAGAACTCCACATGCAATGGGCTGTCACTTACAAGCTGTGCTGCAGGGAAAGTACACCATGAACATTAGGGTCACCATATGCTCTTATGCTCAGAGCTGCAGGGAACCTGAGAAGCAGCTAGCTGGTGGTGGGAACAGCCCGGGCTTGTTCATAACTCAGCCTCATCTTAATGCCCTCACACTCAGGGCTTATGATCTGGCCAGCACGGTCAGTGCTCTTCAAACATTTCCTCATTTTCCTCTTTGCTCTTCCTCTTGCTACCTCTCTTGTTCCAAGTGCATCTGCTGAGCATGCTTCAACCTACTCTGTTACATAACACTTCACACGTGTTCTTACTTAGGCTGTTCACGAAACTCAAAGGTTCATCTCGTCTCCACTTAAAAGGTCAGTATTAGTTCACACCCATACTCATCAATATGAAACCTGTATATAAGATAACCGAAGGCTCAAACTATTAGGGGTAAGGCTATATATAGCCCAGTGGTGGGACATTTACTTAAACCCGCAGCCTTTTCTGAGTCAACTTACTAGTTGCTTTGACAGCTGACTCCCAAGGTTCCTCATACCAATTGTGAACTGTGTTCTGTACTCAAATCCTTTCCCAAATTCAATGTAGAGAAGGTCAGCCAGGTCACTGGTATCAGCAGCTCCATCCACAGCAATGGTTATGAGGGCATTCAAACCTGTTCAACATATTCTCCAGGTGAAGTGGGCTTGCATCACTTAAACCATTCAGGATGTTTAAGTCACTAGCCTCAGCAAACCAACAGCTACTTTCTACTGTCTACGCCCTTCAACTTCATGACAATGCTGGCAGGCGATAGCACAGCAGTTAAGTGAATCAAGCTGGAGATGAAACGGCAGACTGTAACAGGAATTCACAACATTATTGAATTGAGCCGGTGTGATAAGCAAGGTCCACACAGCTTGCTAAAATGCAGAGGAACTCATGCATCAAGGAAGTGAAGGCTTTACATTTTTTAGCATGTGTAGAGGAATCTTTAAAGCCACAATGTCAGAATCACCTAGGAGCACCTCAGAAATACAGACTTTCCTGAGATGTATACTCACACTGGCTAGTATACCTCAATAAAATACAGAATCGCATGGGCAAATGATCAATTATAAAAAGAAATATAGAGATCTTGAGCCTTAATCCATATCTACTGAATTTGCATCTGTATTTAAATGAACCTCCCCCCCCCCCCCAGGTAGAGCAGTTGCTTAGCATGTGTGATGTCCCAGGTTCAGGTCTTAGGTCTGGAGAAAAAAAAAAAAAAGCAAAAGCAACACAAACAAACAAGAAACCAGAAATGGGTGTTACAGTCAGGAGCGATGTCCCAGCAGTCCAGAGCACTGGCTGCTCTTGCAGAGGATCTGGGTTTGGCTCCCAGCACCCATGTGGTGTTTTGAAACCACCTGTGACTCCAATTCCCCTTCTGATCTCTGAAGGCCCCTACACACACATGGTACACATAAACTGAAGCAGACACACACACACACACACGCACACACACACACACGCACACACACACACACACACCCCAAAATCTGTTTCCAATGACCTCACACACATACAGATAATAAAACCTGTTTCCAATGACCTCAAAAGGAACCAACCCTCCAGCTATAACTTTAAGTGGTAACAAATGACAATCACTGGGGGGGGGGTAGGGTCTCATAAGCCTTAGAATTTTATGGATCAGAATATTTCAAATATATCTTTAGGGCTGAGTGTAGGCTTGCCAATGACTGGTTTTGAAAACCAAGAATTAAGTAGCCCTGGCAGTCATCCTGGCTAATAGGTACGTTAGTGTTCTTTACATCATTTACATGCATTAATTATCTTATTTGTAACCTATAGGTACTCAGATAGGATTATAACCGTATCTTACAGACAAGAAAACCAAGGCTTAGAGAAGTTACATTCTTAACTTACTGGATCTTTTTGGTTTTCATCCAAAGCCGAATTCTGAAGCCTTACACTCAAGGACATTTTAACCAATATGTACTAAAGACATCTCTCATTCTCAGATGGATATGTGAGGCACTATCTGGATAGGATTTGGGGACCAGACTACCAGAGTAGATAAAGAAATAAAGGGCTTCACTGAGTCAAGGTGCCTTCTTAGAAATGTCCAAAGTGTGTGGTTTGAATGAAGAAGAGGAAGGGAACACTCCCAGGGCCCATGGAAGTGGCTTGGATTTGAGAGGAGGCTGCTACAATGTTTTAAAAGGGAAGAAAGGCTAAAGAATTGGATGACCAGCTTGCTCTTGTTTGCTGGGACTTTTATGGAGTTAGTCTTGCACTTTCCTGGTCTGTCTCAGGACAAACTAGGGTAACAGGTCACCCTTCTAGAATAAGGGCAAGGAGAGAGTCTGTCAGGTAGACTAGGAGAGCAATGCTGTGCATTTGAATTTGGCATTACTGACAGGGGAAGGCATGCTTATGGTTCTAGTTATAGAAAAGTGTTTTCACATCTGTTTTTCCTTACAAGTTCAAGAAGTGTAAAAATGAGTGTTATGAAATCCATGGGATACTGACATGTAGGAAATATGCACAGAACTGTTATTTGTGAGTAGTCTCAGAATTAGAGTACCCAATCCTGTTCCCTTCAGATTCATTCAACAAATGAGTCACACAACCTTCAAAACAATGTCTTCAGTTGCTAGAAATGAACCAAGGAAGAAAATGCTTCAAAAGTTGTGAGAATAATGAACCACTGAGGTAATTCTAGAGCATTTGACTTAATTAACCAATTCAAACCCAACCTATATGCATCAATTATAGAGCCACACTCACTGTCATTCTTTTCTCCTCTCTTCTTGGAGCTTGGTGACTACTTAGTCTATATGACAATATGTGATCTTGAACTAAAGCATCCTCCTAGATCAATGGAAGCCAGATAAGTACATAGACATGTAGACAGACAGACATAGGGAAGGAGGGACAGGGGTATTCCTTGTCCATTTTGAGAGCCATGTGATGCTCTTCAGAGGATACTACCACCACCATTCTTTTGTTTCTTTTTCAAAGAGTTTAAATTTCTAAATATATGTCTTCTGAAGTTGATACATATAACAGGCTTTGTTTGGGGCCATAAACCAGCTTCCAAATCATGACATGGAGACTTATTTGGTATGAATGCTCAGCCTTATCTTATGCTCCTTTCTAGCTAGTGCTTATAACTTAATTTAACCTATTTCTCTTTGTTATGTTTTGCATTGGGGCTTTTTACCTTTCCTTTAATTCTGTATGTCTTACTCCATGTCTGTCTGTCTGATGGCTGTCTGGCTGACCCTGGGCATCTTTCTCTTTTTCTCCCTCATTCTCCTCATTCTCCCAAGCCTAGATTCCTCCCCGTACTTATTCTTTCTGCTTGCCATCCTGCCTATAACTCTACAGCCTAGCTATTGGCTGTTTAGCTTTTTATTAGACCAATCAGGTGACTTAGGCAGGTAAGGGGATACAGCAACACATCTTTACATAATTAAACAAATGCAGCTTATGGGAGGAAAAGAGGGAGGGGAAACTGTGCTTGCTATGTAAAATAAAATAAAGAACAAACAAGAAAGAGTTGTAACTCTAAAACAAAAAATGCAGCATAAACAAATACAATATATCTTTACATCATTAAACAAATGTAGCACAAATGAATACAACACATTTTTACATCATCAAGGTCGTATTCTACAACAGATACAAATTTGCTATGTTTCTCTGGGAGATAGAAACAGAATGGTCTTAGAGGTCTGGATGTCCCTAAGTGCTTCCTGGAGGACACTTTAACACCACAGGCAAGAGATCTATTCCCCCGTGCACATATACACACATAAAAGGAGGGTTGAAATAATCCAAATCACAAGGATGACAACAAAACTGTCTTTTTCAAACTAGGTGCCCCCAAAATCTCCTTAATCTTAATTAAAATCTATTTAGAGCTTACAAACAAAGACCAAGATTGGATAGAATAAGAGAAAGCAGCTTTATATGTAACTAAGTATATAAGATAAATGCATATAAATAATGGGTAAAATAAAAGCCTTTACTGCATGGCCGTAAATCTGGAAAATTCTGCAATTTAAGGTTAAGGAGAGAACTTAGCAGAAAAGACAGATTCTGGCCAACCTCTCTTAGTGAACCTGGAGGAAGGCCTTATACTAGACCAGGCTCCTGGAAACAGCATGTTGAAAAGTACTCAGAAGAAAGCGGATGAAGAAAGAAGGGCAGGGCATGACCCCAGCAATTCCCTAGCTTTGGCATGACGCCAGAGATTTCTGGAGCATAAATCACAGCCCCAGTGTCACTTGAGGCCAAGGCCCAGCTCTCTGTACTGCCCAGGAGCAAAGCAGGAAGTTAACTTTCCTGATGGTGGGACTTCTACAGGCCAATGGTAGTTCTCCAGAGAATGCACAGCTCTGGGTGATTGGCAGGAGGGTGATCCTGCCAGCAAAGGAGATGTGGGTGCGAGAGCAGCAGTGTCCACTTACGGGAGACTGGCCCTGCTTCGGAACATGTGGCTACTTTTTGCCTCTGCTGACCCATATTTTAAATGGACCAAGAATAAGTCAGGCAGCTCTTGGTTCTAAAAGCCAAGTGCCTGGCTCCAGAGCTTTGAGGGTGCATGAGCTCCATGACTCTGCAGCCTGAAGGAAGGAATTACAAAAGCCCAACTCATGAGGAAACTTGTCCAAGAATGCTTGCAAGTCTGGAAATGGTTAGTGTTGGAAGAAGTCACCCAACACTCATGTTCCTCTGTCACTTGTTCCTGCTCACTTCCATGTGACAGAAGCAGCAATGTTAAACAATGCAGGGTGAGGTGGGAAGGGACTACCCCCCAGGAAAGGCTTGGAAGAACGGACACAGTAAGAGGAGGTAAAAGCGTGGGGCCCTCGTCAGTGTGCTGCTTTACATACATGGACCATGATAGGAAGTGAGGGATCAAAAAGTTCTGGGAGGATGCTTGCCCCACTGCGCCCACGCGGAAGAGAAAGATTGCCAAATTTGGGGTCAGTAAGGCACCTGGAAACAGAAGAGCCAGAGTCAAACCCTCCGTTTACAAAGTGACTAAGTAGCCAGGCACTGGGCTCCACGCCTGTGACCCCAACACTCGAGGGGCCGAAAAGAGCACTGCCCTGATTTTGAGCCAACTTGGGTTATATAAGATGTTCTGGGCTAGCCTGGGCTACAAAATAAAAGCCTACTTAAATAAGTAAAACATAGTTAACCCATCCCTACCCTTCCCCCATGTTCGCTACCTTCCTTTCTGAGTTCGTCAGATTTCTGTTCAAGCCTTTCAATGTCATCATCCAATCCATCTGAAAATAGAAGGACCACCTAGGGTAGGTTTTAGAAAAATGAGGGGAAAAAATTAGCACAAAGTACACAGAAAACCACAGACCAATACACAAACCAAAGCCATGTTACCTTCCCTCGAGCAGCGGACTTATTCTGAAAAGTATCCCACAGAGAATTCAGCAGGTTTGCATTGAGGCGAGATGGGCCATTCACTGTTACTCCTTGCAGGCTGCTCAGTATGTTCTCACTGTAGATCTCAAACTTGGAAGGGTATCTTTCCATAGCATTTGTCACTTGAAAAGCGATGCTCACCTGAGTCTCTGTGCCCACTTCACAGCTCACCCCATTGAGAGAGCTGATGGCACGTAAGATGTCTTGGAGGTAGGCCTCTATCCAGGGCTGACTTTCGAGTAAAGTCTGCCCTCTCTGCTGACTTGAGATATCAAATCCAACCACGACATCCACAAAACAGTCTAAGAGTCAAGAAGAGAGTATCTCGTTAGAGTAATACCACACGAATGTGATTCTTCTGCATATCTGACTCTAGGGGCCAAGAAGTCTTATTGCCATTCTAGCTATAAAGCTGGAAAACAAGGAAAAACATGGATCAGGGAAGAGACAAAGTGATAGGGGTGTCCTGTCTGTACGCTGTGAATATAGGTTTCTCTGATTGGCCAGTAGCCAGGCAGGAAGTATAGGTGGAACTACCAGACAAGGAGAATGCTGGGAAGAGAAAGAGAGAGCAGCAGGAAGATGCTATGAAGCTACTGGAAAGATAGTACACTGGGTATAGAGATACATAGATTAATAGTTATGGGTTAATTGAGAGAGCGCTAGCCAGTAAGAAGCCTAAGCCATTAGCCAAACAGTTTATAATTAATATAAGCCTCCGTGTGCTTGTTTGGGACTAAACAACTGCAAGACTGGGCAAGACAGAACCTCAGTCTACACCACAGGCTCATTCTTCTACAACCTGTAGAAGTTTTGTTTTTTTTTTTTTTTTTTTTCAGTTGAAATTGAATCTGGATAATTCTCTGACAACTAAAGTGTTAAGTGAGCCTATTCTGACCATTAAAAACACATTGTAATATGCTCATTCTCTTAAGTACCTCTAAGGCATCTTATGGAAATGTCAATAATCTAAAACACATTCCTGTAGTACTACTTAACAACTGAGATCATTGGCAAATACTAAATTATAATAGGAGTGAGAGAAAAGCAAAAACATTTGAACAGAAATAGTAATTTAGAATCCAAAAAAAAAAAAAAAAAAAAGTCACAGCAAAGTTTTGATCATTTATCTTTCTAGACGGAAGCATTGGGTCAGTGTTGATCATCTTTAACGTCACCCAGAAAAGGAAGTCAATGTTTAAAAAATGGGGATGGGGGTTGGGGAGAGATGAGGGAAAATCACTGAGGTCTTGCTTAAGTTCTACAGGTGAAGAGCTTGGCAATCCAATTATCCAACTTGTCCACATCAAAGATGGCTCTGACTTCTGGAAGTCAGCCATTTGGGGTTCTAGAGCTTTAGAGAAGTATTGCATTTAAAGGTCTTTTCTGTTATCTTAAACTCCAGGGAAGTTTTTAACATCGAAGACATTTGGAGGGGCTTGGTATTTTAAGCTGATCCCCCTAAAGGCAGATAGCTTGAGGAGGATAAAAATCTAACAGCACATACACTTTTTCTGTAAGAACGTCTAAGTTGTTAAATTTACCCCAACCTTTGTCTGCCTTCTCAACACATGCAGCTTGGTGAAATATATATATATAAAAAAATGATAATAAAGAAATGTTTCTATGCCTTGCTTAAATCAGCAGTTTTCAGAGAGAGAGAGAGAGAGAGAGAGAGAGAGAGAGAGAGAGAGAGAGGTGCATGTGTCTGGAAACTATTATGTCAAAAACACAGTCTAAGTTCCTCATGTTTAATTAAAGTTGGCAAATTATTCCATAATAACTTTATCAAAGGAACAGAACTTGAACAAGTCTAAGCCTAGCAGCCACCTGCCTAAGTGCAATAGGGAATGAGGAGAAGCTGAGAAGGGAACTGTCATGGATTGGCCCAGAAAGCTCTATGCCTGAGAAATTTTGGGACCTGAGTAGTCTATGAAGAGGCTGTGCTTCAGAGGGGACCTCCAGTGGTGACTCAAAGTCACAGGAGGCAGGGGCAGTTTGAGAAGGGAGCTAGGGAGAAGGAGAAGGTTGAGTTTAAAACAGAGGTCATGAAGAATTAAACTAGGGCCACGTGGCTGAGAACAGGAAAGGGATAATGAAAGCAGAGAACATTAAGAAAGTAACCACAACAGGGGCATGGAGTGGGGGTGGGATTGGCAGAGTGAAGCCTGCTGCTCCGAGCCTGTCACCCAGTTCTTCCAACAGCCACATGGGGGTCAGGGCAGAGCTTGGGTGTGGGAGACTGGAGCTTCAGTTTTCCTGTGTTGGGCAAATCCCTTACCCTCTTAGAGAACTGCTCCTCTTAAGCACGAAAATCAAGAGATTATATATCTCAAAATAAGATACAAAGGGACAGTTAGATGGGACAGTCACACTCCTGCCTGCCCTGCCAGGCCCAACAGCTGAGTCTCATCATCTGATTATTTGTCTAAATAAAGACTTAAGAGTTGATGGTAGCATGCTCTTAGCATTAAGAAATACTGTTGCAGGCCAGTGAGGTGGTGGGAAGGTACTTCTGCCAAGCCTGACAATCCAAGTTCAGTTCCCACTGCCCATATAGCAGAAGGAGAGAACTGACTTCTACAAGTTGTCCTCTGACCCCCCCAAGTTGTCCTCTGACCCCCACATGCACGCTGTGGCACGTGTGCTCCCCCACAGTAAGTAAATAAATGTGGGGGGAAAATCAAACACTATCACGGGCTGAGGCACATTCATAAGATTAGGCAGCTGTGGCCCTGAAGAAAATGTCTCAGTGGGAAAAATGGACTGTTCGGCAGTTGTTGGGTGAAAGAGAAAAGACATTTGTGTGGAGCATTTCCACACAGCTGCTCCGTAGTTTGTATTTTCAATCACTGTGTACAGATAGATAGATAGATAGATAGATAGATAGATAGATAGATAGATAGACAGACAGACAGACAGATAGATGGAAAGCGACTCTTGAACATGCCCAGGCTTTATGAATGGGGAAATAAGACTCAGATGGTAATTGTGTCCCAATATCCAGATGTTTTACTGAGTAGTGGATGGATGAGGCTGGGGTATAGCTCAGTGGTACTTGCCTACCATGCATGAAGTCAATCCTCTGCACCAAACACCAAAATGAAACTCCAAAAACCAAGTCAAGCAAATGTCTGGATAGAATCCTGGTTAGTTTGAAACACACCAAACGACTGTGTGACCTCTGTGGTTGGAGGACTTTATAATATTAGAGCAGGCATCCCGCCTTTGAAGCTTTATCAGCCTCCTCAGCTCTCAGCTCGGCTACAAAGCCTTACATTCTTGTTCGCTGGACTAATGACTTCGAGTTTATCTTGAGAGCATTTTATCTTTTCCTATTCATTATTGTTTCCTTAATTCAAAAGAAGCTTCACAAATATTTGTGGGGACACTGTCTGTACCGGGGTGAGGCCAGAGAACAAGTTTGCAACAGTCATTTCCCTTCTTGAGCCATGTGGGTTTCAGAATGGAGCTCAGGTTTCTGGTTTGGGGGCAAGTGTCTCTCCTGGCAGAGCCACCTCGTTGGCATAGCGACTGCTTCTTTTAAAAGTAACTCACCACTTGGAGTTAAGATTCCCATTTTTAAAACTTTCTCATGCACTCAAGTAAAAACTGAAGTGTTCAAAGATAACTTTCTACCTAATAATTTAAAATGAGTATCTCTTGTGAAATAGAAAATTAATGTAGAAGATTTGGCTGGAAAAACTAGACACATTCCAAGGGCAGAGCAGTGTCTAAAGATACAGGAAGACTGCGGCCCCTAACCATCTTCATGACCTTCAACCTTTGACCCACCCACTGCATTCTTATAAACGAAGTAAGGCTGGAGCTTGGGAAAGTACTTTTGGAGGGAGCTGTTGATATACTCTGCGCTTTCTCACACAGGCAAATAGAGAAGCAGCTTCAAGTTAACATAAGCCTGGAAATTTGAGGAGCAAGACCCAGAGTTCCTGCAGAAGAGGAACAGCCATTTCCAAGACCATGAACTCTGGTCTTTATGGAGATGGCACACTTGTCGCTGTGGCCTAAGGAACTGGTATGACAAGCAGGGGCTGAGGGAGGAGCAGGAACCATCTAGAATCTATACATATCTATCTCTCTTCTTGCAGGTGAATTTTTCTGTCCCATCTGCCAGCTCCCAAATAACCACATGGAGACTTTCATACTAAGTATAGAAGCTCAGCCAATAGCTCAGGCTCGTTCTAACCAGGTCTTAACAACTTAATTAGTCCAATTTCTATTCATTTACATGTTGCCATGTGACTCGTGGCACCTAACTCGATTTCCTGCATGTATATTCCCACTGCATCTACTGGTGACTCCACATTCTTCTTCCCAGAATCCTCTCTGCTCTAAAAACCCTGCATATATGGTGGATAAGTTAGTTGTTGATCTCGCTATCCAGGAAGGGCATTTATGGTAGCCTTTCCACAGTTGCTCAAATTGTTAGTTGGTGGCAGTCTTGTAGGTTTCTAGACCTTTCTTTAGGTTCAGTTTTCTCTTCAAACCAATAATGGCTCCCTCTTTTATGTTCTCTCTCTCTCCCTCTCTCTCTCTCTCTCTCTCTCTCTCTCTCTCTCTCATTTTCTATTCCTACCCTGACACAATCTTCCTAGTCGCACATGCTTTCTTTCCTCCCCTCGCTTTCTCCTACTTCTCTCTCCAATCACTGCCCCCCCACTTCCCATGTACTCTGGGGGACTTGCCCCTTCCCCCTTCTGTGAGGGACTTTATATGAATCTCTTAGAATACAACTTGTATCCTAGTTCCTCTGATGGTGTGAATTATAGGTTGGTGATCCTTTGCTCTAAGCAAACACCCATACCTAACACTGAGTCAAACTAGAACCCAGATGCAGAGGGAGAGGACAAGACCAGGTTGCAGAAACACATGGAGACAGCTGACCTGAACAAGGAGGAGCTAACGGGCTCCCAGACTGATAGCTGGGAATCCAGCATGGGACTGACTCAGCCCCCTCTGAATATGGGTCTCAGCTAAAATGACTGAGTAGTCTAAGGGACCTCAGACAGTGGAATCGGGATCTATCCCTGGTGCACAAAAGGACCTTGCAGACACATCCCCCATGGAGGGATACTGCCTAACTCTTGAGACAGAAGAGAAGCCCTAGTCCCTACTTCAAATGACTTGACAGATTTACAGGACCCCACCTGGATGGCCTTATTTTTTGAGATTGAGTCTCTCAATGCCTGGAACTAATTTATTAGGATAGGCCAGCTTTTCACCGAGCCCCAGGGAGCCTCCTGTCACTGTCTCTGCAAGCCTGCGATTACAAGCCTATATCACCTTATCTGGCTGTTTTACATGGGTCCTAGGGATCAATCTCAAATCTTCATGATTGCATAGAAAACAGTCCACTGACTGACTGAGCTCTGCATCCCCCGAAAGTAGCCATTTCTAAGAAGGTACTTTTAACCTCTGTGGAAAATTTTCATAGTAAAGGTATAGACCCAGAGATGTTCTCTACACAGAAGCATCGCTTGCACTGTAGGCCTATTGCCAGGCAACCAAAATCCATCAGGCAGCTCATTTTCTCTGTGACACTTTCTGCAACCTCAGAAAGCAGCTGGATTGTGAACAATGGCTTCTGCCTCACACCTTCTGCAGTCAGGCATCTCTATGCAAAGACAAGCCATGTGCCCCCTGGGAGACAGTGTGACTAGAAGACACAGACCCTGTAACACCCTGCTTCTCATTCCATGGCTCACAAAATACATATATACTTCATAGCTGTGAAAAAGTTCAAATTGAAATTCAGAGGTACAAATCTAAATTCTCCCAGCAGCCCCCGGGGAGGTAAACAGTTGGAGGAAAACATCAACAAAGACGACGGGGGAATCAAAATGAAGAACTCACTCAATACTTACTGCTCTCACCACCCGAGGTACAAATGCTGCGAACAATCCTCTTCTTCACCTTTTTCAGCTCATCAAAGTTATGGACCGTCAACTTTTTCTCTGCTGTCCCCGTGATCTGGATCAGCTGCTGGTCATCTACATCCCCGATGCCCACTGAGTAGATGTCCACACCCTGGTGTCTCAGCTCCTCTGCAGCCTGAGCCACCTCATCTTGGGACTGGCCATCGGTGAGGACCAGCAGCACCTGAGGGGTGCCTGCGTTGATCCTGCTGCCCGTGTCTGGCCGGAAGTAGGACCTCACCTTCCTGAGTGCTTCTCCAATGTGGGTGTATCCAAAGATCTGCTGGATGCTCTCAATCTGTGTGGAGATCTCCTTCTCCCCTGTGAATGCCCCCAGCAGAAACTCTGACCTGTAGTCGTCGCTGAACTGTGCCACTCCTATGCGCACTCTGTTGAGGCTGACATCAAAGTCTTGAACGACTGATGCTAGAAACGCCTTCATCTTCTGGAAGTCATTCGGGTGGATGCTGTTTGACCCATCCATGAGGAAAACGAGGTCAACCTTTTCAATTTCACAGTCTACAGAGAGGAAAAAGGACACTAGTTAAGACTAGGAGACCATTCTTTCTTTAACCTGCCAGGAGAAAATTCAACATCTGCAGCTCAACAAGAAGAGTATTTTGAAGGGGCTTTCTTATCTCATGCGATGCTGTGGTCACATTAACTGGAGAATAAATAGATGCAAATAATTCTTTCATAAAGGCAGCCAGAGTCATGCACCGCTAACCCATCCACTCTGCATTTCTCTTGGCTCCGTCCCTTTGGTCTTGTGCCATTTTCTGTCTTGACGTGCCAGAGAACCGACAACAGCACTACACAAAAGCTCGGCTCATCATCTGCACTCTTGGCCTAACCTTTCCAGAAGGCCAGGGACAGTAGGAGCACAACAAACAACATTAGCCCGTATTTGCACAGAGCTTCAAATGGAAGCAGATGGTCTGTATTATTGACTTGGCCTCTCTGGTCCAGTTGATCCAATAAAATTTTTTCTTGGTTTATTAGGGCAAATTGTTAAAAGTATATTTTCTGCTGTCCATCTGACTTTCCTCTTCTATCAGCCTCCTCTCTCTGGTGTGTGGAGGCAAAAAATACCAACTTTCAGAAAAAAAAAAATGGTTTAGAGCACATAATGCAGTATTATTCCATTGCATAATTGTAACAAATACAAAACAGAACAAGAGAGGCCATTGCTAAAAGATAAGTTATACCTAACACACACTTATCTGTACCCAGCAGCTTTCTGCAAAGCCTAGTCACGTCCTTGAATTCCTAGGGTTTTCAACCCTGACCTAACAATGTTCTGAATTTATATGTACGTGTGTGTAGGGTGTATGTACATTAATGCATAGGTGTATAGGTGTGTATACCCATGCCTTAAGGCCAGAGGGGGCATCAGCTATTCTGATTTATTCTAACCATCTTTATCCCTGAAGACAGGGTCTCAGTGAAGCCGGAACTAGGATGGCAGCCATCGAGCCCCGGTGACCCTCATGTCTCAGCTCCCCTATGGAGCTAGACCCACAGAACCAGCTTTTGCATGGGTGCTGGGGATATGAATTTGGGTTCTCATGCTTGTACAGCAAGTGTTCTCATTCTCTAGCCATGTCCTAAGCCTCAACCCAATTCTCAGCACAGTCCCAGAAAAGGCTAACGGTGGCAGATTTCCTACAGACAGAGAGGAAAGCAGATACGGCAAGTAGACCCTTTGGGACAGATGAACTCATTACACTCCTTTGCTTCAGACTCTTATCTAGTAGCCCTTCTTACTCAATGGGGAGGTTTCAGTCCAAAAAAGGAAGCTGTCAACTTTCACAGAGAATAGGAAAAGGACAGACCAAATTTTAGGCATTTGCCAACAAGGAAGCAAAGATTTGTCCTCACTTCCTAATAACAAACAGGAAGACAGTTTGCCAGAGAAAAAGCTACTGGCTACATTCTATGGAGGCAAAGCTCATAGCAAACAAACAAAACCAGAAAAGCTAAATAATTTTGAAGAAGAACTGTACCCACATGTTGGAATTGTGGACCAACAGCAATTCCTCCAATAAAAATATTTTTTATTTATTTTTTAAGCACAAAATTGCTTATATGTGTTTCCACTCACTAGTCTTCCATTTTGAAAAGCAAATTCTATCTCTTTCTGAGAAAGACCTTAGAAAAAAGGACTAAGGGTTTCTTTCACTCCTTTTTTGGGGGGGAGGGTGGGGAGAGATGAGCAGGGTCATATGACAGCAGGCATAGCCTGAAACTCAGGGTGTCAGTCATCTAGGAAGGCCTTGGACTGCCTTAGCTTGCCAGGTGCTGGGACTTGGTTTGCAGTACCATGCCTAGCAAGATAAAAAGTGTAGAATGATAGCTGGATGAACAATGAATGGGCATGAATGCATGCCCACGCGTGCACGCATGCACACGCACACACAAAAATCACATTGTCTCTAGCTGCATAAATGGAAAGATGGGCAAAGGAAAGCTTCCCTCTGCCATGGAGCCCTCAGAACTGGACTGGGGTGTTTAATACCAAGTCTGCTTCTTCAATGAATTTAGACCATAAACAAAACCAAGAAGAAAGTAGGAATATTTGGCCCGAGGAGAAAACAACTTCAGACAATGGATGGTGGCCCTTACAAAGGGGCAGTTTGATTGCTAGAAAGAATCTAAGAAAAACCTGTATTCTAATAAACACTCTTCAAAAACAGCAGAGTACCCAGTGTCAGAAGAATTGAGGGAGGAGGTAGAAGTTGTTTCCAAATGTTTTTCTCATAGGGAAGAGAATATACGAAATACCTTGAAAGCCTGTCAAACTCTGAGATTTTGAAAGCCACTTCATAATTTTGGTTCTTTTTTTCCTTCCAGAAAAGCTTGTTCTCTCTCAAATGTGACTGGTTGGTGTCTCGCTCATTTGGCCCTCTCTTTAATAATTAGGAAAAACTTAATTGAAAGGCCTTACCAACTTTTGAAGAGTTACAAACACTGGCTGACACATCTGAAAATATCCCCTTCAGGCCTCCAAACGTCTCTACGAAGTAATACTTGTCACTTGACCCTGCCATGGCCAACAGCTCCCAGCTATTGGCACCATCAATCCCCACGGCCAACACGAGAATGCCTTTGTCCCTCAGGGCTTTGGCAGTGGCATTGAGCTTGTCTGCATCATGAGATTCTCCATCAGTTATCACAATGAGGACTTGGGGGACTCCCTTGTGTAGACGGCTGCCCCGGGCTTCCGTGAACATGTGGTCTGAGAAGGCCAGGGCCTCAGCAGTATAAGTGTTACCCCCCATGGGCTGATCCTTCTGGAGCACCGAAATCACATCCAACTTTGTGCCTAGCTCATCTAGATAAAACAGCACTTCTGGGTCATCAGCATATTTCAAAGCTCCAAACCGGACCTGATTCTTGCCCACGTCAGCTTTTTTCACCAGGCCGATCATAAAGTCCTTCATGATGTTATATTCTTGATAGTCGATGCTGCCAGAGCTATCAATGACAAATACAACATCCAAAACTTCAATCCGCTTGCATTCTGAAAAGAAAACATTGGAGATTCAGTGTGGGAGGCCCCCAACTTCCATTTCCATGGCTGGTCTTTTCTCTCTGTAGGATCAGGCTATGCAACTGACGGCCGCCTCTAGATAAAAGATACCTGTACTATTGTGCTGCCGGTACTCTGCAAGCTTTTAGAACAAGGCAGGTGTGACATAAAACCTACTAAAGAGGTAGATGGCCATCCCCAAATTACCAAGACCATCAGCAAAGCAGTTTCAACCTTTAGACTAAAAAATGGAAAGTCTTAACTCTGTACCAATTTTCCTACATAAATGATCCCTTCCACATATGCTTTCATTGATATAAGTCTATTTTAAGTTATAGGGGTCTTGAGATTTTATTAGGATCCCATAGGGAAATGAGAAAGCAACTATAAGAATTTAAAGAACACTACATTTTTAGATTTCCGAGCCTACGTTTTCTTCCTAATTTATTTTCTTGAAGTATTTATTTCCAATTACTAGGACTCAGCATAAAAAGTAGGCCAGTTCTCATTTAGCTCAAGTACATTGTCCTAATATGACACTCCTGTGAGCTTGTTACGCCTGAGGTCAGCGCTATGGCAAAGGGCAGGAAAGTCCTAACCTTCTAACTCATCTAAAGGAGTGCATCCAACTGGGAGTTCTAGTGCTTGACTCCTCCCTTCTGGAGAAGTGAGGTCCTGTGATGCTCATGGGTCTTGATGTTGGTAGAACACACTCTCTTGGGGTCTTAGGAAAGGCACAATCCAAATGTCTGTTAGCTCATCCATTCTAGAGAAACACAATTGTGAGGAAATGCTCCCCACTGCCCAGCTGGCTTTCACATTTCCATCTTTTGTGAGCCACTTGCCAGCCATGTGGTGGACTACTGACAACACAAGAGCCAATATACTCAACACTGCACAGAGGCCGCCTGTACAGAGCCAAAAATCAAATTCCCAAGAAAGGCTGAGTCCACTGAAGAGGAACTGATCCCTTCAGCTGTCTGCTGGCTAGGAAACTTGCTTAGATTACTCAGGAACTGGGGGTGGGCAGTGGGGTGGGCGTTGCTCAGCATTGGAGCCCTTCAAAGAGCTTGAACTTCTTATGGGTGGCATTGCCAGGGAACAGAAACCAGATGAAGGCCTCCTTCTACCAAACACAGATGACAACCACCAAACCCTACAGTGGGGGTTGAAGATAACTGTTGCTAGAATAACAAGGCAATGTCTCTTCTCCCTTAAAAGTCTGAAAGTTCATATTTTTCAGAGTCAATTTTCAGAGTGCTCCTGTCATTAAATCCAGGGGAGAACAATTTAGCCGCTTATATTTGCTGGTATTCTGTTAGGCTTGGGGGGGGGCTGGTGAGATGCTGGGGTTCAGTCCACTAACTGAGGTGCATCTTCACCCTGGAGCTTTGGTTTGTTCATGTCCATTACTCTGCAGTATTATAGGAAGAGTGGCTGGCATGCCATTTACGTCTCTGGAAGCATCTATTGTTCAAGTTCTCTTACTATAGTCATCTTTTGTAAGATCTGGTAGACAGTCTTTTATTAACATTTCATTTGATCAAATAGATGCTAAGCCAAACATGTCTTTTTGCTCAAGAGGTTATATTCCTCTACCAACCGCGTCCACAGCCCATGTGTGATCTAATGGTTCAGGACGTACAAAGCTGGGCCCCTCATTGGAAAACTGGGCCAACTTGTGGCAGGACTCATGTTACATTGCTCATTCAACCATGCTAAACTAGACTCACAGCTGAAGTGACTGCCTTGTGTAGGCCCCACCCTTCTGTTTGGCTTTCCTTCCTCCCCTTCTAGAAGCATTTCCTCAGTAGACCATTTCTATAAGCGCTCTTGATAAATCCACACCCTTCCAGAGAACCCAACATAAGACCTGATGATATCACTTTTCTTAAAAGAATTATTAATCACATTAAGATTAATATTTATTGGCAAATGGGAAAGCTTGGCAGGCCAAATCATTCCTTTATGAATTTATTTTTTGGGGGGAGCACTGAGTCAAGATCTTACTCTGTATTCTAGACTATAGCCTGAAAATATTATGTAGCCCAGCCTGGCCTTGAACTCATAGCCATTTTCCTGTCTCAGTTTGCATACAGGGATTACAGGCATGAGCTACCACACCCAGCTATTACCATTTAACTCAAAAGGTCAAAGGTAGTAAAACAAACATTTTAATTAAGAAGCTTACAGCATCCAAATGCAATTCTATTTTGCCTCCCTGTTGTGACTGCCCATGCATACCTTCACGGGGACTGCATATTCCCAGAACAAGGTCATCTTCAATCTGCTGCAGAATGTCAAAGTTCTCAACATAGAAAACCATCTCTGGTTTCCCACTGATCTCCTCGAGCTGGGTGACATTAGAGCCAAATACTCCCACGGAGTAGATAATCACACCATCATTCCGAAGAGCTACTGCTGGGCCCCTCACTATGTCCTGAGCCTCACCGTCTGTGATGAGAATGAGGAACTTCCTGACATTGGGCCGGGCCCCCTTTTTGGGACTGAAGTACTGGGACACAAAGGTCAGGGCACTGCCCGTCAACGTTGTTTCTCCAATGTGAGTCATTTGGTCAATGGCGTTGGAAATGTCACTTTGGGACATGAATGTGTTGAGCTGAAACTCTTCCTTGTTTTCATGGCTGAACTGGACCACGCCAATTTGCACCCGGTCTGCCCCAATCTGGGATTTGCTCACCAGGTTCTTCATAAAGGTCTTCATCTTGCTGAAGTTTTCAGGTCCTATGCTTCCAGAACTGTCCACCAGAAACATGATGTCCGCTTTCATGTCTCTGCAGGCTGTGTGGGGAAAACTGAGATGTTTATTAGCATCGCTGCATATAAAAAAAATAAAGAGTTATAGGAAAATGCAAATCACAGATAATTTTATGTTCAAGCTCAGTATGTTCATCATAAAGACAGTTAGATAAATGAAGCAATGCCCTGGTAATTAAGGAGCTCAGCATCAGCACCACCAGGGGCCAGGTTATTTTTATTGGGGTAGTACTCATGTCCATCTGTAAGATGGCTAGCAAATATCTTGGTTTCATCCATTCAGTAGATACCAAGAAAACTCCCTGCTTAGACACTAAAAAAAATGTTACCAAATATCCTCAGAGAGTAAAGCCCCTGAGTAGAAGTTACTGATGTAGTGCTCCAGAGAAATTCATACAAGTTCATTTATAAAATGAAATGTCGATCAGATGACCATGCCCTCCGACGTCAGAACACCTTTGTATTATACACGTGACACCTAGTCATATATTAATAACAGGGCTTCATTAGAGAGAACCTCTCCAAATACCTCTGTCATTCTTCAGATATTAATTTATACTAATGTGGGGTTTTGTTTTGTTCTGGAGAGAAAAATATAATCACACAGGCCAATAAGCTCAACTTAGAAATGTGTGTCACCCCCAACAGTGTCCCTTTGTGAGCTGCTGTCTGAAGGTCAAGCTGCATCATCTCCTACCTTCTTCAGAACAGATCTCTTGAACCACCTGGTTCCTTATGTCCTTTAGGGCATCAAATTCATGCACATAGTAGACTCTCTTTTCCTCTCCCGCAATCTCCCGAAGCTGTGTTTGGTTGGCTTCCTTGACTCCGATAGCATAAACACGGATGTTTTCTTCTCGCAGCCTGTGTGCAGGCTCCAGGACACTGTCCTGGGACATGCCATTTGTCAGAACGACAAGGTGACACGGGACTTTGTCTCCTCGCTGCTTCTTTGCTCTTTGCAGCAGCTTCAGTGTGAAGTTCAGGGCTGCACCTGTGTTGGTGTTCCCGCCCATCTGCCTGATGTTCTCGATGGCTTTTCCCAAGTCAGGCTTGTTGGTGTATTTACTGATCCCGAATTCCAAGTCCCAGGTGTCAGCATACTGCACGGCCCCAACCCGTACCTTGTGGGGAGCAATGTTGAACATGCCTACCACCTCTGACAGGAAGGTCTTCATCTCATGGAAGTCTGTGGGCTGAGTGTTCCCTGAGCCATCAATGAGCAGATAGATGTCTGCTTCTTCTGTATCCACACAGGCTAAAACAAAAACAAAACACTGAATGTAGCATTCGGGGCAAATGTAAAAGTACAGGTAGGAAGGATAAGCACCCACAGAAAAAAGATTGGAATGGCTTCCTGACATCAAAGACTTGCTTTCATAGCTTGGGGATAGGGACTCAGCATCAGTTGGGTGAAATGAGTTGTTTCAGACAGTCTGGGACTGTAAGTAACCTTAATTCTCTGCTATGGATAAGGACAAATGTAAGTTTAGGAAAACTGGAAATTGCCCTTTGCAAGTTGCTTTTCTCCATTAGTTAGTCATACTCCTAGGAAAGTGCTATTCTGTGGAATAGATGGTATGTGACAGGGTACTGTGGGCATGAAAGTTCTCTTTACTACAATCTAGAAAAAACTATTTACTTCCTGTCCACTCCTAGTCCTGAGATCCAGGCCGGGGTGTTGTCAATGACCTTGCGTGTGGGACACAGTGATATAGTAAACAAGCTATAAATAATTGCTGCATAATATACACAAACATGCTTACATATACACAGATATGAAAATATTTATAGAGCATCCATGAGTATGAATGTGCATATGTATAAAACAAACAGTGTTCATGCAAATATACAGTCCCTTCTCACTCTAAACTTGCAGGCCATAGATTGTAACTTGAATTAATTTGTCTTCTACATGAGTCATGTTGACCATTTATTTATTCTCTAATTTGGCCTTGGGGTTAAAGGAAGAAAAAAGTAATGAAGAACATATTACAGGAAAGATCAGAGGAACTGGTGAGGCAAAGGATGAAAACCAGCAAAGAGGGGGAAGGAAATGAGGATTCCAGGACATGTTGAAGTAACCAGCCCAGGTAAGTAAAGCAATGCCAAAAGGAAATCCCTTTCCCCATGCTCACATTTCAGTGTCCTCCAAGCTGGACTTCCTCGTATCCAACTAAACTTAAAATTAGGAATTCATTCTGCCCATCCACCTCAGAGCCTCCAAGTCCCTTCTGCATAGACAACACTCAAAGGGTGAGACTAAAGACGGCTCTAGAATGGCTTTACCAGATTTGAGGGTCTCCGTCCATTCTGAGAAGAACGAGACTGTGTGCGTGATTTGTTTCCGCAGCTTCTTCAGGAATGTCTGGTTGTAGGTGGCCAGCTCGGAAAAGTTGCTCAGTTTGGAGGCAAATTGTTCTGCAGGGTGGGATGCAATTTTCTCCAGTTGGTCCAGGCTAGCCCCTTCTATGCCCATGGTAAAGATGGTCACTCCCTCACGTCGGAGGTTGACAGCTGCCTTGGTCACATTGTCTTCCGAAGCTCTGTGGGTCACAAGTACGGCAATCTGAGGTACCCCCTGGTTCTTCCGACTGCCCCTCTGTGCACTGAAGACTTCCTTCCTGGCCTTTTTGAGGGCAGCCCCAGTGTATGCCTGCCCTACACGGGGAGAAAGGCCCTGTATATGCTGCAGGACCTCTGTCTTATTGATGCCCTTGCTGAGGGAACTGATCACCCTCGTCTCATTGCTGTAGGCCACCAGGCCAACCCTCATGCAATTTTCCTTTATGTCAAGAGCAGAGACACTGTCTTCCAGGAATGCTTTCAGATGGTCAAGGTTCTCCTGGCTGCCATTAATGGCCATATCCAACAGGAACACGACATCAGCCACAGAAGGGCCTTGGCAAGCTGTGTGGGGAAAGAGACAAATGAGCACAATTTGAACAGGTGGGTTGGCACTTCTGCTGGACATCATAAGATACGCAGGATTAGAAGTCAGCTGTGTACTTAAAGAAGCTATGACATGGGACCTGGGTTCAAAGACTGATCGCACTGAAGCTCCCAGCTTCATTCCCTCATCTATAATATGAAACAGTGTTTACCTTACAGAGTTGGCATAGGTATTAAATGAGGTACTTAGCATGGAGACTGGTACATAAAATCCATTCCGTGAACACTAGCTAGTAAATGTGAAAAACATTTAAGCATCACCTCCATTATACCCAACCGCTCAAGCCTAAATAATACAAAGGAATGGCAATGGGCGTACTTGCATTTTCAATTATTTGGAAAAGACACTAGTAGTAAAGATCATACTTTTATAAGGGACCAACAAAGAAAGCGCTCTGTATCTTCAAACTGATTTAACCAAGAGGACAGGCTTTGAAGAACTCAGAAACTAATTCAGAATCAAAGAGCAGACTAGGCAATGTGGGGTACATGCTCCCTGACTGGAAATCAGGGGACTTGATCCAGCTCTGGCTGCGCGTGGTTGCATCTCAGCCAAGCTCTGGCTACACATGGCTGCCTAGCCCTGGGGAAGACCCTATCATTTTAGTTCTCTGTTTCAGAATAGGTAGGATTGGGATAACCAGAGGCTGGCCTTAACCTTGCCATTTGTTTCATTATGTGGTTTCAGAAGCTGGAGGTTCCCCCAGGAGCCAATTTGTCTGTAGTGAGCCAGTAATGAAACAACAAGAACAACCCAGGGAGGTGAATGAGTGGGAGTCTGGGTGGCAAGGAGAGGTTGCTGCACAATTTTAAAAGTTTCAGGGCTAAATAAGCCATAGGAAACCAAGCCCTGTGGGATTTACGTTAATAACCACAATCACTGGATCTTCTTGGACGTGCAAGGATATTTAATGCCTCAAAATGCCACCCATTGGGGGGGGGCAGGGCCATTCCCAGGATTTTAATCCTCTTCCTACATTGATTAGTTTTCAACATCATTTTGTCATTGATCCTATGCATGCAGCCTCAGCCCACTTGTCATGGTTAAGTTTTGTTTTCAACTTGACAGACTTAGGAGAACAGACTCTATCAGATTAGCCTGTGGGCACCTCTATGAAGCATTTTCTTGATTGCTAATTGATGTAGGAGGGCCCAGCCCACTGTGGGAGACACCATCCCTAGGCAGGTGGGGGTATATAAGAAATTAGATGAATAAGCCAGAGAGAGCAAGCTAGCAAGCCGAGTTCCTCCACGGTCGGTCCCTGCTTCGGTTCTTGACTGAACGTCCCTTCTGGCACCCTTCCACCATGGACTATAAGCCTATAAATGAAAACAAACCCTTCCTCCCCAAGTTGCTTTTTGTCAGTGTTTTATCATAGCAACATAAAGCAAATTAGGACACCTACTTTCTACAATAATGTCATCAGCCATTCCTTCCTGGTATTTAGTTACGTCTTTGATGATCTGTGTCATGTTTGGGGCAAACGCACTGAGGTCTCTGGCAGTCCTGAGGTTGAAATGGAACTGGGATGTGGCCATGGCCTTCAGGTTTTCCTCAGAAGCCTTCTGCACCCCCACCGAGATGATTTTCACCCCATCTTCCCGCAGGGCCTTGGAAGCCTCTTCCACATCATCCTCAGACTCTGCTGAAGCCAGCACCACCAGGATTGGGGGGAACTGTTTCCTGTCTCTTCCATTTGTGGGAGTGGAGAAATAGGTCCTGTGGGCCTCTTGCAGGGCGTTGCCTATCTTCAGGGACCCACCGATGAACCCCAAGTTCTTCTTCAGGTGGTTCAGCATGGGGTTCCTGTGCTTGAAGGTGTCCAGCTGGAACTCGTTGTGGAGAGCATCGCTGTACTGGGCCAGGGCCACACGATACTTGTCGGTCTCTATGGGCAGACTGCTGATCAGTTTGTTGAGAAAAGTTTTCACAAGAAGAAAGGATTTCATCCCTAGGTGTTCTGAGCTGTCCACCAGAAACACCACATCTGCATACTCAGGGCCTATAAAGTCATAAACATATTGAAAAGTTTTAGAAATTGTCTCCCACGTTTAATGCCAACTGGGTACACACACACACACATTCAAGCATGTACACACGCACACACACTGAAAGTTTTCATTTGAATAAGACTCCTTCAAACTGGCTTGAATGAAGAAACCTGAAAGTCTTTCATTGCAATTCTCACTTAGTCAATGCCTTAGGTTATCAGATTTATAAATATTTTGTATTTTAAAGTGCTGAATTGATGAAGTTTAAGACATCACAAATTCAGCCAGTCATGTGAATGAACATTATGATTGATACATTTATTTTCACATATGCAAAATAAGATGGCAGCAAAGAATTTGAAGTGAGAAATGGAATTATAATCTTTGTTTCAATTAAAAACATATTTTATATTGGAACATGAAAATATCTTTGAACTTTTAACAATTTATTTGCTAGTTGTCTAGGACTTTAGTATTATATATACATATATCATATACTATCATTATACAAATAAGATATATATAAATAGTATATAAATTATACGTGTATAATATATATTATGTGTGTATATATGTGTGTGTATATATATATATATATGAATGACATAGTCAAATCAATATATAAATAGTATATAAATTATGTGTATAATGTATATTATGCACACATATATGTGTGTCTGTGTGTATATATATATGTATACATACACATATATATTATCTCTGAACTTTCACTAATTTATCATAAAAGAAGATAAGGAAGCTTTGTGTTTGTGTGTATGTTATCTGAGAAAATGCAATGCAATTGGATTAAGTGATAGGAAGCCTGCCTATCATCAGCTAATTCTATGGGCATTATCAAGCCATTCAATATGCAGGAGCCTCAGTGTTCTCTACGTTAGGGAGGCTCCATTAGCAAATACCCAAGCTACTTCCTAAAATAAGGAGGCTCGATTAACAAATACCCAGGCTACCTCCTCATTTTAAGATTTCATCACAAATGGTTACTAGATAAATTGCTATCAAGTCATAACTCCCGTTTCGTTTCTTCCATTTCTAGGAAACTAGCCCTATTTTCTGTCATTCAGTCTCTGTGAGCATCTGACCAAATCAACCGGTTCTTTCTTTTCCTTGAAATGACCTCACTCCCAGCAATGAGACTCTACCCACCCTTGATCACACAGCCAGCAACATTCAGGACCTACTTCCAAGGGAAGGCTGGGTAGTCCAGAGAACCCTGCTCAGGGTGGCCATCAGTGATCTTTCTACTCATGCAGAACAGCCTGCATCTTGTGTAGGAAAGACATGTGGCTGACTAGCAATGAGACAGTTCCAGGTCCTTTATCATGTCTAAGCCATGAAATTATAGGTAGCAGATGGAGAACAACTCTTCTTTCAAAACTTAAGGCTCAGGAAGACATCAAATGATATCTATTTTATTCCCACTAAACTTGTTTCAAGTTTATATATATAAAGCCCACGTAGTTGGTCCTGAATGTGAGCTGACCCATGTACACCAACTTCTTAAGAAGGCTAGAGGAGAGAGTAGAGGATGTTTGGAACTTCATCATGAGTTACTGACTGCAATTACTGACAGTGACAGCTAGGTGTGCTCTCTCTCTCTCTCTCTCTCTCTCTCTCTCTCTCTCTCTCTCTCTCTGTCTCTCTCTGGGGGTAAACACAGGCTTGCTTTTATAAGCAACACCTTTATAATTCCAGTGCCTGCAGCTGCAGCTAAATCTATGCGTTTAGCCAAAGCAACATTTTTAGGCAAGACAATAAAAGATAATCTGAATTTTCCAGTGCTTAATCTAACAGAATTCCCAAGAAGATAGAATGATAGCTTTCATATATTTTTATCAATAGCCCAGGATTTCTAAATACAGGAAAACCAAAAAAAGACAAAACCTATCCTCCACATCCTCACTACTAATGAAATCAAGCAATGTGAAGCAAACATCCTAGCTTCAACAGCCTGCATTCATTTACTAGCTATTGAGCAATATAAAAAATTATGGAAAGGAGATCTCTCTCTTCTTACCAGAGTCTTGGTTCACACCAACATGGAAACAAATCATTGCCAGGAACAAAAGCAGCAGCATTTTCAGGTTATAGGCTGAAAACCCCCAACATCAAAGCTGAAAAAGAACAGGAAAATCATTTGAATGCTATTTGTAAATCAAGGCTCACATAGATGACGGCAGACAAAATTATGTAATCAGCTCTGTGTGAAGAAGGGCGAGGGATGGCTAAGCTTCCTGGCCTTCTAATCTGTGAGACACTGAACAGTCTGGCGGTGGTCAGAGGCACTGTGCTCCCCTAGTCCATTCCCCATGTCCCAGTGCACCCTGTTCCCTTGCCACCTGTGATATAATCTAAAACTGCTAAAACTTTTTCCCAGCGTAAATGTATAGGTGTGCTTCATAATAAACCATTTGTATTCTAGGTATGGGTTAGAAATCCTGTTTTTTTTTTCCTTCTCCCTTCCTAGTTAGATAGGAAGTGAGTGATTTATTTGTTCATTTATATTTCTACTTTTGAAACAAGGTCTCACTATGTAAACCAGGCTGGCCTTGAACTCAGATCCCCTTGCTCTGTCTCCAGAGATAATATGCATCACTATGCCCAGCTATTTTCCCTCTCCTATTATTCTTTTTTAAGTTTTTAATTTTAAATTTTATTATGTATTTTAAAAGTTGCAAATAAAAAAATATCACTCAATGAAATTAACCAGATCCAAAGACTATACAACTCAATACAGTTAGACATTTGGAACACAAGTTTTTCAGCTTCATGTTGGGCCTTATATTGTTACTATTGAATGTATTTTATATACTCACACACAATTAAAACCAAAAACTCCATGACAGAATTAGAATTAGTAAAACAATTAACCTTGTACCCTTTCATAACTGGTGTCCATAACCTGCATTCAGCCCTTCTTTATCCCTTATATTTGCCGGTCTTCTTCTCCTTTATTTGTGTTATACTGTACATATTCAAATATTATTGGCTATATTCTACATACAAGGAGATCATGAAGTTGTTTTTTTTAAGATTGTGTGACTTGGCTTAATATTATACAGTCTAAGTCTATCCATTTTCCTGTGAATTATGTGACTTTGTTTTTCTGCAAACCTGAATAGTATTTCCCCATATAAATATATCTTATGTATTAAATTTCCATTATCTATGCATGTGTTGATGGACAATTAAGTGGATTCTAATGATTGGTGCTTTCTTCTTAAATCTGGAAGAAGAGACAAGAACTTTGTTTTGATAGAAGATGGAAGTCTGACTCCTTAAAAGGAGGAGCTCATTTTGTGTACATCCGCCTAGACCCACACAGAACAAGGGCCTCACCCACAATTCCAGCTTGGCCTATGCATTTTCAGTCATCCTGGAATTCCAATCATGGAGTTAAACAGAATATTAAATACATTGCAAATAAATATAAGCACATGGATGGCTTTTGCAAGCATTTCCCCACTAAACAAAAAGTAAGATGATCCATTTTTGAACCTCAACTAATATGTCTGTGTCCAGCTTAATTGCTACCCAAATGTGTACTTACAATTCCAGCTATGGCCATTTAACTCTGCTTCAGGTTGTCCTTCAAGCTTAACATCTCACATGTTCAGAAGAAAAGACCCTTGACTGAGGAATTCTATTCTTATTTCCCTGCCTGCTCCATTGTCCCTTTGACTGTCCCCACTCAGACTCCGTTCCAATCCTTCACAAGAGGCTAGACAATTCACACTTGGAAGAGATGTCAATCACTGGCCTCTGTCAACTGGAAATGAATGGACTGGATTTGGACTCCTAAGAGGTCATTTTAAGTCATACCTTTTCATTTTGAAGGATCTGTGCCTTAAATTAGGATCCCCGCAGTAAGTATCATCCACATATGAATTACTAGTGTGTATAAGAACAAGCAAGTGCTGTGTATGTATATGGGGGGTGGATGGGAAAGGGGGTGGGGAGCTATGACAAAACAAGCAAGGACAATGATCTTCAAGTCCAAGCTTGGGCAGCAGGGCTGGGCTGTGCTGTAGCACAGTGGTGAAGGGTTCACCTCTACCTTCAGTCCCAAGTCAAAAAGCTTGGAAGGCAAGGATAATGGGCTTATTTTTATTGTACCAAAGCAAATAAATGCCTATGTTTTATTGGAGTGCTTCCAAGGATGACCAGATTCTTTCATGGGTATTTCAAAAGTATCAGATCCCTTAAAGACATATGAAGAAAGAATAAGAGGCTTAAAGTAATCAGCATAACATTTGAATTCCCAGCACATTTCACCTTACAACCAGTATCATCTTAATGCTGATTGCCTCTCATTATAGACATGAACATCCCTTTAATCTGTATTCTGTTGTGTTACATCTATTCAGAATCAAGCAAGCAGGGGTTAATGTGGCTCTTTTGGAAGTTACATATTATGAAAGTTTTTGTAAAAAAAAGTTCTAGTCTTTGTAAAATTTCTGCAGTGCAGAACTTTCTACTGCAGCTGCAAAGCTATCTCACTCACCCAAGCATTGGTTCCAAGCCCAGAGTGTTCAGAACCTGACCAAGCCTTCTCTTGAGGTTTTGAGAATCAGGGGTCACAGAGAGACTTCTGCCCTACACAAGCCAACTCATAATCCAGGCCATATCTACAAAATAAGATATTTTGGAGCCCAGGGGAATGTAGAAGCAACTTTGGCAACACTAATGTCATTTCTGTTTTATTTTTAACAGAGGCATGCAAAACATATCAGTTGTAAGCACTGGTTTTCTTTTTCTTCAGAAGTAAGTGTGTTATCAGTTGCTTCACTGGAAGAAACATTGATTTTTTTGCCATGGTGTTAAAGATAAATAGCTGTTTACTCATTAACCCTTAGATGTGCTACCAATTCCCTCCTTCAATCAGTTCTACCCCCACCCAACTCAAAGGAAGAAAGGGAAATGCTCTGAGGGAGCCTTAGGTCTATGTTAAGATGTTGCAGGACAAGTCCTTGGCACATGCCGAGATGAACGAATATGGCCTCAGTGATGATAAAGAAAAACAAATGCTCAAGCCATTTAACTGTTAAGGTCACATTTTCCAGAATCTCTCAAAGGTTCGTAAGCTGTTCATGCCTGAGCAGTCATCAGATGACCTTGTCAGCTTATAAAACCAATACTTTTCTATGTTAAGGTGTTTGACAGAGAGGAAAGAATACAGACTCCAAAGCTTTGTGCCTGGGGCTCTGCTCATATCTAAACTGTCAAATGATGCTAGACAATGCCACCCCAACTCCCTAGGTGCCTAATAGAAAGCACAAGGATTCTAGTCTTGTATCCTGGAGGCCCACAGTTTAGTAACTTTGATCTAACCCCTGTAACCCAATAAAGAAAAACCAAATAAAAAGCCAAAAACAGTGGCAGACCTGGTAGTGTAAGGGCAAAAATCTCAGCTATCTGGGACACTGAGGCCAGAGGATCCCAAGTTCAAGGCCTGCCTAGACTATAAAGTTTAATGCCAGCCTAGACAACTTAACAAGAAACCTGTCTCAAAAGCAGAAAGTACACTAAAGAGCATGGAGATTAGGAATATAGCTCCATGGTAGAGGAACACAAACACAAAATGTTCAGATCAGAAATCAGCAAACTGAAAAATTTGTTAAACATTTAGTTGGGCTTTGAAGAGACAAATATCAGAGAACTGGTCAATAAAAACAGCAATTTGTTCATCATAAAGTCTTCTCTTAAGAAAAATAACCTAACCAGGTCCAACCTGCTTGGATTTTCCCCAAGCCCAATCATTGAGAAAAAGGCCCCTTTAGCCATCCTTATATTAGTCATCCACATAGAAGATGATGAGGACCCCAATACCTGCCCACTCCTGCTAGTCAGCCCCTCCCTATGGAGAAAGAGCTGAGGATTATGGGTAATTCACCACCTGGAGGCAAAGGCTCTCTACAGGTCTAAGAGCTAACCACAGAACATACCCTCCCTTCCCCATCAACCACAGAACTACTCAATGCCTATTTACAGAGATTCGTTTTAACCTGCGTATCATGTCAACTCCCAAGAGCATTACAGGACAAAATAAAAAGGTCAACACCACAATGTGAAGAGACTCTACAAGCATTTGAACCAGACTCAGATACAACAGATGATGGAGTTAGCCCAGCAATTTGAAAGTTCAGGTAGCAGGCAAGAAAAGCCAAGCAACACACCAGACACTTCAACTCCAGTGAAGGACCAGAAGCGTCTGCTGGGAAACAGAACACTGCATCGGAAATGGAGAATGCCTTAGCCGGGCTTGTTAGGCTAATCCCGAGATAGGCAAAAACCTGTATGTATGCATTTATCTCAGCAGAAACCTTCCAAACTGAAAAAGAAAAATGGAAAGGAAGAGGAAGAAGAAAAATACAAAGGAGATAAAGATAAAGATGAAAACATCTATGACGAAGAAGTTGCTCAAGATCTGCATGTCTACAGAGGGGAAACAACAATACCAGAAGAATAGAAAAATATTTATAGAGATGGCAAGATGTCCTTTGGATTAATGCAGATGTTAAATAAGAAGCACAGGGAGCACAGAGAACACACGAAGCAGAGGGAATACTAAACATCACACTAGAATGTTATTTCTCAAACTTTAGAAAAATTCAAGACGAAGAAGATATCTTGAAAAAAACCTAAGCAGTAATTTTTTTTTCACCCATGGAAAAGGAAAGAAATACACATGCAACTTTCCTGTAAACCATTTGTCTCAGTCAGGGTTACAATTGCTATGATGAAACACCATGATCAAAGCAGCTTGAGGGAGGAAAGGGTTTATTTGGCTTACACTTCCACAGCACAGTTTCAAAGGTAAGTCAGGAACTCAACCAGGTCAGGATCCTGCAGGTAGGAGCAGAAGCAGAGGCCATGGAGGAGTGTTGCTTACTGGTTTGCCCCTCATAGCTTGCTCAGCCTGCTTTATTTATAGAACCCAGGACCACCAGTCCAGAGTGGTACCAGCCACAGCAGGCTGGGCCCTCCCACAACAATCACTAATTAAGAAAATGCCTTACAGCCTGATCTTATCGAGACATTTTCTCAATTGAGGCTCCCTCCTCTCAAATGACCCTAGCTTATGTCAATTTGACATAA